GGCCTGTTTGTATATATTGACCTCTTCTAATTCTGAACTGTGAACTTGAGTCTACATTAAAGTGAGGGTTGCCATTCTCACCAAAGATTTTATTCATATTAAATATTTTCCGGGGTTATACAAATTCACTTTATAGAGAATTTCCCGATGTCTGGCCTAGCCAAAAAGCCCCTGGCTGTCAATGACCACCCGAGGAGGAATTTTACCAAACCAACACTTTCTAGATTGCTTTTGGTGCAGAATTCAAAACCAAAGGTTGATCGGGTGGGAGAGGAGGCTTTTCCAAAATACGGGGGCTTTGTTAAAAAGCTGGAATAAAGCCTCTGAATGCCCTTTGAATAGATGAAGTTGTACTTCTCATGCTTGTTTATCAATGAGAAACATCATCTCCAGTGGACAAACAGTAGCGCTGCCGTCAGAACTGGGCCCTTGTTTTTAGGTGAGGATTTAAATTTAGGGTCATTTGGTTTAGAAAAAGGAATTAATTAATCATTTTGCTACGCGAGCAGCAAAATACAGAGAGCTGGCCTCGAGTGTTTTCTAAGAGCAGGTGTGTTGACTGATCAGGTAAAAGTATTTGCAGAGGACCAATGGGGAACGATGGTCTGTGTCACAGTGGCAAGAATGGAAACAAAAAAGAGAAAAATGAAAAATCTGTTGACAATTCCTGCTGCTTTGGTGTTGTGGGGAAAATGCTGGCCTAAGTCACTCTGACTTGCCAATTATTATGCTCAAGAAATTCGTGTCATTAAACGGCTTGAAAGGCCACAATCTCAAACAAAATCTGGATGTTCTACCTATGTTGCAGAACCCGTTTCCAACTATATCGATTTGAAAACGATAGCCGAAGCTTAACTCGAATCCTTTTCCTTCAAACGCGTGCGACTCTCCAAACTCTTACTCCCTACCTACCTTGATCACGTGATCTTGCCCGGGCTGACTTCGGCCCGGGCTGACTTCGGCCCGGGCTGACTTCGGCCCGGGCTGACTCGGCCCGGGCTGACTCGGCCCGGGCCCACTCAGCCCGGGCTGACTTCGGCCCGGGCTGACTCGGCCCGGGCCCACTCAGCCCGGGCTGACTCGGCCCGGGCCCACTCAGCCCGGGCCCACTCAGCCCACTCAGCCCGGGCTGACTTCGGCCCGGGCTGACTCGGCCCGGGCCCACTCGGCCCGGGCTGACTCGGCCCGGGCCCACTCAGCCCGGGCTGACTTCGGCCCTGGCTGACTTCGGCCCAGGCTGACTTCGGCCCGGGCTGACTCGGCCCGGGCTGACTTCGGCCCGGGCCCACTCAGCCCGGGCTGACTCGGCCCGGGCCCACTCAGCCTGGGCTGACTCGGCCCGGGCTGACTCGGCCCGGGCCCATTCAGCCCGGGCTGACTCGGCCCGGGCCCACTCAGCCCGGGCTGACTCGGCCCGGGCTGACTTCGGCCCGGGCTGACTCGGCCCGGGCTGACTTCGGCCCGGGCTGACTCGGCCCGGGCTGACTTCGGCCCGGGCCCACTTAGCCCGGGCTGACTCGGCCCGGGCCCACTCAGCCCGGGCTGACTTCGGCCCGGGCTGACTCGGCCCGGGCCCACTCAGCCCGGGCTGACTCGGCCCGGGCCCACTCAGCCCGGGCTGACTCGGCCCGGGCTGACTTCGGCCCGGGCTGACTCGGCCCGGGCTGACTCGGCCCGGGCTGACTTCGGCCCGGGCTGACTCGGCCCGGGCCCACTCAGCCCGGGCTGACTCGGCCCGGGCCCACTCAGCCCGGGCTGACTCGGCCCGGGCTGACTTCGGCCCGGGCTGACTCGGCCCGGGCTGACTCAGCCCGGGCTGACTTCGGCCCGGGCTGACTCGGCTCGGGCTAAGTGGGCCCGGGCTGAGTGGGCCCGGGCTGACTCGGCCCGGGCTGACTTCGGCCCGGGCCCACTCAGCCCGGGCTGACTCGGCCCGGGCTGACTTCGGCCCGGGCTGACTCGGCCCGGGCCCACTCAGCCCGGGCTGACTTTGGCATGGGCTGACTTCGGCCCGGGCTGACTCGTCCCGGGCCCTCTCAGCCTGGGCTGACTCGGCCCAGGTTGACTTCGGAATTAGCAATTCAATTCAAAACATTAGCCTACTAGGAAATAGACAGGGACGGTGGAACGACCAAGCGGCGAGAGGGGGGGGGACAGGCTTGAGTAAAAGGGGTTTTTAAAGATATTTCTTTCGATCTTCTGTAGGTATCTTCAACATTGGCGAACTTTCGGCATAAGGAATTATTTTACATGTTTTGAGAAGTTCAGAATTTTATACGAATCCCTCTGATTGCTACAATTTGCCAGTTTCAAGGGAACTTTATTAAAAACAACCCTTGCTTCTTTTGCCAAAGGGCAACAGGGGCGGTTGTACCCCCAAACCCCCCTTCTCTGGCGTCCCTGGAGATAGAAAAAGGATAATCCAAGGAATATTTATGAATACGAAGCAACTATAAACACACATGGTTGTATTTTTTGCCTATATAGTGGGCGTGTTCCACAAGCAAAGAGGGCGTGGTCCCGATCTCAAAAGATTTGAGCTACAGTCACCAAAAAACCTGGATCCGCCCCTGACACGAGCTCAAAAGCGATCCAATATGATTCTTTCCACATTCACAGCGGAATGGTTTGACTCCGCAAAAACGATACGGAGCGTAGCGGATTCAAGCGTCATCAATAGAAGGCCTATCCGATATGAAAAGCGATCTGATACGAAATGAATCCGGTATCGTGTGAACAGGGCCCAAGACAACTGAAATTCATTTGATGTATAATTTATAGTCTGCAGTATTCTTTCCTACATGACTATAAACAGAAGAAATTCGAAACTATCCATCTTCTCTTTAAAGCCTTTTGCACCATCTCTTTCCTTATTCTTTTCTGACGTGAGAATTAAGCGAGTTAAAACTTTCATTTTGTGGGGATATTATGTGGGAAAGCCTAATCGACATGCATATGCATTATCTTATATCATTATTGTGTTTGCTCACAAATCATATCCTATCATGCGCCCACTTTAATGTTGCTGCGAATGCTATTAAGAAACATTTGTTTTTATCCAAAAACCCGCCTTCCGAAAAATCTTCCGGGGGCTCTTTTGGGGCCCGAATGTTTGGGGGCCCTTAGTTTTGTTTTCAAAGGTGCAAACCTTGCGTTACGCCACTGGGCTTTTGTCGTTTTCTTCTCGGAAAGGTGCAACTTTAAAGCCTTATAACTTCTAAACTAATTGAAGTTTTGCAAAAACAACGACTCTGCCATAATACACGCACCAGATGCTAACTTTTTTGTCAATAAAAAAATTTTTTTTGGGTGGAAAGGCCCTTTAAACTCTAGTGACAGATGTTGTGGAAAGAAAGGAAAGGTGACCTTTGGTGTAGAGGGCAAATTTTCAGCAGTTGCTTTTATCGCAATATTCGCAACAGAAAATCGCAGTACTATCACTTTTCGATTTTTCAGAATTTTCGATTTGTGTGTTTTCTATTCAAGAGCAAGTGATTTTTTCCTGTAATCATATCGGATTCGAAAAAAACAAAGGATGTATCTAAAAACACATTTGGGCTCAAAACGAAACTTTTCTTGAAAATGTCTAGGCTGGGCAAAATTTATTGAATTCTTACAATAAAGAGTGTAGTCATTGCTTCTCTCTATTTAAATGCTTCTTTATTGACGTAGTACTTTTACACAAGTTAATTTCGTTTCTTGCCCTCTTTGTATGTTGGCCTAGCTCCTAGCTACAGTTAAAAACAAAACTCAGAAATGTTTAGTGTCTCTCCTATTATTATGACACTAAACGTGCAGTAAAAATTAAAGAGCTATTATGGAGATATTAGTACCGCAATTCGAATAATAGAGGTTCAGAAATTAGGAACTTTAGGGCCTAGGTTTTGAGTTAGAATTTTTATGAAAAGGCGTGAAATGAAAATATGTGTAACGTGGATTTGTCGAGGTTTATGGCGACTTCAACGATTATTCTCTTACATGTTTTTTGAGATTTATTCAAGGGGTGACCGGATGATAAGATATTTGGGACTAATGGCTAATCCCCCCGGGCACCAACTCGACACCACTCTGCAAACATAAATAACAGCCATTACGTCAACAATATTCAGCTTGCACTTGACACCATGACATAGTGGCCGAGGTTTGTTGCAATAACAGAGAAAAACTTAGTTTGGTTCTAACCCAGCTACGAGGGATTCCTATCTTTAAAAGAAAATGACGATAATTTCTCAAACAAATCGATTTGTTCCAGATTTTTTGGGGGAGGGGGTTCCATTCCTCCCGCCCCCTGGGATTTACGACCCTGGCCTTTAGTCTCATAGAATGCGGTACTTCCATTGTGCCAAGACAGAATCTGTATAAAGTTCACTATAACAATTGCCAGACAAGGGCTGGGGAGGTTGTTTGGTGCCATACTCTTCATGTACCTAGACAATAATGGAAAAGTCTTTTTTTCAATTTTAACTGTAAGATAATCAAGATAAGAAACTAAACAAAGTACAATTTTTCGTAATTTTATCACAACTGACTACCGTAAAGTAATTTTTTAACGAACCAAAGCGAAATTCAACGAATGACACAAAGATATTTGGGGTTTTCGCACTCCTAACCACCCCCCCTCCCAACCACCACCACCACACACACACCTGGTAAATCCGTCCTTGATGATATTTTAATTGATTGTGAGGAGCATTGAAAAATAAATAAATTGGAGGATTTCCCTCAGTTTTAAATACTTACCACTGTCCTTCACACCTGAATCCTGGTTCATGAGAAAAAGTTACAAGAACCAGCGCCGGAAAGCAAATAATTTATATAATGAAAAAATTCAAGTTTCTGACAGTGAACACCCACGTTGCCCTATCACCAGTCTTCGTCGAGAATTCGCGGGATATGCGCGGATACAGCTCTGATCAATTGCTCGGCTTTTTATTGCGATGATTAACACCTTGGTGAAGCAGCTCATACATAGGTGTTGATTGATAAACTGTTTATGTTTATTGAATCCATTCAACTGCCTGAGAATATTTTACCTAAAGCCACCGGTAAAAGAACTGACCATTTTTTTAAAACTTTCGATGGGAAGGTTAATTTTGGTAACCTATTGACAACATGCCTGGCAGCTTCCTGTCTTGCCTAGGCCCAACATCGTTAACCAGAAAGTTGATAGCATAAACAGAATTAAGACATTTGGACAGAAAGCAGTATTTTTAGCAACATATTTGGAGATATGTTGGCTTCAGAGACATATTGCCCTTAAAACTGACTGCTGATCGAATTGTAAGAGGTAAGACCACAGCTTTTATTGATCCAAGTTCGAAACTGAAAGCATAGTAGGGTTCGTGAATGAAGCATTTTTCAGTCTTTTGCAATACCTACAGTTCGGGATTGTGAGAAGTACAATTGGGTTTAATCTGACCATTGTTTTGCTGTTACGTGTTAGTAGTTTTTTTGTAATCTATCAATCATTTTGTGGGATATACTATGGTTTGATATATTGTCGTAAATGTGCCTAAAATCTTAACATTCCTCCCGTTTGTGAATCCATTGTGGAATTTTCTTTGGCAAATTGCCTTTGAATTAGGCCCCATTTCAGTTTCGCTCTAGATTCTTGTTTCGCTATTCTAGTATAATCGTCAGAATTATTGATCTGGACCTGGTCGAGGCGGTATATTAAATTAGCTGTGACTTAAAGAGTTTATGCAGTGCTATATCTGTAATCGTTTGAAAACTTCGTTCTTCTATTTTTTTGCATAAAACCATTTTCTTATGGCTAAAAATTTACAATCTTAATAATTTTCATTTTAATATATATAAAGGGATATGCATGCAAAACACTTACATCCGTGAAACCGATAAGGAAGAAGTTTCAAGGTTCTTTTGAAATGCAAAATCAGTAGAAGATACAAAGAAATTGTCCAAAATAATTTATCTTTTCCCAAGCTGCCGATTCAACATTCAAGGAATACATAAAAGTTACCCACGTCATGTAAAAAAGGCATAAAAACATACATTCTGAGAGATAGAATATATGTCTAAACTGTCTAAATCATGAAAAAAAATTTTTAAGCTTGAAAAATTAAAGACAGACACATTGAATGCCAAGTTGTTACAAGATTGCTACTTTGTGCAGACATCTTTCTTTTTTTAGATATATGTTAAAAAGTATGGGATATATAATGTAAGGGAATCGCAAAAGGAACTTGTGTAATCATCTTAGGCTGTTTGTACACAAAGAGTATACAATTTGAGAGATTTTGATGTGGTCCTTACGGTTTTCCTACCAAAAGGGGTGTGTCAGGGCTATTTTTATAGTTGATTCAACTTCCAAAGAAAATTTTCTGTTCAGAATTGAGTTTAATATGGAGTAGAAGTTTCTTTTTAACTTGATTTAAAGTTTAGCAACTCATTTTGACATTTAGTAATGGCTATCAAAGTAGAAGCTTACTGTTTTTGGTAGATTTTGTTGTCTAATACTTTGTGTCTCTAGTCTTATTGGTTTTCTAATACTTTCTATCAACTTGAAGTTTTTCTACTTGATGTTATGTTTTGATGTATTAATAGCATTATATTCAGACACAAGAAATTTTCTGACAGCATGTTTACTTGAGCAACATTTGTTCATTGAAAGAACCTGTTTTTTCTATTTTAAGTTCAATTATCACCTGCCAGACAAAAAACAGGTATAGTGTTAATGGTATCTTGATTTCATGAGCTTGTGACCAATGAATATCTCATGTTTGACAATGTGCTTGAAACAGATTGGCTGCATGTCAAAAGAATGTTTTATCATTGTATGTAAGCCCAGTTAGAATGATAAGAGCTAGGATCCCAAATGCAAACCTCCACAGGCCTATAAAATTTATTGTAAGGTTCAAACACTTGTCAGTGTGCTATACATGCCCAGTCTCACAACCAAACTGTTCATTTATTCAGATATTTTGCTGGATTGAAAAGTAAAATTCCCCATAACTCATGTGAAAAGGTGTTTTAATAGAAATAAATTATGTTTCAACATTCAGGCACACTTATTTTACCCTAGATCCCTTTTTTTCTTTGTTTCTTTTCCTGAACTTTATGTTTTTCTCTCTTTCGCTATTTACTTGGAATAGCTATGAGGTGACTGATTTATCACAACTGTGATTGTGTTCAAAGTCTATTGTCCAGGGAAAGACGTTATTCAGTCCTTTTCGTGAGCAAAATTACGCGTGTGTGGCAAATCGCACATGTAAACAAATTTGCGCGTGCGATCGCACTTGTAAGAAAATTTGAAGTACAAACCTGATAAAATTGGTAAAAGGAAAAAGCCACTCGAATACGTGCAAGAGCAAAACTCAATTAATCAATACATAACAGATTTTGTTGCCCTTAGCAGCCATCTTTTAAAAGTCGTCGTAACTCTCCAAAGTTACAAGAGCAAGTAAAAATTGTTTCCAACAGCTACTTGCTTTCAGGGCCTAATTACGTTTTGACAGGAAATCAGTTATTACACTTAACATGCTAATGGCGACTTAGCTGAAAGACGAGACGCTAAGTTGAATGGAGCACTCAGTCAAAAGCCAAACATCACTTCCGAAAATTGGAAAAATCATATTGTGGTCAAAAGTGCGAATCAAGTAACAAGGGAAAGGATAAACAATCATGAGACCATGGGAAATTGATGTTAAAGGGCCTCTCCAGCAAAAAAAATTTTTTTTAATGACTTAAAAGTTAGCATCTGGTGCGTGTATTATGACAAAGTCATTGTTTTTGAAAAATTCCAATTAGTTTAGAAGTTGCAAGGCTTTAAAGTTGCACCTTTCCGAGAAAAAAAACGACAAAAGCCGAATCAGTTTGGTGACATTCTGACGTCACAATGTGCGGCTCTCGTTCGCCATGAATTTCGTATATCTTCCACCGAAGCGTGAAGGAGTCATGGTCACGCGTTGATAACTGCATCCAGCTCCAATTCCTGTTCCAGCTCTTCCCTCGCGTATAATTAATCGAAATTGTCACTTCAGTTGTTCTCCAGAAACGATGAACAACTAAAGGCTTCAGAATTGGTGTCTGAAATGCTCAAACTAAAAGCTGGCGGAACAGAACTGAAAGTACCATCACTTGCAGTGTTCAATTTGCGAATCGCCGTCGTTCGATTCGGTTTGAGGCGAGACTATCCGAAATACACTGTGACGTCAAAATTGCGTCACAGTGTCACCAAACCAAAAATTTTTGTCGGTTAATTCAATTAAATTATCGAAATGCAAGAGCTTATATCTCACAAACTGTAAAAAAATATCGAAAAACAAATAACGAATTCGTGATCAGCAGGCTCAACTTCTTTATAAAAATTGCCAATAAAATGCAAGTGCAAAATTTGGCTGGAGAGGCCCTTTAACAGAAAACTGCAAAAACACCTGTTTGCGCGTGTGGTCAAAAGCACGCGCAATTTCACTTGCGCGTGTGCAGGCGTGTGCGGGTGCGATCGCACGCGCTAAACGAAAAGGACTGGTTATTAATTTTTTTTGTGATTGATACACAGGGAAGAAGATGTGGATTTAGTTTGCTTCTATTGCAAGTTCCATCAGTTGCTAGGCAATGTCTTGCAAGACTGTATTTGGTGTTAGTGAAATGCTCATCTGGTTTTTTTCTGAAAGACCTGACAGAAATTAATCTTTTCTAAGTACCTAGGGTAGCAGGGGCGGATCCAGTGGGGTGCGAAGGGGGCTCGAGCACCCCTCAGATTTGAGAACAAACTTTTTGAGGATTAAAGCTTATTCTACCGCAATTTTGTTTATTATTATTTAAACCATTTAAATAATACCGGGAAGTATGCACATCTCCTGAAATTGTTATTTCCGCTTCAATGCCCCGTCTCACAACTGTTCAACATTGTTATTTCAGTCCATGCATTGAAGTGTTATGAAACTCCCCCTGGTTGTCCTGTATAGCATTCTACAGACTCGGAAAGCATTGTCTCCTCTTATATCCAGCCACTTAAGGAACCCGTGGCCTGTAAATTATACGAGTTTCTGCACCCGTGGAAGTGAATCTAGCTAATCACGGTGCCAGGTCGAGGGGTTCTAAACTTTGGCGCGAGAACCCATGGATTTCAAAAATCCAAAACATCAAAGAATACCGACAAACCAGGGGGAGTTTCTTCGCTTCAATCTACAGTCAAATGTATAAGTGGTTTTATGACCAGGGGGAGTTGAGGTTGACCAGGGGGAGTTGAGGTTGACCAGGGGGAGTTGAATTATGATACAGCACGCGACGAATGCTTAGGCGCAAATTTGCAATATGTTTTCGTGGATCTTTTGACGATCTTTACCTGATGCTCGATGCTGGAACGGCAGAACTTGTAAACGCTGTGGTTTATATAACAGAACGGTTTCAAGTTTCAACTCCGTGTTTCACGTCTTATTCATAGACCATGAGGTATGATTTATATTCAGAGGATAAAGCTTGCCCGAGCCCCGAGCCCTTGTTATTCTTTTTTTAATAATTCAAGAACTACATAAAAAACATCTCAAAAACTTGCCCTTACTATTATTGACCAAAAGGGGTTTCCTTTTTATACCTACTTATATTCCTGCGAATACTTTTTTCTCTAAGAATTTCAAATACATAAAAATACTCAAAACGCCAGGCCCATAGCGAAACATTCAGGGCCTTCTTTGTTTGGTTCGGCGTCATATGTCGATGCATGCTGTGTTTGAATCCCTGTGTTCAACTTTTGCACTGCACTTCAAGGGCTTCATTCCACCAGCCACGTTATTTTTTTGGTCAAGCTGATCAAGTTCTAATAAATGGCTGCAAAGAGTCAAAAATTAAATTTTGCTTTGAAAATTTGTGGGCTCGGGCCTTTTGCCACTGCGGGCCATCATATCATATTTGACTACAGTTTCTATACTTTTGTACCCTAAGTGAATATAAGAGGGGCGAGCTGCAAATTGCGTTCAATTGGCATAAAAGCTGAAACCAAAAATTACTATATAAATCAAGGCATCCAGGCTTTTTAGTTTATGGAAGACTTTCATTTCATTATGGCTTATTAGCAGGGGTACAGAGTTTGTGCATAGCAACACCCTGGGTTACCAAGCCTCACGTTTTAGAACCCCTCAGAATAATTTCTAGATCCGCCCCTGGGTAGAATAGCTATTAATTTGACCAAACCTTTTTGGGAGGTACAATACCCAACATTTTCCCATAGATAGTTTCAATTTTTTTCTATCTCAAGGTGTTCATCATCATCAGGTACCATCTTCTATCAGAAAGTTGGCTACCATGACTCTCCAACTATTCCAAAATCTGAGTTTTGGTTTGTTGTCATGCTCATAAAAAAAACTAGTAGGCTAATAGTGTGGTAAGGGGTAAGGGGCTAATAGTGTGGTAAGGGGTAAGGGGCTCACTGTGTTGCTTGCTTCTACAAAAACATGTTGAAATCTGTGATCATGGGTGTCAATTTTGAAACTTTTGCCCTCCTTTGACATGGAATGGCCCCATCCTTATTTTAAACCAGACCCATTTTTATGTGTCTCAACAAGATTTTGAAAGAAAGACAGGATTGGCACAAAGAGGCATTACTTTGTCTGCCTGCCTATGACTATCAATTCTAGAAATAGGTTGGTTTCGGGGTAGTAAACACCCTGAAATCTCTAACAATTTTGTGTATTTTTAGAATTATATAATGATGCCCCTGTTTCATGTTAGCTTGGAAACCCTTATAATCATCCAATCACAGCTGAAATGGTATGTGGTTTACATGAAAAAACATGTTCTAGCTTGAAAAAGTTCTTTCACCACAATTTTTATAATGATAACAAAGTTCTGAAATTTACTGGTTGTTTTGATGTAAGCTACTTTATTCAAAGTATATAATTAAATGATTATATTTGTTTTGAGCTTGATGAGGATCAGAAGATCTGCGCTAAGGTTTTTTGGAGAGACAGTTCAATTTATCTCGCTTTTTAAAAAGCGAATGATACCTTCTATCACTTGCCTTTATGATTCTGAACAGCTTTGAAATGACAGAATGTTTTTTCAATATGAAGAGCACATCATTGTTTTGACATAGGAAGTCTAATAAATTCATCTTTTGTCTCACATTTCATTTAGTTAAAATCATCTACTAAAACTGCTCTCTGAGTGCTATTACATTTCCATCTGTTTGGGCATGTTTCATTCTTCTAAAACTTGTCAATTTGCTGTTGATTTTTCAAATTGGTGTTTTGGTCTGGCAACAAAACTTCAAATCACATTACAAAGAAACCTGTTTTCTGTGTTGACAAAAGATAAAAATATGCAACGCTTGCAGTGGTTATATGTAGGGCCCCCTAGAGCCGCAACGAGCCCAGGGGCAACCCAATTATCCCCTACCCAAAGCAATAAACCCAGAATGCATTAAATTTGGATATTAAATCCATTTAATATTCTTTATACTTTTAATTTATCTTTGTTAAAAATTTTAACCTATTTCCTGGTGACTAATTGTTGTGGTAACCATTCAACAAATTAATTACTTTTATCCTTAAATTCTTGTATCAAATTATTTTCAAATTCTTCTTTGATAGCTACCAGTACGGACTTCTTGCCAACAAAATATGGCAAGCAATCCACGTGTGGCAGATTATTTTGTCGTTGTTGGTGCAGAAAATCTGCAGAACCCAGAAGAAGATGTTGAAACACTGGAACCAATCACAGATCTTGCTGTCATATTCAAAAACAGAGGAGAGACACCACCCCCTGGATACGAATGCATAGACCTGACGCCAACAGGCTTGACTGCAGATTTAAATGCAGGCTCAATACGGAGCGATTCATGTTTTCTCTGCTACAAAAGAGGCAGAGACAAAGCCCCATTGATGGATATAGGGTGAATATGCATTGTGTTATTCCCTCTACAAGATTCAATTCCTCTTCAAGAAACAATGCTACTTTTTATTCCAGGAATTTCTTTCTTGCCTTAGGTGTTAACCCTCTCTAATTCAGTTGCAGACACCTGGGGGCAGGGGATGGGCATTCCCCCCCCAATATTTTGGAGGACATTGGTCTTTTGTTCTAAAACAATAGGAATATGTGATGTCATCTTATCAAAACAAAAAAAATTGCACCCCGCCCCCACCCCCCCAATTTTTGACCAAATGTCCGCCCCGCTGTTATTCTTCTTGCTTTTAGTTTACCAAGAATTCTTTACATTAGCTGCTACAGAATATATGTGACGTTCAACTTATTTATTTTCAGGGTCCTATACGAAGGTAAACAAAGGCTAATGCCATCATGTGGGATCGTCAACAAAACACCAACTGGCCTAGTTGCTAATGTTAACAACTCAACCAACATGAGAATATTCATAACATATCGACGAGCACTGCCTCAGTTCGCTCACTCGCAACTTGCAGTGATTGATATATGCGCCATCATTGCCAGTAAGGTACGTATGCGCAGAATCACAACACATTACCTGATTGGTTGTTTATCCATCCTCCCTTGGAAAAGTAGCTGTGGCATTTTGCTCTGGTTGAGAATGACAACTTTTACCGATTTCCTAACGCATGCTACATTACATCAGACTTGTTTTCTCCCCGTTTTTTGTTTAGATTTTTTGAAAACTCAAATTGCTACATGGAAGGTAATATAAAACTAACCTGAATTTTCTTATTTTTAGGGAGAAAAGCCTCCTCACGCCTTCTGCTTGATTGACAGAAATTTAAACCAAGGCCTGGTGAGTCACATGCTTATTCATAACTTTGGGAACCGCAACTTGATAATAAAATTTAGAATAAGCACCATGACAGTAAGAACATAATGTGAATCCATTCGACAACTCCTTGTTACATCGTGACAATATAAAATCCGATTAAGTTTAACAAATCCGATAAATAGACAAATCCATTACATTCGGCAATTCCTTGTTACAAATCCGTTTAAAGCGTGTTCATAGCTATGGTGAATCCACTATTAAAGGACATTTTCAGTAAGATGCAAGTCCCAATTAGGCCTGTCAAAAATGAATACATTTCAGTAACAAATAACTCCTAGTTAAAAATTTCTTACTATTAAAGACAGTGCTAATTTCCAGAAAGACTTTGGACAACCTGTAAAAGATGGAATTTTGGATTGTCATTAAAGAACTTCATAATTATTATTTTTCTCATTTTCATCATCGAATTTTCCACCTGCGGTTATTGTAAAACCACTTGCTGCTTCGTGTATTGCCTAAACTATACTAGAAATTTGGTGACATACTTTTTCAAATTTTAATAACATTTTGTCTTTTTTAGCAAGAGCTACCCGTTGCTTATAACATCACAATTGCTTGTAATATCGATCTCCTTTTTATAAACACTTTAATCAAGTATTCTTCACATCAACTTGTAGGTCGGTTCCGATGTTTATTTGTGCTATCGAAAGTCACTGGCGAGGACTAACTCTGTTTCATACAAAGCAGGTGAGTTTGACGAATCAGACAGTATTTTGGTAACAAAAATGTTATCAGCTAATCTGCGGAACCACTAGCTTATATAGCGCTTTGAAGTTGTCCATTGCGGATAACACATTGCCAACTGCTATTAAGCAATCAATGTTTATCCCTTGTTTTTCAATCGGTTTAGACAATGCTCTTTATCATGATGCTTGTGTTTGTAATTACTTCAAAGGCATTTGACACAGGTAAAAGCTTACAGCCACTCGACCACGAGGGTTTGACCAATCAAATTGCGCACAGAGAAAAATGCGCGAACAGTTTCCGCCTTTCTGCAAATCGGTGAAATAATAGAGCAGCGCGCAGTGGTTCCAATTCCTTTCTTGTGCGCGTGCTCTGATCATTTTGGCCTAAGTTTTTTTTGGATTCGCTGTACTTATGCATGTCAAATGCCTTTAAAAGCAATGATAAGCTGTGTATACGTTACTACACTTTTGTTGCCCACTGGCTCAATTCACACGATTTCCCTTGAAATTTTGTTGAACACCCTGTGTCCTTGACCACAGAGTGACCTGAAGGGTTTGGAGACTATCGATAAGTAGAGTGTTAGGCCTATAGTTTGACATATTTTACAGATAATTATGAATTTTCCGCAAGGCCCTTCTGCTCTTTTCATGGTACTCAGGGCTTTGGTTATTTTGAATACAAGCAAACAATCAGTTGCTGAACTCTGAAAGTGTTTTTCCTAACAGTGGGGTTGGGGCGAAAATTTTTTTTTTTTTTCATTTGTTTTCACTGTATTGTGACTAAATACGATTCGTTTAAGGGCTTGACATTTACTTATGATAATGACATGGTTACATAATAACACAAAACGGAAACTGCAACTAGGCATACAAAAAATTACATTCAGCAATTAAGACTAGACCTTAAAGTTGTCAAATGTGCCTACCCATTCCTGGAATTCGAAGATTTTATCTTTTGCATGTTCCTCGATAATGGTTATGGGAGTATAAGAATAAAAGATCAATTACAAAGAATGGTTTCCCGGGAAGATCAATCATACAGTAGAAACCCGCATTAAAGAACCTAGGTTTTTTCTGGCAGCCTGAATAGGTTCTTAATAACCAGGCTGCTATTCTAAATTCTTAGTCTAAATTTCTTAACAAGGTTCTTATATACGTACAGGCCTTGCACACATGAAAAATGTTTTCCACCGCAAGAATTCTCAAAAAGGGACACACTTAAACCAGCTTTTTTAATGCTAAATTTCAACCAATCGAATGAATTTGTGTTGTTAGATTGTCCAGTTAGAATGCAACATACCATATTCTGATTTACTCTAATAAGAACCTTTTTCAGCCTTAATGTTCTTATAAAAACAGGTTCTTTTACGCGGGTTTCTACTGTATGTCTTTGAAAATAGTCGTTTCCTACAAATCTAACTGATTCCTCTGATTAAATAAAATATGGCAGCCATTGTCAACCAACAATTGGGATACTTTCTTTACTTTTTCTGTTGCGATTCCTGCCACAAGAAGCCGAGTTCATTGTGGCCTCCATTTATGCAGTAAGTGTCAGCACCATATTCCAGCTGCAGTTGAAGTTGATTTTACGGAACGATCCGTCAGCTTTTTTAACACCTTTCTGTTTTTTCTAGAAATTATAAGCCGTTATCCACTTGAAGATCACCCGGAATTGTCGCTTCCCAGTTCTGTTCCGCTGTTTTGCTTGCCCATTGGCGCAGTTGTTGAATGCTGGGCTGCCAGTGCAAAACCACCCTTCCCGATATTCTCTACTTTTGCGCTAACTGACGTCAAGGGAGAAAAGGTACGAAATAGCATGACATACAATGCATCTTCCCTTCACTTAAAGTATCTACAACTTTACAAGCTGCAGTTCTAGTTTTTGTCATGCTACTAGAGATATGCTACAAACTTCTCTGCCCAAGTTTAGTCACCTGTTTACACCACTATTTCACTGCACTACAATGGCTATTTATTGTGGCCTTGTGCGCCTGTTACTTTCAAATCGTAATGTCATATTTAGTCATAAGATAATCTTTGCTTTTCTTGCGAGGTTAAGCAATGTTATTAATAATATTTTATCAGATCATTTTACACTATAGCCTTCTTTGTTCCATGTAAACGCTTTGCCAAATTACACGTACTACCTTTAAAAAGACTGAATAAAGGCCGTTCAATTATTTCATACGAGACTCGTACAGTTAGCTCTCTTAGTTATCTTTTCAGAAACTAGAAAATTGATCATGGAAGTTATCAAACTTAATGCCTCATTTTCTTCTCTTCTTCTCCTCTTTCTGATTTTCTACCTCTTCTTCTCTTGATTTTTACTCTTTTTCTTTGTCCCCTATTTTGCCCAGCTGGTTGCTTTCACCTCCTTTCCTCATCTTGTCTTCCCTCGAGATGTCTATAGGCTTTACACTTTTCCTAGTTTCCATGCTTTTACATGTTTGTCTCCACTTGTTTGTCTTCCGCTTTCATCACCTGCCCAAACCACTTTGTTCATGTCTCTGTTCTTTTTTTAATTGCATTTTATTTTAACAGATATATGCTGCAGGCATAACATTTTTTGAAGAACTCCCGGAGGAGTCCTATTCAGAAGAAGTGCGTGCAATGCTGAAAGAGCAACAGCAAGTAAGGCTCCTCCATTTTTGTACATTCTGGCGGACACTTGGGGGGGGGGCGAGGGGACGATCCCCAATACTTTAGAGAACAATGATATTTTGTTCTAAACCAATGGGAAATATGACGTCATCTAATTAAAACAATAGCCTTGCCCCCCCCAATATTTGACCAAGTGTCCGCCCCTGATTGCCCATTCTGGAAATGTTGCCAGACACGTGGGCTTCCCCCCACCCCCTTTAAAGTCATAAATTAATTGTTGAAGACTATCGTGGCATATAGACAAGTGTACTGTTGTCCAATGTATATGTAGATATAAATCATATATCATGTAGCAATGTTTGCAGAATCATCTCTAAATCTACGTCTTCATTTATTGCAGAGCCATGACGGCGAGAAGTACATCGTGCACACGAACAAATGCTTGTGCGTGTTATCGCATTACCCCTTCTTCGATGCCTTCAGGAAATTTTTGCTGGCAATTTACAGATTATCAATATCAGGCTCACAGGCGATTCCTCTTGAGAGGTCTGATTGTGTTTTTTTATTCACTTTTTTCAAGAAACCTCAAGATAAACTGATTCCACGCTCGATAAACTTAAATATCTAGATCCCCTACTTTGTTCGACATGTAGCCAAATGTGAGGATAAGGTCAGCGTTGACAAACTATAGGCCTAACCTTCCAACCGAAACCTCTTTCATTCTCTAGCGCAGTAGCGATGTGATCACTGTCTCTCGTGATTTGATTGCTAACCATATAACACATGACAGTTCTTGTCAAAGCAGTGCTACAAAAGGTTCAACTGAAAGGCCGAGATATTTGTTAAAGAAGGCATTTCAAGCTCGAGATAAACGTGGTTTGAGTAATAACCTAAACACAAAACAAGAAGAGTTTCGTTTTGCTTTAAAAGTTGAATATTACGTTGCTTACAACAATTTATTTAATCTTTTAGGTACATATCTCATTTTATGACCAATGTGGAGTTTCCTACACCTCAAAAACCTCGAGTGCAAGTTCTAGTGAGTTGCTTTTATTATGCTATATTTTTTTGTTTGAAATCATTTGGTCGAGGCATTGGTGACTAACCACACGAAGTATTTTCAACCCTAGCATATTGTGTTACAGTGTATTTCAAACACGCTAGGCTGCCTACTTAAAATTTTTATCGTCCTTGAACTTTGTTCCTTTTTTCTAGGATTATAATAATGTTGTAGTTTACCAATTTTAAATTTAGAGGATTTCAGAAGTTCCAGTAGCAAAAATTTTTCAAATTTCCATTTTCCTGTAAAATCTTTCTACCAAATATTTTCCGTTTTAGAAAACTTTTTCCGAGACGTTAAATCTAAAATAATTAGTTATAGCATTAATTGCCAAACTGTAATGGAAAATCTGTTTTAGATGACACACGAATCGTTTGATCTTGTGGAACCATCGCATGGACCCCTACCCATCAGGTAAGTGTGGCAATTGCAAGGTTCTCATGTGGATTTATTAATGAATTCGTATTTGCTACCTAGCACCCGAAAGTAGTTTTTAGGACACTAAAAAGCTGTGTTTATTGAGCTGTTTCCCATCCCGTCTCAACCCCATACGGTTACAAAGTTATGGCTAAAACAATTTTGGTGCACCCCATTTTTGTTCCTCTTTTTTGGTTTTTGGCACACAGCGGTGCAACTGTAACTGGTACCGCCTTGCCCCTTCGGCAATCACAACTACACCATATAGCGACCACTTTACACTTGGTGGAACATTTTTCACTTGTACCACTCGTCTGGCATATATCTGGTAACATGTGGTACTTTTTGCCCCTTCTGACGTCACTGTGACGAAGGTGCCACACCCAACCATGCCCAATATCCCGCCAGTTGTTGCCGGTACCGAGACCTTCAATTTGTATCATGTCCCATATTTTTCACGTTTGTGGCTCAAAAGTTATGGTCCAAAAAGCGATTTTGGCACTTTTTGGCCCTACTGGACCACCTTCTGGCACACGTAGCTTGGCACAGAGAGGTGGTACCCCCATGAAAATGTTGTGCCCCCGTTAGAACTAATGTTGGGTAACATTAGGTTTCAGTTCCTTTCTCTAGATGTGAATACACCTCATGATTGCTACACCTGGAGTAACAAACAGCTAGCGACTCTCCTCACGACTTGAACCACGGTCTATTGGATCAGTGCCTCTTGCCTCTACCCTCGCATTTTTTAAAGTGTCGGTACTCAAAGTAAGACCCGTCTTATAGCACCCTAAGCAAACCGAGTCTTGTCTCTGTTGACTTTTTCGTCAACCTGAAAAATTATCAGGTCTTACTTAAACCGCAAAAAAGCTTTTCCTAATCCAAATGGATGGAATTGAATGCATCTAGATGATGGAATCCCTCAATGCGTTTTTTCTTGTATCTAATTGCTTATACCAAAGTAATTAAATTTTGTGTGAGAAGGAAGAACCGCAGGATAGGCTGTCCGCCGGATTCTGTGAATCTTGCAATGAGTGTTGGTATGAAAGATATACAGAAATAAAGCAATACGACTACGAGAATCCAATGTCACAAAATAAAATTTTCAAAATAAATTAAATTTAAAGAATATACTAATATTTCGCCCCGGCATACAGGGCTTCATCAGAGTAAATAAAACGAACGAGTGTATTAAATTAAATTCAGAGTGATTAAATTTTACTGTTTCTGAAGCTATTCGGAGTATATGTCAAATCGATTGAATTTTCCAACTAATTAGGTTTTGAAATAGATAGCCCTGGCAAAGAGACTTCCCAACCAGTTACTAATGCAAACTGCAAGTCCATTTCCAGGCAAGTTGGTATCCATTTGAAACAAAGGGTTGCTAGCTAGACGTTTCAAGTTGAAACTTTGGGGAAACCCGTGTTTGATAATCGATACCCATTAGCTTCTTGAAGACATGCCATTTGTTTGCTAACGGGACTTCCTAATCAACAAGACTTTTAGTTTGCAACACTGAATAAACTTATGCATGACAAGCCTCTACTTCATTTTCAGCGGAGCATCCCACTCGTCGTTGTTGCGCTGCCTAGGCCCTGACAACGTGCTCACGTTGTTGTGTTGTGCACTGACAGAACAGAAAGTATTAATACACTCGCTTCGGCCAGCACTGTTGACAAGTGTCGGTGAAGCCATCACTGCCGTAAGTTCCTTGCCTACTTTTGCAAGCTCTTTTATCATATGGTACACCTGAGTTTCAAAATGAGTGCACCCAACCTTTGTTATAATATATGTCTGTACGAATCCAAACAATTTATTTTTAAACTTGCGCTGCTATATCATTCAGAAGTTTACCTCCCGGATTCTTTTTTGATTCAAGATAGTGTCATTTAATATCCAATGATAAGTATTATATCCGATTAGGAAAATGAAAATACATTGTTTATGCATATTTTAAGACTCCTTAAGAACCTTCCTATTCGTTTGATACTTCTTAGAATTGTTTTACATTGTTGTTACTTCTAAAATTGTGGTACATAGTTGATACTTCTAGGAATTGTGGTACATAGTTGATACTTCTAGGAATTGTGGTACATAGTTGATACTTCTAGGAATTGTGTTACATGGTTGTTACTACTAACAATTGTGTTACATGGTTGTTACTTCTAGGAATTGTGGTACATAGTAGATACTTTTAGGAATTGTGGTACATAGTTGATATTTCTAGGAATTGTGGTACATAGTTGATACTTCTAGGAATTGTGGTACATAGTTGATACTTCTAGGAATTGTGGTACATAGTTGATACTTCTAGGAATTGTGTTACATGGTTGTTACTACTAACAATTGTGTTACATGGTTGTTACTTCTAGGAATTGTGGTACATAGTAGATACTTTTAGGAATTGTGGTACATAGTTGATATTTCTAGGAATTGTGGTACATAGTTGATACTTCTAGGAATTGTGGTACATAGTTGATACTTCTAGGAATTGTGGTACATAGTTGATACTTCTAGGAATTGTGTTACATGGTTGTTACTACTAACAATTGTGTTACATGGTTGTTACTTCTAGGAATTGTGGTACATAGTAGATACTTTTAGGAATTGTGGTACATAGTTGATATTTCTAGGAATTGTGGTACATAGTTGATACTTCTAGGAATTGTGGTACATAGTTGATACTTCTAGGAATTGTGGTACATAGTTGATACTTCTAGGAATTGTGTTACATGGTTGTTACTACTAACAATTGTGTTACATGGTTGTTACTTCTAGGAATTGTGGTACATAGTAGATACTTTTAGGAATTGTGGTACATAGTTGATATTTCTAGGAATTGTGGTACATAGTTGATACTTCTAGGAATTGTGGTACATAGTTGATACTTCTAGGAATTGTGGTACATAGTTGATACTTCTAGGTATTGTTGTAGCCAAAAGTACCTCATTCCAAAGTGCCGAGGAGGCGGTATTCAAACATCAAATTTCCTACCAGCCAACGTTGTAAATTCTGCCCCCTCTTATCATATTACCTTGTAGCGTCTCAAGTCAAACACAAGGACCTATCCCCTTTTTATTATTTGTTTTCTGTTCGGAATATTTTCTTATATATCGGAAGTTCAGAGGATGTTCAGATCCAGTTTATTGTCTTTTCTTGCAGCTTTTATTTCCATTTGTTTGGCAATGTCCTTACGTACCTTTATGTCCGCTGAAGTTAGCCGATGTGTTGTCAGCACCATGTCCGTTTATATATGGTAAGATAAATTTAACTCCCTTTATTATATCATCACAATCACTGCTTGTCTCTCCCTTTCCTCTGTTTTTTCTCTACCAAATGCACCTTTTCCCTGCATTTTGAATCTTTCTTCTCCTCTTTTTGTATCTGCAATTTCATTCCTGCCTCTCGCCCGTCTTTTTCCTTTATATTCTTTCTTCTCGTTGTCTGTCTTCCTCCCCTAGTTTAATTTTTACTTTTTCTTGTTTCATCTGCAGGTATTGATTCAAGGTATTTTGATCGAGGTAGCCCGCCAGAGGATGTAACTTGTGTTGATCTTGATACAAATATGATCACCCAGTATGTATTCTCAATTTTACTTTTCACCTGAAATTGCTTTTAGACTTAGCTTCAGCCATTAAGAAATATATGTGAACCCACTTCACATAGCCGTAGTGGTTCAGTCTTTTATCGATGACGTTTGTGCTGAAAGAAAAATTTGTGATACAAGTATAGATTTATTTTCAATGATGAAATAAGATGGCATATCAAAAATACCCTAATGTTGTGAAATATTACGAAAAGATTAATTAAGAGAATCTCAACGAATAGAAATTTAAGTGCAAAGAAACATAATACTAACTGAGTCCTGATCTGGGTTGGTTCCTTGCACATTTTTGTTGTAAACGTCATAGTTTTAACGCATTAGGTTGGATTTTCTGCAATTTAGGAAACTGTCTTGACACATTAGACTATTTTTATTAGACGTTTGCTAGTTCAGATTGTGATAACACAGATTCTAACCATCAGCTGTCATCAATATGAATCATGTTTGATGGAAAGTTAGAAAATATTATGACAACATATGTCATAGGTTCTCAAGTACTTCATGTAATGCAAATAACCTCGCCTTGAAACCTGTTAAGCCGAGGCTGGATAGAATTCAGTTGCAAATTTTTCTATGTACCAGTTTTTTCAATATGCATGTATTTGATTTACTGGTATTATGCCTAAGACATAATTCGTATATTTATAATTCGGAGAGGTTTTGTAAACTTTATGAACTTTGCACGAATTTTTTGTATGATATTATTTTTTAACTTTGCTTGATTTTTTATAACTTTAGAGCAATGCTAGATCCAAAAGAACCAAGAGACATTTCGTGGAGACTTTTGCCAAAGGTTTGTTTCTGTTTCTTTTGGGCGTTGTATTTGGTTGGGAATGAAATGATGGGCGTGGCAAAACAGATACGGCCAACTTAGTACCAATAACATATCCTATTTGATTGGTCTAGCCATGATCCTAAACCTGAAGTATTAGTAACAAAAGCCGATTTTTTTACAACATCTGGATTGTTGACACCTCATCAATAAACTTTTCACGTTTTCTTTTCATATTTATAAAATTCATATGTTTATTAAGTATTGAAAATGCAGGCTATTTCGTCGTATCATATAAACGTCCTTATAAACATCCCCCGTTTTTACTTTGAAGACTTCTCTAAGTTGTTACTAATCGGGATATAGCAATACATTATGCTTCTGTATTGTCTATTTTTTTCTGGTAAATAAGCTCAGTAATAAAATTTATTGAATTTCATCTAAGTCCTAGCACTCATCCCGCCATAGGCCTAGTACGCTGTTCAGGTTGAAAATGCATAATGTCACCTTTTTTGGTTTGTTTACAAAACCGTAGCTCAGCCCCTAAATTCAAATATCCTCGATCCTGAATGAAAATATAGGCCCCTATTATCTTCTTCAGTGCAAGTTTGACGTATAAAAGCTGTGCATAAGCCGTCTTGCCTGAATTGAATGTAGAAAACAGCTCCAAAATTAATGTGACCTGTGAATTTGAATCAGAGAAAAAGTAAATCATTGCTGACTTATTTTTACAGAAACCTGCCAAGGCTCTCAAAGACAGACTGGATGCAATTTTCAGCGAAGTCCTAATGAGTAATTTCACAATTTTATCATTTTACTAATTTCTAGTGGTCACTTTGTTGTATATGTATATAAAGAACAAAATTCAAGTTTTTCTGCGTTTACAAATTTAATCAAAGTCAAGTTTTGTTGTCAGCAACTTTTACAGCATTCTGGCCATAAAATGCTACGAATTCTGAAAATTAAGCCATTCTAACTTGTATCCAGTTATATCTTAAATATTAATGGCTTTTATTTGTTTTTATAATTGTTACTACTGTTTTTTCTATAATCTTATTCATTTTCATGTGGAGAATTTTTTCATTTTTATACTTTTTCTTGACAATTTTACGTTTCAATTGTACTTATTCCACTACTTTTCACAACCCATGAATTGTCTCCAATCTCTCCTTACCCTTATGACGAGAAACGTTTTTAATGTTTATACACCTCAGTGCTAGAAAAATAAAAAAGAGGTCTGTTTTCTAAAGTTTTAGAAAACTCTTTTACCCAGTAAAACTGTTCTATCTTTGAGCTGGATTCACAATCTCAGTAGTTCAGATTTGTAAATATATAATTATAAGGATCTTAATACGTATATGATGCTGATAGGTTTTATGTTGAATCATTCATTTATATTGTCCTAAATAGCCTCTTTTCGATTTGCTTAGCTTACAACGAGGATGTCGATAGAGCAATGGACATGCCGCCAATGGATACTGATGGGTCATCTGCAAAACGAAAGGTCGGTACATTATTGCGTTACACGAAAGAGATGCCTGTTTTATAAAGGTGTTGCTAGAGTTAGGCCTTAGATTATAACGTCTGCTGCCAAGAGAAATGATTGTCTCAACTATCAAAAAAGTAATTTCTTTTTGCGATAACCATTTCGTGGACTTGTATCTGGAAGCTGATTTTTGTACAAAACTCTTGTCGTTATTCTGGACCCTTTGTTTTTGTAATCAAATTTGTATCCATATATAAGTTTACGAGCCCATCATTCTAATTTTTTCTTCTGTTTCCATATATATATATATATTTCTAATAAATGATTTAATGATGTTTAAAGTGAATGCTACTAAATATTTTATATGTTTCTGGACAGGTAGAAACGGATGGTTCTTACCTTCGATTTTCTGAAAGGTTCCTGAACCACCCTTTTTGGTTCAGTAAACATGATGGATTCATACTCATTATGTTAAGGAGTCATAGTTTCACAATTTTAGTCCCTTTTTCGCGAAGTCAGTAATAAACAAATTCCTGATTGAGAGTCGACGGCCTAGGATAAGATAATTTCGACGGGTCTATTGATATGTCTTACAATGGCAAGTCACGAAACTTGCTTGACTAAGTGCAATCATTTAGATATTCGTTAAAGAACTTTGATTGCTATTTGAATCAAGATTTTTGAGCCTTTTTCTGATTATGAACAGGGAAAACTTGAAGTTTGTATACAGGAGGCATTTTTACGGTTCAACGCAACAATCCTCAAAGGCTACAGGTGGGACATCACATTTAAAAGTTTATGCTTGGAGTAGTTTAGTTGTATGGATGTCTAAATAGTCTGTGATATTCCTTTTGTTTTTTACTTTCTTTTATATCATAAAATATTGTATCACAAATGTCGAGGGAAGATAGTGATAACAATTGCATTTATCTATCAAAACAATGTGGACGTCTTAATGTATTTTCATTTTCACTGTAAAAATATTTTTGAAAGACCTGTTGGTATTCACAAATAATGAACTCTTTATTTTTTCAATAATTTTCCATCATTCATACAGAGAGTTAGCCAGCGTGCAGGCTTTACAATTGCCAGGTCTGCGCAACGGCGCTCATTTCCATGTATCCCGTACGTCAGCATTTCTTTTAGGAATTGTCTTTTTCATAGTCTTTTATCATTGGCACAATGGCTTTGAATTGAATTTTAATTGTTTGTACTTACAATTTCCTCTATTTATAGAGTCTGCACAGGCTAACAGAGAGTTCATAATTTTGACTTTCTTGATTTAAGTCCGTTTCAATGTATATTGAGGATCAAAAGCTTAGGTATCTAATTCTGACATTTAAAAGTAGTTTAATTTTCATACTGGTTTCATTAAATTTATTCTTTCAAAATTACCAACTCCTTCTAGGCAATATTTATTACCAATAACAACTCGGCCAACAATGGAATCTTGCGACATTTCAAAGATTTTTGACTTACAAGGTTTGTAACCTAGATGTTTTCGAGACACATATCATTCCACCTCTGCACATTCAGCTAGAACAACTCACCCCCTGTAAATTGCTTTCTTTATTCGGTTAAGACTTTTTTCAACGACAAAACCGACGAATATGCCAGAATGATTTTAAATATGCCTGTAATTATACCCTTCGTTCTATTACCATATTAGATATGTTATTTAACACCAGAATGCAATTTCGGTTGATGGTTTGTTCGTCAAGCCATTGATTTTTCTCCGAGCTGTTTATCGTTTTCCCCAGCTACCTATTCTTTTGCTGGTTTCGTCATCCTGTTAAATACTTTGTGCCCATGTTTGAAATTAAGATCTGTTTTTTGCCATTCTTAGTAATATGTTTTCATGCTTTAATTTAACCTCATTCCAATATCTATTACATTGAAAAAAAGCTTATTGCTAACCAGTGGCGGCTGGCACGAAAATAAGATGGTACTAGTAAAGCAAAAACTTTTAGCAGAGAGAACCAGCTAGAGGAAGGGTGGTGCAGGGGCGTAGTCCCTGGAAAATATTTGTTTTTATAGATAAAATGACCAAATTGTCTCTTAATGGCGGGTCAGAAGTTTCCATACAATACCTCGGTTTGTTTGACATCATGGTATATTGCCAGCTGCAGGGGTAATATGGCCTTGCAGCATTTTATCACTAGAAAGAGGACTCTAGCTAGTACTGCAAACGATTTTTTCATTGTTGGATTGTCAAAAGACAAACGGTCTTACGTCACGTCGTCACAAGTGACAATTAGAAAGACTTCTGCAGTACTGGATGAATGAGGTCTAGTTCTGTGGTGTGTATAAAGGGCTTATTCAATGCCAATCTTTCAATGAGGATTAAGATATGGTTTATTCCCCTGCTCTTCCCTTTTTGCCATTAATTAATCATAAAAAAAAGCAGTACTAGACTGGTACCACTAGCACCGCTGCAAGCCGCCACTGTTGCTAACACTGTTACGTTACCGCCACACCCCCTCCTCCGCCTCCAAAAAAAACACAGTAGCACAAAGCAATTTTAACCCAGATACTATTTCGTATTTTTTAGGATTTGTAAAAAGCAGGCCCAGGGATTCTCAGAAGTTTTTTAACATATTGTTAAAAACACAGGTTGGTGGAAACAATGCATATCAAGTATTTTAATAGAATTTAAATTAAGCAAAGCAATGTATGCTTTTTTAATCATTGAAATTTTATATTCCCACAGCCTGTTTGCTTTTGCATTCGCTTCAGTATTATTATTTTTTAATTATCACACTAAAATTTCTAATTAATTGATATTGTGTCCGTAATAATATTCTTATTTGCTCACTTACGATCGGATATTATTTTATTTTGACTCATCCAAACAGACTTAGTTCAGATTTCTCTCTCACCCTAGATAATACTTTTCCTTAAGTTACACAAATTTTATCCGTTATGCGATTGTTATTCTAATTGCAGTCTTTAAGTAGCTTCTTTTGAAGAAGTTGCTCTAGGTTTGAAGTAGCTTCAGTAAAAACGAGTCCAATATGTTTTCAAACAGAATCTCAATGTAGATTTAATATATAAGAAAGATATACAGGAACAAAGCAATACGACGACGAGAATCCAATGTCACGAGATAAAATTTTCAAAATAAATTAAATTTAAAGAATATACTTATATTTCGCCCCGGCATACAGGGCTTCATCACATTAAATATATAACTTACATATCGTCCCACGGCTTGAAGTAGCATCCCCTGACGAGAAGTGAAATTTCCTGCCTAAATAAATAAGTGAATAACTTGATTTAAATATAATTATAATTTTAAGGCTTTATATTGTCCAAATTGCCTTTTTGAAAGATCTTAAAAGATTATTTTTTTTTCTCTAGCATTTCAGCCATTTCATACAACAAAGGTTTTTTGCATCATCAAATGATACCTTACTTGCATTTTTTGATGATTGCACGGAGAAGGTAAGCATTTGATTTGATTTTTGAAATCAAGTGAAAATATTTCTAATCATTTACCCTCGTTTTCTGAAATTTTTTACATGAAAAATAGCCCAGGATCACAGTAAATCGTGTCTCCACTTTTAAAATCAGTGCTTCAGTGCAGAACTGAAGACAATACCGAATTGGGAATATGTTGGCATTTCATGAATTTGTGATGCCAATTTTCCTGTTCGAAAATTAAAGCAATTTTTTTAGGTGATAGGTAGTTTAGAACTTGCCTGTCATAAAGGAAAATTGTACATTCTTTAATTTGCTTGTATTGTTTACAGATTTTTTCAGATAATTTGCCATTCAAATGGGGCTTACCTGAATACTAAGTCTAATTCAATTTCTTTGTTATTTATTCGTTTTGATTTGCTATTAACATTTCTAGCAATATATTCCCTGCATGCAAAGTTAACTAATTCAAATCGAATGAAATTTAAATGTAAACGAAATCCATTAACTTGTGTGATTTGCAGAAACAAAACAAACAAGTCTCTAAATTGCATCAGTTTATGAGAGTTTTGCATTTTTAAGCAGCTTCAAGCATTTTTGAATTTCAATTATTTGAGGTTGTTAGTATTCCAGGTTTATAAAAAAAACAAATTTTTTTCAGTGCGAAGGAAGCAAGCCTCTGCTGCAGGTGTCACAATCTCGAAAGTGAGCTTTTCCTTTTTATCTGTCGTTTTTCTGAATCCCCTTCTCGCAGTCATTGATAACCTTAGATAATGTTTCAATATTTCTCCGCGTGATATCAGAACCATCATTGTTAAAGTGTGAATTAATTAAAGGAAATCACAACCATTTACATGCCTTACGTTAATATCTGCCTTCTTGCTCTGTTATCATTTAAAAAGGTTCTGGTCATTGTCCGCTAATTACACATTTTCCCAATAATAAATTTCTACGACTTTAATTGGTGTATCACAAGGCTCCTTTCTCGCTCTAGCCAACTCACTACTGTAGTAACTCCGCCAGACTGCTCTGGACTGCCACAGAATGCCATCTACGAGTAAGTAGTTCATTTGCACATGTTAATACCCTTGTCAAGATTCCTGGCCTTTGAAGTATGTTCATCCATTTTAATTTGTTTTTCTTTAATATTTGTTTTAGCTATTTGGTTCTAAAAAAGATCATTTTCATCATCCCTCTCTCCTATGATAGTGTCTAGGCCAAAAATGGCTGCAAAACCTTCACCAAGTTACCACTAAATGTATTTGTTGTGAGCTGTGCTAGGTTATTAATTTGTTTCATTGTCATCCAGCTAAAGTGCATTCTTTTGGCAAATTTAGCAGCGGATCATGCCACTATCTCTCCTTTTCCAGATACAATGGTTTCCCAAAGCTGAAAAATGAATTGTTTATCCAAGAAGATGTGAGCACGAATCGACAGAAACCCGCCAATTTGAAGTTGCCTCCAAGATCACCAGCTGTGGGAAGAACAAAACATGAACGTGATCAATGTGGAGTGGTAAGCATGCATTCCCAACTCAAAAAGCATTCAATGAGTCATTGATAAAAAGTGGGGATTTCACGTTGCCTTCGTGTTTTTTTTTATCCATAGAATTCTTCACAAGGCATGATTAAATTCTTTGTAGTTGATTGTAACATCTGTAGGAAGAAAGGTTGGCATGCGGAAATATATTGAAGAACTTTTTATCCTCTTTAATGTCCTTATAAGAACAACAGTGCATTAATCCGTTTTTCAGTGTGATCTTAACATTCTGATAAACTTTTTTTTCTATGTTGATATTTTTTAATAAACTTTTTATTTTTATCATTTATACAACGATTATCTAAATTTTTATTTACCTTATTGTGGAAAGTGATTTCAATAAATTTAATTCTAATTTTGAAACCGTGTACTAAATATTGTACTTTTATGGGAATTTAAACAAGGATTTTGCTATGTTTTCTAGTATCAAAATCTTATGTCCAATATATTTTAAACCTTATCTTATGTCCATGCTTTTTCAGAGTGCCAAAAAACAGTCAAATAGTCCTACTTTATGGGCAAGGTCAGTATATTTACGCGATTTAAGAATTAATGATTCTTTATTGAAGTGTTCTTTATTCTTTGTTCTTTATACCTTCAAAAAGTATGCCCATATTTCTTACTTATTTAAGAGCTGATTAGATTATTACATTTGAAAGGGATTATGATTTTAATTAGTATTTTTTTAGAAATATTTCATCTTATATCTTTATACAATATTTTATTTGCTAAAACCAATTAGCCTTGGCAATTGCATGCCAAGCTTTCCAGCAAAAATGTGACTGGAAGCATTTCAATTTCAGGTGTCTGGTGGGACACTGTTTTGCGATTTGGTTCATTCATTTGCCGGCATACATCAAAAGTCATCATAACAAGAAGAAAGTACTCGATCAAGCCCTAGAGGTTAGTTATTTAATTAACGCTGCATATTTTTAATACCAAAAAGGCATCTCTAATATACGTAATACCTTACAGTTTGAGTATCAATCGATATATAATATCGTTTATTCACTTTTTCCCTAAAACTACGGGCAAATACATACTACAAGACCGGTTTTCTATTTGGTACACATAATTTATAAGAACTTCCATTAAAGGCAACGGCCAGATACTTGGTCTTGAGCCATCTTTCAGTAAAAAATTGGCCAATCATTGAAAGATGGCTTAAGCCACTTTTATAGCTGTCAATTAAGGGATGCCTCTTAAAACGGAGTCTCCAAAACAACGGAGAAATAGTTCCAACTTCACTATTCTTTCAGTTCGTTATATTGCCTTTCGCTGTACTATTATTTTTCTTGTATGGTTCAATAGATTTTTTTCGTTTTATATTAATATTAATAATCCTTTGGTGGTACAAAACTTGATTGGCCTATTTCGATCCACAACTGGGTATATATATTTCCTAGCGCAGAGTTTTTGATCTATGTTCTGACGTTTTAAACTCTGAAGATTGTCGGACGAAAAGCTTTAGTTTACTAAATGTTTGCTTTTTTCAAAGCCATTTAATAATATTAATAATATAATATGAACAATTTATTGACAGTAGGCGGGTATAATATAGCTACCTATGTACAATTTATGTACAAGCTAGTTTAGGCCTACTTTACAAAAATTTGGAGTAAAAAGCAATTAAGAATGAATAATTAATAATTACATATATAAAACAATTATTTGATTAATGAAAGCAATGAAATTGAAGATTTTAAAAAAACCATTGTAAATTTTACAATTTTTAAATTTTATAATTTCACATTTAGCGCTGAATTGTTATTGCACGTTTGGCATTACCCTTGTGCGAAATCTATATACCAAATAACGGTTTAGAATACAGCAGTTTGAGGTCGCCTCTCTGTAAACAAATAGACATTATTTATCATATCAATAGTAATAGACCATTTTATGAATAGGTTTTTACCAAATGTAAACCTTGATTTTTCGTTTGTTGTAGGTTTTGCAACGAATTGCTGAACAAAGAGCACAGCTACCAGACGAGGTAATAACATTCGAAAGCATAAGAGATGTCTTTTAAAGAATATCTTTTATATTCTCTCTATCCTATTATAAAACATAAATTGAAAACATTCCTTATTATTTTTATGTTTATATCTCTGGTTCTGGAGTAACGGTTCCGTGTATTAGAGACTTGTCTGAACAGCTTTATTTATCTGAAGTCAATTTTGTTTATCTCTTATTAAAGGTATGCTTTCGAGTGCTGATGCAATTGGCTGGCCAATTTGGACACCCAGCTTTAGCCGTCAAGGTAATCTTGGACCATGCAGTTGAACTTTACTTACCGCGCTTTTACTGTACGATCTTGTATACAAGAAAAGAGACATTTTTCTCTTTAAGTTGGTGTTTCAGGGACTATGCTCTTGTAAGCACCACCAAGATAGAATAAGAAAACTATAATAGCCTAACTAAAATCCCTCGATTTACCTCCTTTTTCGCATCCCGATTCCCGGTAAAACGGGCTCTGTTGTCCAAAACAAAACCACCTTTGACCAGAGCAAGCCTTGACGAGGCGAATGAGCCACTGCTCTCACATTTCTACATGTTTTAGTACGGTTTCTAACTACATTTCCTTCACCAACTTTCGTGATAGAAATGTAAGAGCAACGGCTCATTCGCCTTGTCAAGGCTTGTTCTTGTCAAAGGTGGTCTTGTTTTGGATAGCAGAGCCCATTCAACCGAGAATCGGGATGCGAAAAAGGAGGTAAATCGAATGATTTTAGTTAGGCTATCTTAGCTGTCTTATTTTATCTTGGCACGACTAAATCGTTGAAAATAGAATATTTTGAATTTTTCAATCAATTGTCTATCAAGACAACTCTTTCCTTTTATTTACAAGTTGACAATTTGAGCTATTTTTTATTTGAATTACCATAGCTATTCACTTCTAAAATTCTATATATTTTTTAATCCCAAAATTTTAGTTTCCCATACTCGATTTTTTTCATGATGTGTTTGTGGTTCATTTCTATTTAACAGTGACTTTTATGTCTACTTCAGGTTCTTTTCGAAATGAAACGACAAAAAATTGCACCAAATGCAATCACATGGAGATATTACCACAGAGTGAGTAGCTTGCGATCTAACTATGGCAGAATCAGTTATTAAAGTGTGTTTATCAAGCAGAATGCATAATTGAGAATTGTAGCTCCGTGAAAGCAGACCATGCATATTAATTGGCTAGTAAGATGCGGCTAAAAAGTAGGTTTAGAAAGGTTTAATGACATAGAATTGATTGTCAGGTAGATTAAAAGTGTGAAAGCTTTCGTCAAAAGTTTTAAATCATAGTCCACCCTGTGGAGGGGGAGGGGGATGGGGATGGAGGGATGTTCAGAATTACAGGAGGTGCTATTTTGCTAGAACATTTTCAAAGGTTTCTATAGAGATATAGCTTTTTATACAACAAAAAAGGGGTGTTGCTGTCAAATTAGGGGATGTTTTCCAAGACATCAAAACATTTCAAAATGAACAATAACTGGAAGACGCTAATAAATTTGATGTAGGAAAAAGTTGCCCTAATACCCGATTTTTGTCGATGAAGCGAATTCAGCTTGATATCACTTGAGCTGGAGGGGGGTGAACCCTATCACCGCCGGAACTGGAATGTTTTCCCTGTCTCGTGTTAAGTAACCTCTCCGAACGTAAACCTTTTTGCCTTTAACTCCTCGATACATTTTTCAGTAGATACTTACTACAGTAAATTTTGATTTTTAGGCCGTCATCGAAGGCAAATGGTCATCTGATCACAGGTCAGCTAAGGAACTGTGGACGAAATTACGTCATATTCTCAATGCCATAAACTCTTTCAAGAAAGGCAAGAAGACTCCTGATCTTATCAGTTTCCATGGAAGCAGTGAGAACGTTGCAAAGGGTGGAGTGCAGGAGACAGCTAGCGAGGGGAATGGGTCAGACGCTGGTTATAGCTCGTTATTGTCAACAGAAGATCTGACACGATCTCAGCCGGTAGCGGGAGGTTCGAGACGTTTTCTATTGTGATTAATTGCTAGATGTGTCCAGTAATTGGTAAAATCAACATACTCTGCTGCCATATGTGGGTCGAATTGAACTCATGTTAGCAACTTTGATTGATATTAAAGATTTGATATAATGAATATTTCAGTATATTTGATTATGAAAATATTCAGAACATTAATTCTTGTCAACTGGATAACACCTATGTTTAATAAGGCTGTCTGCTAATAAAGACGCTCAAAGTGCCATTATGACAAATGTATGATGAATTCGTCAAACTACCAGTGCATTAAGCAGTTGTTTTGATTTGTTTTTTAGCATTTGTTTTTAAATTTTTCAGTATTTTGCTTTCAGTGAAATAGTCTCTTTGGTTTTGTTTTTAGGTTTATCAGAATTTCCGGCTGAATTCCCCGAAATGCCATCCCGGCCTGAAGTTCAAAATACCGTGTTTTCCAAATGCCACCGTCGTGTGCACAGTGCTTCAGAAATGTCAGAACCGGAAAGTGAACCCGGAAGTACGGATTCTGAGCTGCTAGGATCTAGTTCCGCTTATCCTTGGTTTCAGAGGAAGCCATTGGCGCGTCATCTTAGCGAAACTTCAATTGGTTCAAATTTGAGTGACAGCCCCGGAAGTAACCAGATCATTATCAGTCATAGCGGAAGTTGGCAGGAACCATATCACATGCCACCAGGTTCAATGGACTCATTTGATGATTCTGACTTCAGGTATCCGTTGAGGCATCAATCGGATATTGCGTTGGAGACTGTCATGGGAACGAGTCAAGCCTGCAAAAACTGTAATAGGATAATGTATGATGAAGAGATTATGGGCGGATGGACCGCTGATGATTCTAGTTGGACGACAGTGTGAGTTATACGCTTATTTGATAATACTGAGCGGGTTTGATTAAAGGTAATGTGTCCAGCTAAAGCATGCGACTCTGCGGGGTTTTTTAAAAACATGTGATTTTTCATGTCATCGCCCAAGTCATTACGGTTGTTCTGATTATCTATCCTGCTGCGAGGTCAGCTTTTCATGTGAGCAGTTTCGCATCGCAAGAATACTAACCAATCGCAAACCTTTATTTTGATGGGTGGCTTGACAAGTTGGGTTTACGCAGTCCTTTTATATGAACACATTACCTTTAAGAGAGAATAGTATAGGCAGAGCTGTGTACGGTTTTAGTGTATAGAACAGGACGGTTCTAAGATGCAACTCTGAGTTTCACGCTTAATGTGATAATCGGGCGATAGTAATTTAGCAATAAATCTAGTCTCAGTAACTAAATTAAATACTAAAATGAAATAAACTATTAAAAACACAAAGGGAAAGATAAAAATACAAACCCTGTGTCTTAATACGCCTATTAGCATATTTGATAAAGAGAATTATTTATAGGTCGGTCATATAGTGCTCGATTCCGTATAGGCAATACTGTACACTCTTTGGTATACAGAACATGACGGTTCTAAGTTGCAATTCTGAGTTTCACGCAATCATTAGGCAACTGTTGAAACTATTCAGCAAAAAATCAGATGCATTTCCAGGATATACGTATTTTACACTTTAATATTTATATCCACTAATGATATGACATTAAAACTTCATGGTCATGCTTATCCTAAACTGCTACATTTATTAATCCTTGTTAATCCTTGGTTCTATCGCTGTGTATGTGGCAAATTATGTGGTTTTGGTTGCTTATTGAGACAATCATGTCTTTATTTGCAGGTGCCCTTTCTGTCAGGAAAAGCAAGTGCCCCTTCTCCAGATGAGAATCAAGGTGATTTTCTTCAGACTGAGTTTTTTGATAACGTTTTTGTGCTTCTTTGAGTGAAAAATTAATGTTCAAGAAACAATCGTTTATTGCTTAAAACGTTTGTCTCAACTTCTGGGCGACATGAACTTTCAGTTTCAAAGTTCTCAAACTGGCATACATATTTCCCAGTAACAATAATATTGTTTGATATGGATAACTATGTCTGGTCTTTATCATAATATATTTATCACTCGACCTTCTTTTTAAAAATGGTGCAGTCTTTGTTCCCACTAGACATCGTTAAACGCATCAACCGTTACTGTCATCTATTACGTTTTTAGGATTATCGTGGTCTTCAGTCCAAAGTTTGCAGTACCTCAAGCCTCAACTCTGAGCCCACTTCTGTCAGTCATTCTCTTAGCAGTGCCATTGAGATTGCTGGTAATGATGACACAGGAGAAACCAGTTCGCTGCTCGGAAGAGACATTGATTCGATCCCATTGTCCCCCCCTTCATCATCAATGATGCAGACAAGCGGGGGGTCAAAGCCAATGCCGATCAAAAATAAGCGGTTGAACAAGGACTGGATGCTGAGCAGCAGTGCGCCAACAAGTGCCAGCAGCAGCCCGTTGCCAGGACACCGCAACAGCCCGAGGCAGCAGTTTTATCGAGTGCGCAAATCCAGCAGTAGCAGTAGTTTAACTGTTTTTGTTGGTAAGTTGGCTTTCCAATAGGCCGGTGATGATAGATAACTAGGTCAGCAACTTAGGATATGATTGGATAGGATGGGGGATTGTATTTTCTTAGTTTTCTTTTATTTGACTGTTAATTGTTGTTTACTAGTTCCATATTGTCTGTAGAATTTAGGACCCTTCTTTAGTGGCCTGTCATTATCCACAGACGTTCTTTAATCTGTACCATGCTTTTGGTTTCAAAATTACTTGGTGGATTTGAAAGATAATGGCTTATTCCAACGATACTCCAATTGGGAAACGAAAGAAGCTATCCCAGATCTTCCCTTTTTGCAAAGCTTTCAGTTTTCAACCTGTGAGCCATTGACGTAGGAACTGACCTTGTAAACTCGTCGCCCCTGATAACAATGTTGCCACTAAAAGCAGACATGTACTGGTACGAGGCCTTCGCTCCTCCTTCAAGGAGGGGCAGTCGGTAGTGGGGGCGCTGAAAAATTTTCAAAAATTGGTGACCAGAGTACGCTATACAACAATTTCAGATCCATTTCCGGAACAAAAAACATAAGTTTGAGGTAATCCTTGAAGTAAATTAACCTATAGGTCTCAGAAACTTTTTCACCTGATTCTCATTCTTCAAAAGGGGCGCAAAATTTACAAAAAGGGGCGCCAGACTTGCTTCAACTCGTCGAGGGAGGGGCACCTGCCCCCCCTTAAATCCGCCACTGTCGAACTTAGCCATAAAATTGTTGAATACGAGCAATCTGAAAACCTGATTTTCCGTGTCATATTCTAGCTGGAGCCCCAGAGGAAAAGCCTGCGATTTCCGTTCAATACCTCAGTCCTCTTGTCTTAAGAAAAGAGCTTGAAACCCTGCTTGTGAATGATGGGGACCTACTGTTGCAAGACAGCGATGTTGTTGCGAAGAAGCCAATCTTATTCTGGAATATGGTATGTGTTTGCAAATTGAATTTTCTTATTGTGGGTTATGATATGCTATAAATTTAATGCTTGTTGGTTGGAGAATTTTCTTGAAGTGTGTTCTCGTTGTAATGCCATGAATTTTATGTATTTACATGTATCTTGAATCGTGATCTCCTTATCTTGATCTCTCATGTGTCGAATTTCTAATTCGCAGTTTATAGAAATATAGTCTCCTTCCTTCACAAATATTAATGTATCATTTTGCCACGGGTTTACCAAGCAGAAGTAGCCCTTTTCATTTCTCAACTGAAGGGCTTCCATTATAAATGGGTTTGAAAAAGAAAAACATTTTGATAGACTGGAAGTATTTTGCCTGACACTCTTCAGAATATAAAACTTCAGAACATACATCGAAGTCTCTAAGCTAGAAAATATATACCTAGTTTTCAATCTATGTTCTGATGTTTGTCTGACGAAAAGCTCAGTGTTTCAAAATGTGTGCTTCTTCCAAGCGATTTTTAATCTTATACCGCGGCAGAAAATCGTTTGCAAGTTTCCAATATCTTATATTTTGCCTTCAGGCTTAAAGCTTTGTAACTCTCTGGTTCATAATTTCATTCCATTGCCTTACATGTTTTGTAACACCTTTTCTTTCAGGTGTGGTATTTCAAACGCTTAGGACTTCCCAGTCATTTGTCAGATCTTATACTCCAGTCATACAAGAACGCAGAAAAAACCAGCCAGGTATACAGTCATGATATATCCCATCGTTTTTTTGCATCTAATCGTATTCTTTCTTTTCTTAACTTTCTATTTCTTTAAATTTTTATGAAAATGCCGAGTCTTTAGAGGAAGTTACAGTTACCGTAACAAATTCCTGCCGCAAATATCTTTTATAAAATCTTTTTCAATAGAATAAACTATATGGTTGCATGCAAAACACAGGATCACATAGCAACATGTTTAGTGTCTATCATGTTCTTTATCTGAGTTTATCAAGTTTGTAAGCCTTTGTCTGCTTTCGTTATTTTTAATCTTTTCTTGGTCTCTTGTAAGGAACAAAGCAAAACTGGAAGTCGTGTTATAATATCAACTTCTTGGGATAACGAAAGACTTGGTGATGCTAACCATATTTCGTTGTACATGTTATGGAGTGTACCAGGTACTTTTGTAAATCATTTACACCATTTCATACCTAACCCTTGAATGCTGGACTGGGTGCAGTAGCGGCGCCACGGGAGGGACTGGGGGGACACATCCCCCCCAGTTCTCAGCAGAATCGATTTTGTATTTCGTCTAAATTCGATTAGAAAATGTTGAAGGAGGGGTAATATTTTGACACCGTACTTTTTGTGATGTAATCCTATGATTCTCAAACTGCCAATTTTCAAGCAAAAGTTTGTCATAGGCGTTCCCTTCGGTTGAAATTGTCGTTCCCTGTTGGTAAAAAGACGTTTTCTGGTGGTTAAAAGGGCGTGGCTTAAATCTTTTTGGTTTGTCTCCCCCCCCCCTCCCAGAGCTTGTTGGCTGGCACCGCCATTGACTGGGTGTGTTTTGGTTTGAATTTTAGTAAACGTTAACCCTAATAATTTTGTCATCAAAAATGATGGTATTAGTAAGGGGACCTTTTCCTAGCAAATGTTGTACTTATTTGACTTCGAGCTGGCAATGGTAAATCATTTCTGAGTTTCTATAAGATATATAAGTTTCTCTGGATTCTTTTAGCTTATTGCCTTTAATCTCAATAAAAGAATCCTTGAGAAGTTGGTCGTGGTAAACTTCTTGAGAGTGTGATACTTCTGTTAGAAATAGGTCGGCCAAGTAGCCCAGTACAACTAATGACCAAGTGAACAATTGAAATTTAGGATACTGTTATTGGACAATAGACTTAGACGATACCATTGCTTTGTTGGATGGTATCAAAGCATTGTTCACATCAGTAGCGGACACCTGGGGGCGAGAGGGGCAGTTGCTCCCTCATAATTCGGAAGACAATTGTCTTTTTTCTAAAACAATGGGAAAATGTGACGTCATCTGATCAAAGCAATAACCCCTCCCCCTTTCCTCCCAATATTTGACCAAGTGTCCGCCACTGGTTCGCATAGCTTTGTTGACAAACAAACCCCTCAATGCATAAAACTATTTAGAGTAAAATTGTTTTGTGTGTTTAAAGGCATTTGACTAGGTAAAAGTGGCTTACAGCCACTCGACCACGAGCGGTTGACCAATCAAATTGCGCACAGAGAAAAACACGTGAACAGTTTCCGCCTTTCTGCAAATCGGTGAAATTCTAGAGCAGCGTGCATTGGTTTCACGTGAGCGGTTTTCAATACCTTTCTTGTGCGCGTGCTCTGATCAATTTGGCCTAAGTTATTTTTGGATTCGCTGTACTGATGTACATCGTTTTTTCATTAGTTTTGAGACTTCAAACTAGAGAATGCGAGAGATGTAGTCTTTAATGATCACAGACATATGACTTACAATTAATTATTTATTCTCTGCTCTTTAACTTTTAATCACAGCCAGGGTGTGTTTTGACAGGTCTATGACAATACCATTGCTGATTTTAATGATTTTGCTCATAAAATGGCTTTGAAAAAAGCAAACATTTTACAACATACTAAAAGCTTTTTCGCCTGACACTCCTCAGAGCATAAAACATCAAGGCACTTATGATCTGCTCGAAATCTAAACTGCACGCTGAACTGGAAAAACTCAAAATGATCTTCTTGGACAACGGCTATCCTGAAGACGTCATTTTATCTTATACTAAGGAGAAGATCGCAAGTTTTTCGTCTGTTCAAAAGTTTGGTCCGCAAAAGTGCCCAGTTTATTTGAAAGTACCATGGATTGGTAACACTTTCTTGCGATTCGAGAGTCAGATTAGGGAAGCCATAACTAAATGTTTTTTTGCTGTCTATCCTCGTTTTGTTTACAGCACTAGGAGAGCCCTTCCATCCATTCAAAAGGATTGCGTTCCTACCAACCAAAAAAGTTCCGTCATTTATGAATTTACGTGCCAGTGTGATTCTGGCTACGTAGGACGCACAACCCAAAGATTGGGGGATAGGATAATGATGGATAAAACACATTTGTCCATATCCACATAAGAAAACAAAATGCCCCTAAAGAGAACAGCTATCTTCAGCCTCCTCGATCTTGTAGGTCTAGAAACACTGTTAAAACAAGTGATTCTGCCATCGGTCAACATCTTTTAGACAACGCAGATTCTGCAAAACTCTATAATGACGACATGTTTCGGATGATTGGCAGAGCCCGGTCGTCTTTCCATCTAGCAGTTTTGGAGTCGATTTACATACAAACGAAAAAGCCGCCATTGTGTAGACAGAAGGAGTTCGTTTTCTCTCTTGGACTCCAGTGGTAATTTTTCTTTAGGCTTGCGGTACTGATTGGTCAACTATACCGGTCTTGCAATTGCGTTTTTCTGATTGGCCTATTTCGATCCACAACTGGGTATATATTTTCCATCGTGTTCTTTCGGACCCTTATTCTGACGTTTTATGCTCTAAGGAGTGTCAGACGAAAACGCTTTAAGTATGTTGTATATGTTTGCTTTTTTCAAAGCCATTTTCAAATTCTGTACCGCAAAAAATTGTTCACATTTTGCTCATAGTGAATATCACGTTTCATTTCAGAAAACCAGCAAGAATTTTATTATGACACAAGACTAGCATCCAGAGGGTAAGTAGCCGTGCTGTCGTAATTTTTGTAGCCTTTAGCATAAATTATGGAACTTTTTCGTTTGAACTTAGCTTCGATAAACTTTTATTTATGTAGCCATTGGAACGCCATTGAATCCAGTTGCCAATGAGTTTACTAACTTTCCTTTTGTCGTCTTTTCCCATTTCCAATATTTTAATGCTGTCTCAATGCATATTTTTATTCAAAAATACCAGGCCTTTCTTCTTTCTTGAAAGAAGCCAGAGAAGATGCTTGTTTCACATCAAGTGTATTTTCTCATAAATTTTCTTTTATTTTTTTTTGCAAACGAACGTACGTTCTGTTGCGGCTAATTTAATAGATTTAGAGAACGCAGTAATGCATTTGTTATTCTCTGTAAATTCTCTGTTTCAGTCTTCTCAAATCATTGGCTGTCCATATTCAAGAAAACGATGTTCAATCACCCATGAATATTCTCCTGGACGAGAGAAGCAGACAGCAAAAAATTGAGCCGAAAATTCAATGGTACGGCCGTTTTCTTACAAAAACCTATCACTGAATAATTTGTGTTGCACGAGTCACATTTGTACATCTTAATGGACTGAAAATTACTGCTTTCTAAATCACTGTATCTAAATCAAAGTATCGTAAATCCTCGAATTAGCCCCTTTGTGGGCTTATTTATTTTTGATATTTTTGGGGGCTTATAAAATTATTGTTGACATTAAGAAGACATTACTAAAAGACCTCGTTTATTTTAGTAGGAATTTCTCTATGAGCGTTTAATTAATTACTACCAAAAGTATGAATTTGTTGTGGTTATTCAATAAAACGCCATAGGCAACCTCAGATGGCGAAAATCATCAAATCGAGGGGTCCAATTTGAGAATTTACGGTAGCAGTGGGGGCTTATTCGAGGGGGGGGGCTTATCGACTATTTGTAGTTCTAGAGTGGGGGCTTATTCGAGGGGGGGGGGGCAATTCGAGGATTTACGGTAACTAAACATTATTCGCATTTTATCTATCACATGCTATAAACTTTATTTATAGCGAAGCAATGTTGTTGTTGTGATATGATCTAATAAAAAATCGTTTTGCTTACGTAGGAGTCTGTATCGAGAGCTGATGTTTTTGTCTGTGATGTCATGCGGAGTAGATGCTATTGATATAGGTGAGTTTCGTTTAATTTCACGTGATAGATCGATCTATGCAGTGGCGGGCACGTGATACTATTGTTTTGAATAGGATGGCATCACATCTTCCTATTTTTTGGAACAAAAGGCTTCCAAAATATTGGGGAGTGATATTTTTTATTCTAGAAAATCTCATGAATATGGAACAGTATTTTTTTGAATAACGAATAATTGCCATTTGTTACTATTTTTCTCATTTTTTTGTTTCCGTTCCATCTAGAGGTTCTTTGACAATCTTCTTATGTCAAAAAAGTAGATAATTGCTCATAAGAATTTGCAGATTTTAATGCAAAGCAATCGTCTTTGTATTTTCATAAGATTTTAGCCTAACTTGAAACTTCTGCTCCGATCGGTTTTTCTGTAACTGTATATCCATTAAAGTGACATCAAATGCAATCGACAGATATATAAAGGGGCTTCAGCCATCTGTCAATCAAAATCAGCCAATCAACGAGTGGATGGGTGGAATCACACTCACTGATTGGTCAGTTCTTGATTGAAATATGGTTTAAGCCCCCTGAGTATCTGTCGATTGCCTTTAAATGGATTGTTTGATTTGACTTTATGATCAGCTTATTACCAGTCTTAAAGTTTTTGGCCTATTTCCATTTCTGAAAAAAACGTTTTGCTGATAAATTTAGTTGACATATGGTAGGAATATCCAACAACCTTTTGATATGTATTTGATATCACATTTTTGTGTTAACAAACTGCTTCTTTTTCAAATCCAGAGGCATTCGATCGGGAGTATAAGAATGCATACAAACAACTTTATAAAGACCGTGCTGATCAGTTGAAAATCGACGATAAACCGCCAACTGGCAAGGCATTTTGGTGCCGGAGAGCGTTCCAACAGCCTACACTTCAACCACGACTGCCAAACATGGCGCTTCTACCTTAGCAATTCTCAATGCTCACTAATTAGGTAATGTTTTCAAAGCAATTGCATATAAGGATGATCAATTTGATTTTTCTTATCATAAGCACATTCGCACGTGCCCCTCACAACGCGTGTCAAAAAGGGTTTTGGCAGACGGTTAAACGTTTATAGGTTATTTTTCATTATTTAACAATTTTGTCAGTTCGCTGTAGAAGTTAGTTTCCAGCAGATGGTAGTTTTAAACGAATTCGATTTTTTATGAGTAGCATTCAAGCTCCAATATTTAAAATTTTGACACCGATAGGACTCGTCAGTTTATTGTTAGCGATTTTGTTGTTTTACTTGACATAATTCTCACATATTTTGGCCAAGTGTTTTCATAATTAAGCAAGATTTATCTTTGCTAAGGCATATTCAAACGTCTTCATCGAATAAATCAATCCCTTGTCCCCAGAAACCGAGGTACAGCTTATTCGATGTATAAGCAAAATTGTTAGTCCTTCTCATACTGAAACAGAACATACCTGCCCATTGTTTAAATCGTTTGCTGCTCATTTAATCATGAGCTTTGCCTGATGACAGGGACCGCGGAAGCAGGTATCTGAATGAACCCCCCCCCCCCTAATAATTTCCAAAATGTACTTAAAACCATACAAAAAGTCGCCCTGCTTTTGTTTTTTGGCATGTTTGGTCACCCAAATCGTTTCAGCCCTCTCAATCTTTAATAAGCTCCGCGGTCCTTGCCTAATGATATCAGACCCGTTTTACTCACTATCTTTGTCTCTGTTTTCTAGGGAACAGAAATATTCTGTCACTTCCAAAGTATTTTGTCAGTTCAATAGACCATTTTGTCTAATTATTAATTTTTATGCAATTTTATTCCTTGTTATTAGTTGTTGATTTATTTTCGTGCAGTAAATTAAATTTATAAAGTTATCCACATCTTTATATGGTATATTTATTTTGTCGTAGCATTTGTCTGGACTTAAAATGTCCGTTAGAAAATAGAAGTTGATTTTAGCTGCCTTGATTCCTTGTGGATTCAAAATGCCCGCTCCGTGATATTTTTGGAAAATTTATTTTTTCTGCCAGAACAAAGGAATTTTAGTTTAATTATTAGCCTAAGTTGATGGTATTTTGATCTATTTGGATTCCTGGAACTGTTTTTATTATTAATATTTAGAAGACTAACGCATTATTCAAAGTAATAGTTAGGTGTTAGTTTGTGTGAAATTTGAAAGGGCATGTGACTTTGATCACGTGGGTTTGATGTGATATCAAGCGCTTTCACTCCAGCAAATGCAGTTTACTGAGTGCTCGGTTCATCGAGGGCTACTGACGCACGTGTTAGGGTAACCTAAAAGCATAAATAACACCCCTCCCTTTATTTATTTATTGTAAACAAATTTTTCCTGGTACAATTTACTTACATTGATCGTTATTATAGCATCATATTGTACTGCACGCAATCTAGTATATTTATAGAATCTAAAGGCGGGGACCATTGCTTCTCAATGTAATTCAAAGGACGAGGTGCAGAAAACTGTGGAAGGGGTAGCCATATAGCTGCAAAATGCTAGTTTCTTAGTAGATTTTCTTCTTATTTTGAAACTTTTTAGCATGAGTATATATATAACCTAGGGCAAAAATTTATTTGCGCATGTTTTGAAAGGAAAAAACCCTCTTGATAGGTGCGTTGTCAATGACATTCTAAGACGAGTTTTGTAGGTACCCTATTTGTTTTTGTCATTCCTTGCCACGCTGCTGCTGACAAACCTCCACCCTTGGCTGTTTTTAAGTATTCGCCCGGAACCTGCTGCTGTACTTTTTGTAGTGAAAGCTCGATATTCTAATTCGCTAACTTGTCATAGTGTTCTTCGTCGTTTTAATTTATTGCTTTTATTGCTTGATAACTTAACTTAAACAAAATGAATTTATGAGTTCGCTGTATAGCTTGTAATTTTAATACGCTAATTCTTACTATTGCACCTGTCTGTTCTTTCCCTGATCAAGGGAAGCTAGGTTTAGAAATGGGGATTTGAATTTGTGATAGTTGCTAGCGATCTTTTGAATTTTTTTAAGATTGCTGGAAGAAAACCGTAGGGTAAAATGAAATGTACTAAGAAAGTTTAAAATGCAGTTCCCTTTACCAATTAGCATATGCAAAGTCCCAAACTCTTGCAGGCCTTCGAATCGTCATTAACTTCCACAGCAAGATGAATTGTTCCTCCCTTAGCTAAGTGGGTCTTCCTGGAAATACTAAGTTTAGTGATTATTCCAATTCATCACTGGCTACAAAGCTGCTAAACTATTATACAAAAACCTCTAGCATTTTTACATTTAGCAAAAATCGTTAGGCCTCTTTTATATTTAATGATGAAGAAGAAGAAGAAATTTCTCTCGAGATTGATTGATGTTAGTTATGTTGAATAGAGGTGTGTTAGGGATATTTTCAAATTAGTAAATTTTAATATAACGGTTTAATAAGTTATAGTATAGTTAGTTCTCTGAGCAATTAAGAGCAAAAATTTGTTTTAATCTATGTCTTTTCCCGTTGTTGCACATCGTGTGTAAATGAGAAGGGTGCTAAGGATTTTGTTGCCTTTTTGTTCAGATTTCTACTGAATGGGAACATTGTTATGGGTTCGAAACATGAGGGTGGGTATACTGAGGGCATTTTGTGCGTTTGTGTATCCTTTTTTAGAATACATTTAAGTGTATAGAAAATTAAGTGCACTCGGGAAACGGATGAGATAAATAGAAAGGATACAGGGGCGGCCCAGCAAGCAGAGGATAGGAGAAGCATGTGGCGTTTTCCAAAATATCCTTTCCTATGGAAAATGGATTTTTGTAGTTAAAAAGTATTTAAAGGACGTTAAGTGCCAGATTTTGCAAAGCTAAGTGACCACATCTATTTGATCTACTCTAAAAGACTCGTCAAGTATATTGGCTTAAAAAATTGCCGTTTATTTGTAGCAATTTTTACAATGATTAGCCTGGTAGATGAACCCCGAAAGTGGTGAAGATGTCCGGATGGAATATTTTATTTTTCAGTTAACGGGTGTCATCTTTCTCGTTGGGGATCCGAAGACCCAAGCTTATCTCTTCTAAGGAACAAAATTGTCTGGAAAATTTGCTACATTGTTGGTATCAATTCTTTTATTTAGAAACCAAACCGTAAACCCTCGAATTAGCTCCCTGATAGTTTATCAATTTGGGAAGTTTTAGGATTGAAGGGAGGGTTAAACGAGGGCGGGGCTTATAAAAAATCATCTAACGGTTGCAGCACAAGTAGCTCACTGTCAAGTCAAGTTTGTTCATTTTTTCCAGTTCAATTTGGACAAAAAACAGAGACGGATTTAAGCGGCAAGGATTGGGGGGGGGGTGCTAGATAATAATTGGATTTTGGTGTCACGCCCTTCATTTCACTGGAAAATGATGGAAATGCCCATTTTAAAAATTCAGCTTTTAACTTCAAGGTTAAGATTATAGGAAGATAAATAAAGTAAATTTTTGCATTATTTTGTTATAACCAACCATCAAAAATGCTTTTTACCGAATCAAAACAAAATTTACCGAGCCGTGGCTTGAGCCCCCTGGCCGAAAAATATTAGCTTGTGCCCCCCCCCCTCTCTGGCCGAAAAATGTTTGAAAATCCCAGGGATAAAGCCTCGTTATCAGAATATCCTTCTCTGAAGAAAAATGGTGCACTGGCGGGAAGAGCTAGAAACATAATACTGGCTGGGATACATTGATGCTTCGTAAACGATCAGAGATTCATGAAATTTCGTGATAACATTAAATTTATGTTTGGAGCTAAGTAAGTTTTTTTGCTTTCCTTTACTGGAAATCGAATTGAGAAAACGTCTCTTGAGTACAGTTTTATTGCTACACTTGGTTAACTTAATGCAGCTTGAGCTTCTGGCTTTATATTTCTTGCTAATTCTGGTTTATTTCTTAATCTGTCTGTATGTTTGTTAAAAGCCATGGAAATGAAAGATGAACCTCCTGAAATAAACAAGGATACGAGCCAGGAAGATATTGAAAACAGCCCTGAAGATTCAGACAAGGTAACCTAACGATGACTATGAATGTGTTTGTTTTAATTTCATACCACTTTACTTTGATTCAGTCGACTTTGTTTATAGTCTTTCCGCTTTAAAATACACTACAGGTTGCTGTCACATAATATATGTATTAAGATATGAAAAGTTTTGAATTAACTGTTTGCCGTCACACTCCATTTACAGTTTACATTTACACTTACAAGTTAGTGTCTAGATAGATTTGTTCATTATCTGATAAAATAATTTTTTTTAGATTTCATGCGGTCTGCCCTTTGATAAGCATTACTACTGTCTGCCTTTTTGATATGCTGTCTTCCTTACATTGATCAATCGAATCACTAGAAGATTTCATAAATTGAATTCTCCTTAAGAGCTCCTCCTTAAGAAATTCCTCTCCATACGAAATTCTATGTACTCCTATTGTAAAATTTGTCATTTTTTGTCATCTGTTGTAATTTGTTATTCTAGTTAATTGTATGTATTTTAGAAAGATTTTTGTATGTAGTAGAATTTTAAAATTGAACTAAACTGAACTGTACTACTTGGACATTATAGCCCAGGCCATTCATTTTAACTTGAGTTCCAAAGTACATGCAACCTTCTTTGACTTCTTTTCTATGCCGGTTGCTTTGCACCCAAGATTATTTAAAGGCACTATCTATTTCCCATCAGTCAACTGTTCAGAGCTGACAATAGGCTTTGCAGTGTGTTATGATTGAGAAATTGTTGAGAATTAGCTGATTGGATACACAACAACAGGTCAATTGTGTAGTCTAACCAATGGGAAATTTAATGGCCAGCAAAATGCATTGGAACATAGTGCCTTTAAGGAGGCAGAGCAATCTAAATTAAACTTTGTCATCCAGAAGCTTTTTATCCTGCATTCCCAGCTTAGCTTTTACCTGGAGTTACCAGAATTATGTACTGAACATTTTAAATGGCAGATATCTTTTTGTTACTAGGATAGAAAATCAGTTGCCATAAACAAAGAACTGCAGCAACTTGCTTTCATAAACCCTGGTCGCCTCACTGTAACTGCTGGATTTAATCCAGAATTCAGTAACAGGGAAAAAAGAAAGTTGAGCAGATTGATGGAACAACAAAATGGGAAAAGTGAAGCAGGGTTTGTGTCATATGTTCAATTATCAATTTAGCCCCTGCAATAGAAATTCCTCCTCAAATTTAATGTTTTAGACACAATTTGATTATTGACATCTCTTGACATTCTTAACCTTTGAACAAGACTAAGCAGTCCTGATAATATGAAGTTTGTCAGCATGCTGGTAATCACACACCTTGAAAAGTTTAGATCCATAAAATGGAGACCTTGAGATTTTTAAGACCTGATAGCCTTTTAGATGTCATATATGTATTAGAGAGTGTGTATTACTGTTTGAAAAAGTGTATGAGGTTTTCATAAAACCAAGTAATTTATACGTAATTTCAGAAGAGGTTTCTTGAAAACAATATAATTTAACAAAAAGGATACAAGTTTTTAGGCCCTGTTGTCATGACTCTGTATGAGAATAAAAGTTATTCAAATACACTGTTCAAAGTGGAATCATTCAAAAACGAAATCATTTGAAAACGCCTTGTTTTATTTGGAATAGCGAAGATAGCATTGGAGGACGGAGTCATTCAATCTAAGTTTCAGAAAGAGCTCAAACAAAAGATATGAGAATGGATAAAAGAAGTGTGGTGGAAACACCCACGTTTTTGTTTTGACCAAAACAGAGTGGCCCAGGGTAAGGTGTTCAGGAAAATACAAAAATGAAATGATAAAATGGAGACATACAAAAACAGAAAAAGAAACCTGGCCTTAAAATTGATGCACGAAAAAGAAATTAAAAATTACTTTAAAGAAAATAAACAAGAAATTAAAAGAAACAGAGAATAGTAATTCAAAACATGGAACTTTTCTTGTGCGATAGACAGCACGTCTCAGGAATGTTAGATGTGATGGCACACATATTATTACCAGGACTGACTTAGTGGATTTTACCCTTTGTTTAGTCACTACTGGTTAGTTTTTTCTAGCTGCAGTTAGTCACTACCAGCCAGGAATTTTTAATTTAATATCTCTGTTAATTTTCTTGCTTTTGCAAATTTGGTTGCCCTGAGTGGGCAACCTGAAAATAAAATGTCCCCTCAATGTTTGGAAAGACTGAAGAAAGTTCTCATAGAAGATTTATTGTGTAAAGATACCATTTAATAGCTTTTTTAAAAAATTACTCTTTATTTTATGCCATATTTTAAACTGTTCTCTGTTTCAGTTTCTTTCGACAAGGTTAAGGCACACTATTTTGATGTTGTTTTCACCAAATTTTACTAATTAAGTTTTCTTAATTAAGTGTTTACTAAAGGCTTCAAATGAGTTTTCAGCAACCATCATTTTTAGATTTTACAAACTTGCCATTGCAGGAAAGGATTGTGTGGTCTAAAACCTAAAAGGCTGGCATTACATAACAGCTCTGGTTGCTTAGAAATTGATGGTCGCGATCTTTGTGACTGTCAAGATCCCAACTGCCCTGGCTGTCATTACTCCTGTCCTCAGTGTGGTTCTGAAAAATGTGGCTCATCATGTAGATGCAGTAGAAGGTGGAGTTATGATCATGTTGATGTTTACAATGAAGGAACTTTGATGAGGTAAAACCCTTTGTATGCTACTTCAGTAGTTTTTGTATTAAATACAACAGGTAGGTGCCAGATTAGATTGCCAAGATTGATTTTTATTCCAACCAACTTTCAGAATAAGAACGGTCAATACTTTATGTCATGATCGTAAACCGCAATGTTACCTTGGATAAAAGTTTCCTTGTGAATCATCTTGACCACCCTTGTTCTTGTTAAACACAAAATGCCAACTCCATCTAACATGCCTGCATAATTTAAAAGCAAATTCTGCTCCCTGACACATTTTTATAACGCAAAATTCAGTCACATCACAGTTGGCAAAGATTGCATAATCCAGTACTGGTAAAAGAGCTTGTGTGAATAAAATACAGCATTTTCCATTGCTTCTTTTTTGCAAGGACATTAAGAGGACATTGCAGTTAGGAGGTGTTAGCAGTTGACCTGTTCTTGATTGAACTAGGCAGAGATTCCTCTTCAGCCCTGTAACCCCACCTTCATCTTTGGTCTGTGATGACAAAAGGGTTTTATTTTTTCAAAAAGACCAATAAACTCTATCAGATCTTTACCTTAGCCCAGCCACATATATCCAGAAAGGGAAAAATGACTCACAATAATTTTGAAATGTAGATGTAGTAAAATGATTTTATATTTCATACAGATTATCTAGCTATAATCTGGTCATAGAAATTATTTTAAAAATAAAATAAACATTTTATTAACAAATCAATTTCTCTCTCTGTTTCTTGGAAAATTTTTGTAGAATATTATTTTGATTTTTGATATTTTTGTAATGTAAAGATTTGGATCATTTCTGCAATACATAAGCATGTCCTAAGATAAATACAGATGTTTTTAAAAATGTTTTCCTTGCTGTGCCAACACTCTTAATACATCTGTGTTCAGAATATGGGTGACTTTCAAGAATTTCATCTTCTTTATATGAAGGAAACTTGATTGATTACCACACATAGTTGAGATGTTATTACACTTAAAGTCTATGCAACAGAAGCTAAAAAACTATGGAGTAGCTCGCTTCTGAGAACTGAACTAAATATCAAAATTGAAAGAGTTGCAATACAATGTTATTATGTATCACCAAACTACCGTTATAATAAATAAAGGATATCAGATTTCACTTTTTACTCAACAAAAGTGTTATATAATCATCATTTTGATCTGTAAATTCATGCAGTGTCCTGAATAAAAAAAGCCAAATATTGGGTGCTTTTTCAAGACCTTAAATATGGTACATCGGAGTCATTTCTCCTCTTTCTTGACCTGTTGCAAGTGCAAGCTACGATGATCAAGAGAATGAGACATGCCCCTATGCAGCTATAAGCGACTATCATCCATGTCTTTCCTTTTTCCCTACAAAAGGAACATTTTTTATGCAAACACAGTAAAATTAAATAAACTAATACATTCAAGAGTATAAATCAACATTAGTTTCAAACTAGTGAAAATTACTCATTACCAGTCCATCATAAAGTGCTTGGTGCCGTATAGGTGCCTTGCAGAGCTGTACACCCTTTTGGAGTATACAACAGGGTGGTTCCAAGTCGCAACTCTAAGTTTCAAGCTTAATGCAATCACCAGGCAACTGTTAGTTAAAACTATATAGCTGTATTTTTATTTCTCAGGCACTGCGGAGCATTGAGAAAAGTGGGGGTCTAAAAAAGTGGCTAAACCGTATAAAAAGAGGCTTTTCTGGTAGTTTGATACTTAATTTTTGGCATTTTTTGAAAAAAGTTGGGCTAAAGCCCAAACAGCCCCCCCCCCCTGCCCCGCGGTACCTGTTTCTAAGCCACTTTTCTAATTTTTAGCTCTTTTGCATACAGGCATTTTAGTATATTGCTAGGGTTAGCTATACTTTTATGCCTTTTGAGAAATTAATAAGGCCCAGTCAAAGACATAGTTTGAACCTATCAACATGAGCTTTTTGTTGAAATGATGTAGCCACCCACAGTTTTATATCTAGCTAAAGAGCTCTTAATTGCATGGGCTCCGACGCAGGTTGGAAAGTGGAGGGGCCAAGAGAAAATATAGCAATCATCACATAAGCTTTTTAAAATTGTTTTGCAAGACAGTGAGGGGGCCATGCCCCCCGCCCCCCCTTCATTGGAGGCCCTGAATTGCTCTCACAAAAAGATAGATCTCTAAGATTTAAATCAAAATTATAAATATGCTTAACCAAATGTCACTATCTTAAAAACTGTGAACAGGAAATTTTAATCTATTGTAAAATAAGCAAGGTTGGAAACAGCTTATTAAAACGTCTGTAAGTTTTATTAACTTTTCAGATTCAATTTAATAGATTACGGCAAAATAGAAAATAGTTGCCCAAAGGTGGCATACAACTTTCATAGATGTATTATGTACATATATTGAATCATATGCCTCCCTTGAGTGTTTGCTCCTAGAAAAATATTCCTTGCACATGTAGTTCAACATAAGTTTTTTAAAAAAATGCAGGATCTTAATATTTCTCAAGTTAAAGCATAAAGAAACTATAGCCAATAATTCATTTAAAAGAAAAAAGCTTTTAGGTTTTTGTAACAGGCTTGATATTTACCTCACTTGGAGCTTTTGTATCATACGGCAGCTATTTTCATTTTTGTAAATAGTACAGAGAATGTCAAATACTATTCTAAAAAAAAGAAAGGTTAATTTAATTTCTTCCCTACTCGTATACGATGCATCTGGAGAAGTTTGTGCATTAATTTCATCAAAACTGTTTTTTCTTTTAATGGCAATTAGTGAAAAGATAGGAAATTTCTGAAGAGAATCGGATACTGTTTCTGAATCCAATCATTCATAGTTACTGCATGTACTGTTTTCATTTAGATAAAAATGTTGGCAAGTAATATTGGGCTCTCGGATATACCATAGCCTTATTAAGCACCCTATAGGAGACTTTAGAAAAGGGGGGGACTTTAGAAAAGGTCTATAGGGGGACTTTAGAAAAGAGGGACTTGCAGTCTCGTCTACATAAATTTCTTCTTGGAGAGACAGAGCAAAATGCACATGTTGCTTTGAGGGAAGAGTAAAAATTTAAAAAATTTATGATCAAATAAAGTCAAGATTTCATGAAAAACATGAAGGTACCTTGGTTCATCAATGCATTGTACCGTCATGTTTCTGGCTTCTATATCATTGCGAAGCTTTTTTATGCTCTTATGTCCACAGGTTTCCCTTTAATAAAGGTAAAGTTTATTTTTAACAAGTGAGGGATTGCTTGTTGCAATGTACATAAATTAAGAAATACCATAAGAGAATAGCAAGGAAGATACATATAGCTGCTCATCCCAGGTGTTTTTTTTCTAGAGTTTTGCAAACCCTTGCAAATATGAAAAAGATACCAGTCAATTAGTATTTCAGTTGCCTCTGCTTGTATTCACTTCACTTAAAGTCATGCTACCGTTTACAGTCACATAAGACTTTGACAGAAATAAACAAAACTGCTTACAGTTGCACCCTGCTTACTGTCACAGCTTTTCAAAAATCATTTGATGTAACTTTAACCAGAATCTACTATAATTGCTCATCCGGCTGTCATGATGCAGAAAAGAAAACACATTTAGCATACCTGGGTTTCCTATCTAAGTCCATTCCAACCAATATTTTCACCAAGGTAACAGCACTTGGGTTCAAATTGGGCAATTCCACTGTGGCAAAAATGCTTTTAAAACAAAGGCAATTCATTAATTTTAAGTTATTGCTCTGTTGGGAACCAAACAATTGTTTGATGCCTCTCTAGGAAAATTTGGGTCTTCCTTGTCATAGAATTATAGGGTCCATTTTTGTTTAGCTGATTGGTGGGACAAATTAAGGTATATAGGCAAAATTTAATTTACAAATTGAAAATGCAAAACTTTATTTCAATTACCTACAAGTAGCCAGGCAAGGTCATAAGAATTTTAACAGGGGAGCAGTAAACAGCTCTCCTAATAACTTCCAGGCGAGCTATTTGTAGATAAATAAGAATAGAAAGAAAGGAAAATGGATTTCAAGGAGAGCAATTTGCTTTTTAGAGAAGCTTAGGAGAGCAATATGTAGCTCCCCTTTAGCATTTGAGGAGAGCTTGAGGGGAACAAGAGCTATAGCTCTCCTCAAAAGGCCAGGCTTGAAGTAATGGAAATCATTCTTTTTATTCTTGATCAAGCCTGCCTCTTTCTGAAAACTTAACAATGCAACTACTTTCCTGTCTTTTTGAAAATGCAATGTTAATCATTTGCAAAATACTCTTCAGTAGTCTTATCTATAAATATGATATGAGCTAGTAGGTTGAAACCACTTCATCGATAAATAATTTTGATAAGTATTTAGAAGTTTTAGAAACTTTGATATTGAGAAGATAATGATATGAGAGAAGAGAGCTATGAAAAATGAAGTTTAATACTAAAGGATGAGCATAAATTTCCAACCTTGTATTCCGATATGCTGCATTTTGATCATGCCTTGTTCCATTGATCAAGACATTTATATTTCCTCTAGCATTTTTAGCAAACTGCAAATTAATTTAAATGTTTTTTCTATGCTTGAAATTACTGACTGTTAGACTTAAGGGGAAGACAAAACAAATCTAAAGGAGGAACGAATCTAAAGGTGGAAGTAACAGGAATTAGCTTGTAGCAAAGGTTCAAAGTTCTATGCTACTGGAGGAAATAAATTCAGCAACTCTAGCGCCTCTTCATTGTCATTATGGTCAAAATTTCTTCTAAATGCATAATAAGTTCAATCAGTCTCCAATTTATGGATACTTTGAATCACAAGGTCCTAAACTCTAAATACCAAAAATACAGATTATTCTTAAACATTACAAATACTGCTATTGCTACAATGCTCCTCTGCAGCCAACAAGAAAGGTGTACATAGATTGACTCATTTAAAATGACTGAAAGACAGGCACTAATATGGAGAAAAAAAATTGGTAAAGAGTGCTATCATGGAAATTATAGGAAAGTTTGGCAGGGCTTGAGTACTCCCAAAACACCCTTTTCCCTGTTAGTATTTTTGTTGAAAAATTTAGGCTTGTAAACCTGATATTCTGTTGAGTCTAATTTCATAATTGGACCCTCATATTGAAAACTCCAATTTCTGTCACAGAGAGAGTCCAATAATTTTTACAATCAGTTATGTAAACAGCTTTAAATTTGAAGCACTGCTATCCTGCCTGTCATTTCACCAACCAATCTATCCATTGTTGCCAATTGCCCTTTACTGAGCTCATAGCTGCACAGTTATCAATTAGCTGCAATACCTGAGTGGAAGCCTTTTGCCAAAACACTTTTTTCTGTGAAGAGTCCCACTTGCAGCTGCATTGTGCATAGTTGAAACCAACTGTGTCCTCACCACAAAAATTCAAGTCATTCGCAATGTACCTAAAAAGCATACAAAGGATTCCACATATCATCTTATCACACATACCACACATCTTATCAACATATAAAAGCCAAGCACCCCCACTCCTACTTTTAATTATCATCATATATTTGCTGGTAATCATATCCCAGTGGTGCCATGGAGGGGGGGGTGCAGGGGGACTCGGTCCCTTGGGGGTCCCAGGGGGATTCAGATAGATTTAATGGGGCTCAGTCACCCCATTACAAGTGAGTCCATGTTCAGTTGGACAAATTCTGTGTTGGCAACCCTTTATTTTTCTAGTATATAAGATTTATCATAAATGAGTTTTTATCAGTCTGTTTGTGTCATCGAATAGCTTGAATGATTTCTACACACAACGGAGATTCTTAAACACAAATGCAAGTATATTGGATATGGTAAGGGTGAGGTCGTGGTTGTAGTCTTTGAATCTGCCTACAGCACAGCCCCTCTTCCTAACTTGGATGGCACCCCTGTTATATCGTAAGTATTTTTGTCTAAGCTTAGCCCAAAAACTTACTTTTGCTGACATGAAAAAGATACAATTTACATTTATTGCACCTGGGACTTCCAGGGATGTCAGGTACATTTTTGGTTTTGGGGTGATCTCTAGACAAATTGGTAAACGTTTAATGGTAGTTTTTCTACAATTATCTTTGATGACACAACCTGATTATCATACTTCAGCAAAAAAGTGAGGGGCTATAGCCCGTCAGGCCCCCAGCCATGGCACGACTGACATAAGAAGCATTCTAAAGTTGGAGGTACACAGGTAAGAAGGAACGCTATTTCTCAGAAAAAGGGATACTTTTTCAAAATTTCTAACAAGAGTTTTTCTGCAAACCAATATTGGATAAATAATCTGTCTTTATCCTTATAGATGGCCATGGCCTTGGTAGAGGCAGAGAACTAGCATTACTGCTAACTCACCCAGGAAATGTGTCTTCCAGTGTTATGTAATCTTTGCTGACTTTGCTAATGCTGTGTGCCACTGACATTGTACCAGACCAGAAAAGTGCCTTCAAAAAGAATGGAAATTCTTATTTTTATAAAGGGGCAGATACATACAGGGACTGCGTAGCATATTATAATATTAATATATTAATATTAATATATCTCTTAAGTTTGAAAAAGTTCAACCAATCTCTCCATTTCTATAAGGCCTTTTGCTTTGCTTTTTAGAATTTGTTCCATTTCTGGAAGGTGTCTTTTGAATTTTTTTCATTGCCATAAATGTTCTAAGTTTTCTTCATGTAATCCACACCTTCTGTAACTTATATTATGCATTTGGAGGGGGGCTGAAAAATGTTTAGGGGGCTAAACATGCAAAAGGCTAACAACAAGATTAAGACCCCCAGTCCCCTGCTTTCACAGTCTCTGAAGTATTTTTCAAGCTCGTTGCCATCACAATCAGATACCAATAAGATTAATTGCATGGTTAGGTATTGATATGATTAACAGTACCAAAAGAAAACTGCGGATACGATTCAAAGTTTCTCTCAACATGTGTACCTTTCATGGGGGATCTTTTTTACAGAACGTATTGTTACCTATAGTGAGGCGTCGTCAATAGGGAGGAAATACCCCCCCCCCAACAATTTGTCAGTTGGCAAATAAAGGATCTTTGCCAGGCAAAAGAAGAAATGTTTGAGCTCACCCTGCAACCTTTTTGCAACAATTGTAACCTATTAAGATTTCTGTAGTAGCTGAACATTCAAAGTATGGCACTAAAGTATGAACTTTGAAACAGAAACACAAGCAGCATATAAGTGTATTAATCTTTTCACCACACCGTTAAAAAGTGAGACACGCCCTTTTTTGTCAGCAACAATCACTTCTTTAACCCTCCAAAAAATTTTTTGGCTTCGCCCCTGCCTACAGTCAACGACATTGCAATGACGCCAAGCTCCCAAAGGTGCCAACAATGTCCTTTTTTGGAGTTGAGAATATTTCCTGCCTTGCCTTGGAAAAAATTGTGGGAGAATTTACTGCAATAAACAAAACACTCAAACCTGTTTCCTTTTTTTTCGAAAAAAAAACAAATTTTGAACGGAGAAAAAAAGTCTACAGTTGCATGCTAAGTATTCATCCAAAAGATTATTATTATGATGAATTCCCGCGTATGATAGTTCACCGTTGATGCTCCAGAAATGACATATTCTAGTTCTAAAAACCTAATTTCATTAACTTCAATTCAAATAAATCAGAATTTAATAATCAATTTAAATTGATAATCTGGACATAAAAAGGCGGAAATATCAGGACAGGAAGCGAGAAGGATAAGGATAATGAGTTCTAGGAATTTTCCGCTGGCACATGACATATCGCAGACTAAGAAAACGAGGTTCACCATCGTTTCGAAGAGGGAAAACAGTACTTTAAACCATATGTTTACAGGGGTCTGATACAGAATTGTTGTTTCATGCGTCAAAAAATATAAAGCATGCTTGATTATGCACGTTTAGTTTGAGTTAATTGTTTGTTTATTACTTAACAGCACAGCAGGCTACTTGTAAATATTTTGGGTCTATTTGATCATTGATAATTTTACATGGGTTATAAAACAAATTGTAAAACAATTTTTCATGGATTTGAGTTGACTAGCACGGGAAATGCGTTAAACTGTAGACCTTAGAGGGAAACGTGCTGGAGAGGGAAACTCCAGTCTTTGGAACATTGAAATTAAATTATAATTGTTCCCACCCTGTCTTTCGAAGTTGGACCTTGATCGACAGCTTGAAAAAAATCAGTGAACATTCCAGAGAAATCATCGCTGCATTTCGTGTTATTGTTGAACTCCTTTTCAAATATCCGGAACAGGTCTGTGCAGTTCTTCCCTTGAAGACCAGACGAGTACCGGAATTCTAAGTAGTCAAAACAGCGACCTGTAAATATCTCCTTTATGTTAGCTGTAGTACCATTCCCTTGACCTGCTCCAGCTCTGCTTATACACAACTGTAAAATAATGAAAAAGATCGTGTACATGTTGCCAGAAACTAAGCCACTCAGTGCTGAACGCTGAAACACGTTAAAGTTGGATGTCTGGTATCAGGAATGTTCACATCACATGACACTGCGTCACCCTGTTGTTTCGCGTTCTTGTATCGCGGTTTGCCTACAGGAAGTCCAAATGGAGCGTTTTGCATTGTATTCTCAAATTTTCTGTCACTTCACTGGGAGAAAATGAGAATTGGAAAAAATCCGGGTCAGTTCTTTTTAAACGGAACTACCCGGTCGTGAATTTCTCACCAGGGACGGTTTTCACCGGGATTGTTGCTAAAATTCTCAATCGCCTTTTAGCTTCCTGTTGACACTTATTGGGAAAAAGTCGAGAAATTTGGGGCCATCGGCCATCTTCAAAGCAGAAAATCGCAATCTCCGAGGACAGAAACGGGAGGAGCGGGGGGAGGGGGTAGATAACAATGGATTCAGGCGCCACACCCTTCAGGACACAGGTAAATGATGAAAACAACACATTTTCAAAATTCGGTATTTAACTTTGAGATAAAGATGATAAAAAGTTAAATAAAGTAAAATCTTGGCGTTATTTGATTGCTACCGACTACCAACAAACATTTTTTACCGAACGGAAGCAAAACTTACCGAAGGACACAGGAATATTGGGGTTAGCTGACTAAATCCATCCCTGTCTGAGGGGTTAGCTGAAGGCTGACCAACCCGTGAAAAAGTTTGATTGAAGGACAATACTGCTTGCATATCAGTCCAGCACATATTGTTAGATTGTTTATACGTCCTCTACTCACAAGATTTTGATTCACTCACAAGATTGGGGTCTGGAGCACAGGCCTTTTACACTGCACGTATTTCTTTAAGAACGTTTGCAATAATCAGTACTTAAAATATTCTTAGGTACTCAAAAAAGGTTTAGAATGTTCTTAGAATGTTCTTAATTCAAATGATTTAAAGCCTTCTGTTCTTTATTTGCCACGCAAGGAAGCGCAGATTAGAATGGAATCAAGAGACATGCTTGCTCCGCGAATGAAAACAAGCAATGGCCAAAAAGCAATTTGGGTCCGAGGATGGAAGGTTTAGAATGAATGTGAAAATGAGGTCAGGCAAGCCCCTTCTTTGTTTACCTTTAAATGCAATCTATTTTGAAAGTTCATCTTATTACATTGGATTCTCGTCGCCGTTTCGCTTTGTTTCTGAATTTTATCAAAGTTCAGTTTAATTCCGTTTAATTTTTGCACTTACTCAACATTGTGAATATTTCCCTTTTATTTTAAGAACATGGTAATTGGGTTTTGCCACAGCCCCCTGAAAAGCAGCTAGTCTTGCTGACGGGGCCATGTTTAACGGACTTAGAATGAAATTGAATAATTAATGAATTGAGTCAAATGAGCGACACACTGATTTTATTTGTGGCATACTTAAATGTGTAGCACTTTCTTTAAAAAGCTTGCGTCACTCCCCAATCGTAGCAAAGCCTACAAGTTGAAAACTCTAGATGCATCTCCACACATAAACACAATATCTTCATGCCGGTTGGGTAGTTGGCTGAGCATCGTTATGAGGATACACGGAAGGTCCTGCGTCCTTATTTTCCAACATTTACGACGATCGTAAATATTAAGTCCAGCTATAATGACTGAAAGATTGCCAGAAAGCGATGACATAAAAACAAACAGTTACATTTTAGAGATTAATGAAATACAACGTCTCGTTACGATAATGCGTTCGTTCATGATGATTAAGGCGACAACTCTTTTAGCAACTTTAAAAGATAATACTCTATACAGAAAAGTAAGAAGGCCCTTGTGTAGGCGCTAATACACAGGGTGACCATCATTTGCAGTCCGTCGGTTGACAACGATGACTGTTCTACGTTTTCGGTTGAATGACTGTCCTCCATAATTAACGATCCAGCGCTTTGGACTGCCAGTCCTGTGTCTTGATGTCCCTACACTTCATATTTCTCTTTGTCACGTCTTTAAATCGGAGTCTTGGTCTACCCTGATTTCGCTTCCCCCCATTTCTAGCTGCGAGTAGAGGAGTTGTCTCGGCAGCTACTCGCGTCCCATTCTGTGGACATGCCCTATCCATCACAGACCTTTTGTGATAAACCAGTCTGCAGAGCATGGCAGCTGCACGCGCGAGGTGATTTACGGAAGCTAAAAGTGCACCCCAAAAACTAGGTCTTGCATGCACGCATGCGCATGGCAACCTAGGTAGGTCAAATCAGGAATTTTGCGAATGTTTTGCTTGCAATTTTCATTAACTGGAAATCAAACAGAGTAATGAAAAAACAAGTAATTAACTGAACTGAACATAAAAAATAATAACAATGAAAACAAGAGATAATATCTTTCTCAACTTGAATATGTATATGTGTAAAATTAGATGTCTGTGGTGGAATAACTTTACTGAATTTTGTCCTTCTCACACAAGATGAAATGTTCTGTTGGGGCAGTAACATACAAATCTGCGCACAGCACGGAGAAAAATCCGGCGTGCACGCGCTGCGCGCCGGAAATTTTGCGCTGCACGCGCGAGATCTCTTCGAGTTCTTTCATGCTCAGCAGACTGGGTGATAAACATATCGGCCATGGATGGCAGTCCAGCTCTCTTCAAAATCTCAACATTGGTCATCCTGTCTCGCCATGAAATATTCATTATTTGTCTGATGTGCCTCAATATAAAAGCATGCAGCTTCTTTACTTGGAACCGATAAATTGTCCAGGTCTCCGCACCATACAGTAGGGCTGACAGGACAGCCGCTCTGTATACCTTGCACTTAACTTTGATAGATACATGGTGGTTATTCCATAGCCTCTCTTGCAGCCTACCAAAGGCAGCACTGGCTTTACCCATCCTATATATCAGTTATTGGTCGAGTTTGGCTGATTCGGAGATGGTACTTCCTAAATACACGAAGTTCTTACTCTGAACAAGCTTCTCGATGTCGATCTTAATATCAGAAGGCATGGGCGGAGGCACCACTAGCTTGCTTGCTTGGTAAAGGCACTCAGTTTTCTTGATGTTTATCTTAAGACCGAAGCTTCTAGCTGCACTTTCAAACCTATCCACTAACGCTTGGGTTCCCTCAGCAGTGTGAGCCACGATGGCACTGTCGTCAGCAAAGAGCAATTCCTGCACAAGTATACGCTCAGTTTTGGTCTTGGCCTTGAAGTGTGACAAATTCAACAATTCCCATGCTTTAGTCCACAGCCATTGGACTGGCAGGGACTAACCCCCCCTCCCCCCACTTTTTTGCAATAGTAGGTTAAAAAATTTTGGAAACTTTACTCTAAAGCAACTTTAGAAAGTTTGCTCCAACTGATCCTATGTATGAAGTAGCAGCTCTAATTGACTGGGAATCCTTTATTGTTCAATCCCCGGTTTTTATGATAATTTGTATAATTAATTTATGATAATAATGAACTTGTTTTAATGATAATTTGTACTTTCTAGCTTCGTGGTATCAATTTTTATAGTGATTGATATCTTCTCTGAATCAGATTGCTTATAAATAATACGTAAACATTAGCAATGGTTTTCTCAAAGGGACGCTATCCGGCGCTCTAAAGGGCGTGGCCTCAAACAAATTTAATTCACCCCATTTTTAGCCCCCTCCCACAAACTTTTAGACTGGTGCGCGGTGCCTGCTCTTGTCTACTCTACTAAACACCACTTCCTTTCTTCTTTCTCTTCAAATCAAAGTAAATATTCTATTTCCATTCTTGGAATATAAACTCATTCCTGGCGAGGCGCTTTGTCCTTTTCTTTCGTATAATTGAGGCTCGCATGTTCTTATTTCATCATTGATTTTTCTACGACTACATAATATAATTTTTTCAAAGAACAATAAATAACAATTCTGTGCAGTTTTTTTGGTAGCAAGGCTGTTTAACTGTCTTCTCAGAAACATATCATTAAATTCAAAATAAGCTATTCATATGGAAGTGAAAATGGCGAAAAAATCGTTGCCAAATATGTAAGCAAGTTTTTATAGTTTCCTTCAATTTAAAGAATGTCAAAACAACAGTAAAAATCATTTGGTTTTAAATCATATAAAATTATACAGCTAAGATTTCTATTGATAAATGGGTATTTCAAAAGGCAAAACTTACCACCACCACACCCTACAACCCCCCCAGCCCCCCTTCCTCTGAACTAGAACAACACAAGAGCCTACTAGAATAGATGCTGTCAGAAAGGTTTAATTTTCTGTAGACAAATAGCAAGGATTTGTTCGAAAATATGAAATGGGAGAATGGAGACTTTAAAGAATTTAAGAGTCGAACAAAACTTATCTTGGTGAACAGAATTAGAAATTTTTTGAGTGAAAAATTGTTTGTTGGTTGCATTTCCCTCTTTCCCCCAACCTTCATTCAAAATCATAATTTTCTGCCCTTGTTCTAGTCAGTATAACATTGAATTTCTACAAAGAAAAAATGGTAAATCCGAGGTTATATCTTTAAAGCAAACGCAAATTCATCCCCAATGATGCAAAATTTAGACAAACTGATTCATGACGACAACAGTCGTAGTGGCGCACTGACCAAAATTAGGATCGGTGCAAACAATACAAATGTCTTGAGTAGCAAACAACAAAAGCTACCAGCAAAGTTATAACTTGACAAGGCAAATCTGAAGACCACTTAAGCTCCACTTCAATTGTACCCTTAAATAGAATAGCCTATGTTCCAGACCCCTAACATTTACTATGCTCCAGACCCCTAACTTTAATATCCTGTGCTCCAGACCCCTAACATGTAACTAGACTACTTCTTTCAAGTCAGGGGTCTGGGACACAGGCTACTTCCAAACGGATCAATCAGATATTTTTTATAGTATTATTTTTTGCAATTAGCCCTTTTATAGTGCAAAATTTTGTGATAAACTATTATTGACTTGATTAGCTCACGATTTACGAGTGGGGGAAGGAAAAATTACAGAATGTGCTCTGAAAATATTACAAGTGCACCAAAATGCATTTTTGCAGATTGCATCTTTGCTCGGAATTTTTCTTTAACAAAGTTACGCTAAACATAAAATACGACGATTTAAACTAGGGAATGGCTTTAGACGGCTCTATTTTATGCAATGAGAATATAATTTCCCAGCGTACGCACCCAAAGCTTTTTGAAGGACCCCTCCCATGGGTTGCAAACAGAATATTTGCTAAAAGCGTTACGAAAAGTTTCGGCAAGTCTCTACTTTAAGGTGTTCAAATGTATGGGTGATACCCAGGGCCTCACTATCTTAGTTTCATGAAAAAATGTTGTTAAGATAGAAAGTTATGGTCATCAGGGAAACCACTTTTTTCCAAAGACTGTCTAAAAGTGTTTACAAGGGTGCAGCCCCCAGCACTTTTCTAGGGCAAGCAACAGGATCTCTCTTTTTTGGTATCTCCTGAATTTGAACATCTACATGCAGGTCGGTACAGGTGATGCAGCCATGAGTAGCTTCTCTCTACCATCCTGACGTAGGGGGTGCAAAAATCGAATTGACCGCCAAAAAAATTACTCCTATTGTACATCATTTCAGAAGCTTTAGGCAATCTTTGTACAATAGGAGCAATTTTTAAATACTTATAGTCTTTTTACAAGTTGAAACATCTATTTATCTTATAGAGGCAGTGGCGTAACTGTAACGTTTTGATGTTGGTCGAGTTCTTCTTATGATGGTGAAGATACGATGGGGCTAGGCCAATGGGCCTAAGCCCCGAATAAGTAGAACACGAGAGAGACTCTATTCTGATGTTGTCTTTATTCGTTCAACAGCAAGACTAACTCTAAAGTGAACAACGCACACACATAACATGAACGGAAGGTAATTAAGAGAACAATACGAACGTCACAATACATGTTGACAGACAAACACATTGCCATTAGAAAGGCGTTAACTGACAAAACAGGACTCAACAGCACATGTGACTATAACACGCAACTGAAATATTACGAAACATATCACACACTAAAGCCAACCGTTACATAACGAAGCAGTGTGGGGCCCTTACTAAAGAAATGTTTTAGGGCCCTCTGCCTAACTAAATTTGAGTCATGTTTTAGAGCCTAAGTACTCGCTCTTTGGGGGTTTCCTAGCAGATGACCACGATCAGTTAGATAAGGCTTTGAAAGATCAAGCTTGCATGATTTTACTTGAATTTCGGCCCTTTTGCTCGCACCAGATTCATAAACACGGGGATTGGAAGACATTGTGATATGAAAGCACGCTGCACTGGAAAAACTCAAAACGATCTTCTTGGACAACGGCTATCCTGAAGACGTCATTTTATCTTATACTAAGGAGAAGATCGCAAGTTTTTCGGCTGTTCAAAAGTTTGGTCCGCAAAAGTGCCCAGTTTATTTGAAACTACCATGGATTGGTAACACTTCCTTGCAATTCGAGAGTCAGATTAGGCAAGCCATAACCAATTGTTTCTTCGGATCTAGTTTATCAGCACTAGAGAGAGCCCTTCCATCCATTCAAAAGGATTGCGTTCCTACCAAACAAAAAAGTTCCGTCATTTATGAATTTATGTGCCAGTGTGATTCTGGCTACGTAGGACGCACAACCCAAAGATTGGGGGATAGGATAAAACAGCATGTTCCTTCCAACATACGAAACAAAACTGCCCCTCAAAGAGAACAGCCTCCTCGATCTTGTAGGTCTAGAAACACTGTTAAAACAAGTGATTCTGCCATTGGTCAACATCTTTTAGACAACCCAGATTGTGCAAAACTCTATAATGACGACATGTTTCGGATAATTGGCAGGGCCCGGTCGTCCTTCCATCTAGCAGTTTTGGAGTCAATCTACATAAAAACGAAAAAGCCGCCATTGTGTAGACAAAAGGAGTTCGTTTTCTCTCTTGGACTCCATTGGTAATTTTTCTTTATGCTCGCGGCACTGATTGGTCAACTATACCGGTCTTGTGCTGGCGTTTTTTTGATTGGCCTATTTCGATCCACAACTGGGTATATATTTTTCCATCGTGTTTTTTCGGAACCTATTCTGACGTTTTATGCTCTGAGGAGTGTCAGACGAAAAAGCTTTTAGTATGTCGTAAAATGTTTGCTTTTTTCGAAGCCATTTTCAAATTCTGTACCGCAAAAAAATTGATATGAAAGCAAGAACATTGATCGATGCATTTGAAAACATTACTAGACTCAAAAGATAAACATTTTCAAACTGTTCGTGGCATCAAAAAAATGATGGCAATCCACCATAATAGTTTACCAATTTGTGTAGAGCCCCCCCCCCCCCCCCCCCCCACTCCAAAATTTGCTCCAGTAACCCCTTAAAGCTGAAATCTTTACATATCATTGCAGTCTTTTATGCTCTTTAAGATAAATTGAAAGGGAAGCAAAATTAGCTACTTCTTGTGTTTGAAAATCTCCCGGTTACATTTTGCAGGCAGGTGGTAGAGTGGTGATCGGTTTTGAACTCATTTCAGCAAAAAAGCTTCCGTCATGTGTGAATTCAGATATATCCCTTTTCTGTAAAAAAATGATGTAAATAATGCTGAATAGGCCTATATTCGAAATATATATTTGAAATATTGAAATGAAAGTAAAACTTGAAAACCCTTTTTAAGGCATATGAATTGCTAATTGAAAAAGATTCAAATTCATCATGCGTAAATTCAATAAATTGAAATACTGAAAATGAAATTGTTAATTTTCTTTATGTAGTCTAAACTAAACTATTGTTAGTAAAGAATGCGATACAGAAAAGTAAACATTTGTCCAATGTTGCAAATCGTGGCCTTGTCACGGATCCTTGAGGCCCCTCAACAATAAATAGTCCCAGTCCCCTAATGCGCACGCAGTTGCCGCGAAAAAATTGTCACGTGACCAAGTGCAATAAGCGCACATTTTGGTTTGAAGGACGAAAGTGAAGTTTTTGCAGCGGCATTTAGATCCTGGATTTGTTAATTTAGCTTCTCGCGACCGGTATGTCACATTACGATCTATATAAATAGCTTTACAAGGAGGATTTGATATTAGAGCACAGCGATTGTATTGTTGCGAAAGCCGCGAATCGGACAGTGCTGGGTCGCTGAGCTGCAGTTTTGGCGTGCCTCTTGCGTTTAAAATTTGATTGAAACTTGGTTTGTTTCTCATTGTTGTTTGTGTAACCAGTTTGGCGTTCCACTGTCATTAATACGTAGAATGATTCTTGATAGACTCATCCCTTTTAAGCTGCTTATTCCCTAAACAAGAGAACGTCTGTTTTATTTTGGATCACTTGAAAAATTAGAGCGTTGGCCTAGCCAGAAGTAATCGGATCGTTAACTTTCCTTAAACTTTGAGTTCTAGACAGAAAAATTATACGGTCTTAGCTGACATATAGTTCAGAATTTCTGAACTAATTTCCTGGTGATGTGTTAGTTTAACAATTTGTAATGCTTATACTCCGAAGGAATCACTTGTTTCCAGTAATTCACAGACGCTTCGTTTAGGACACTTTTTGAGCGTGCTGCTAATTTTCAAAACACACTAGCATTAACTTTAAGGAGTTGATGAATTCAATGATTACTGAAAAAATTTAAGCCTTCAAAATGTGGTAAGCCTTTTCAATAATAATGGGTGGAAAACCTGGCCAAAACTGGTAGCTTAGACTTATTGTTGAGAAGGTTTGGAGTTTATTTGCATTTTGTAATTAGGGTATAACTGAAATAATTCTCATAATGTTTTGTTTACATGTGTTGCTTTGCTTCTTTGTGACATTTAATGTCTTATATATATATCTATATATAGATCTGTGTATGCAATGTTTATTGTGGCATTACAGCTCTTGATGCACAGAATTACACATCAATTGATATCTTAGAGGTGTAGTCAAAGAGGAGTCATGATTGCTGTTACTCCAAGTGTTGTGCATTATAGATGCACAAGAAATGTCTTTTGTTATTTGTTACAAACTTTAATTAAAATACTTCTGTATGACAGTTTAAATCCTAACTGTGTATATATATATTGTCTTTCTGACCTATTATAAATATATATATATTAATGACAAGTGGATAAATTGTTAACAGATGCAGTGTTAAAAACAAGCATCTATGTAAGTTAAACATTTTAATGAAACCCAGCAGTGGAAAAGCATTTTAATTGCTTGAACTGCATTTAAACAAATATTTTCTGTGCCAAAAGCTCCCATTACAACCACCATACATAAGCTGAGTTTATGTAGGATTCTGGGACCCAAAAATTTTTTCTGGAACTGATGGTCTGGTGGCCCAAAACTTTTTCCACCTATGGTGCAACCTTAGTTATATAGAGAAACTGAGTTTTTTGGAGGATCTTTAGGTTGAATTTCTATTGCCAAAATGCCCTTTTTGCCAGAAAATGTGGGTGTACCCCCTCCCAAGTTACAAATGCTTTCTTATGTCCCTGTCTAAAGAATAGTATCTCTTAGTGGCTATTTCTTAGTCATTTCTTGTGCTTTAGCTCTTGCATTTCTTCTGAGACATTTTTCTTCTGTTTGCAGGACTGTAAATATATGTATATATCAAAGTGTATATTGTGATATCTGCAAATAGCACTGTTTGCAATGAAAAGTGGAGCAAGTCAAACTACAAGTGGTAGTTCTACAAAGCCACCTGGGAATGCTTCCACACACCAAGTCAAAGCACAGGTATTAAAGGTTTGCCTTGATAACCTTTCATGCTGTGACCCCCTTTAAATGATTGCTTCTTCATTCCTTGTTTATGTGAGGCTTTATTTAATAATGTAGCAATATCATGTTAAAAACTATTGAAATATGTATAGATAAATATATTGATAAATATATTGGTCTGGATTACAAAGCATTCTGGAAAAGGTGGTTAACCTCAATCCTGCTAATTTGTGTTTTTTTAATTGAGGAATTCAACACCCATGATTTAATACTTACAGAATTCTAGAAAGTCTAAATTAATGGGGTTTTGTTTGTGTCTAGATTAATAATATATAGTAATTTGTGTTTTCATCAGTAATAGAAGCATATTCATTACTTTGTCCAAATTAGTCTAGCTATCTGTGACTTAAACTATGCTATGGACTGACAACATTGCCCAGTTTGAAACTATGGTTTGATGCAGCAGTTTGAATATATCTTTAGGCCTAGCCATTGAAGAGAGCCAAAGCTCTTGTTCCCCTCCAGGCTCTCCTCAAATGCTAAAGGGGAGCTACAGATTGCTCTCCCAAGCTGCTCTAAAAAGCAAATTTCTCTCCTTGAAATCCATTTTCCTTGTTTCTATTTGTATTTATCTACAAATAGCTCACCTGGAAGTTATTAGGAGAGCTGTTACTAATGTCCCCAACTAATGTCTTATTGCCAGGCCTGTATCTCCCTTGTTTTCTCTAGCCAACAGCTGAGCAGATTAGATATGCAAAACTGGCACAGTTCACAGAGCATGAGGATGCCATCCTGCAAGAAAAAATAAAGCAGGTGAAATTGCTCTCTTTTTTCCAGTGAATCCCTTACTTTAAAGTTAAATTTAAAAAGTCAGATAAACTCAATTGTCATCATGAAGCATTTCAGTAAAGTTTACTTTGTTTTATATCTGAACATCACTCAATACTGTTATTCTATTTTGTGATAACTGTCCGGAAGCTTTTCTGAAAACAGAATGAATGAGAGAGTCTCAGACAATGAAAGAAATAACATTTTTAGAGGAATGAATGGAGGAATGCAATCTGTATATATTTGAATATTTCTTGTTTTTTTTTTCTGAGATTCCCAAATCTAGGATTTCGAAAGAAAATGGAAAAATTACCCAATTTAATATAGAATGTTTTTTTTTCAAGATGATATTTATATCCAATTAATTGTAAAACATAAGTTTAGAGAATGAATGGTTTTTTTTCTTCTTGCTTGCCAACTCATGACTTTTTTGTGTGCATAGGTCTGTGAAATCACGGGAAAGCCAGCAGACATTGCTTCAGTTGCCCTTCATGAAAACAACTATGATGTGTCACAAGCAATACAAAATATCTTTGATGGGCAGTATGAAGTGGTTGATGTAAGTTCATTTCTTTGATATGTATTGTATTTTCCTACTAATTTTGTTTATTCCTTCTAAACTGTCTATGTTTTTTGTATGTTTATAGCGTCCTTTTATAGAAATTCATTATTGAAAATAGTGTTGCTGAAGTGTGTATTATGGAATGTTTTTTAATTGGAGTAGTCATATGGGGCTCTAGTTAGGATACTTAAAAGAAAGATGTTTTGTTTTTTTGGAAGAGGGGGCTATAAGAAACAGGCAGGTCTTCTGGGAAGATCACAAACAGGAAGTTGAAGGAAGAATAGATATTGAAATGAATAGGACTTATTGAAGGAAAAGGGAAACAGGAAATTTAAAAGGAAAATTTGAACATTCATAAAAATGTTGATTTTGATGTGAAAGATTTTGTTTTTCATAGCTATTGCTTTCAAATGCTTTATAAGATTATTTGATATATTTATACCCAGATATATTTGTGCTTTCAAACAGAAAACTTCAGAGGTTGCATATTCTAGAGGTTTTTCTGTCTGTATGTTTGGCTTATAGTTTTTCAATCTTTATAGTCTTTCTCTTGTAATAAGGAATAATGAATGAATAAAATCACATTTTTTGTTTCCACATTTCATTTTATGAAGAAACCACCCCCAATTTGAAAGGCTACTACTTCCTATGCTTTTTCAAAGAAAAATGCATTATATCTTTGCAAGTAGATTGCAACTAGAATCCTAACAAAAAGTCTCAAAATTTTTTATATATATATATTACCTTAATGTGAAGCTTTGATAATTAGCATCCCTATTTCACTAATATATGTTTTTTTTGTTTCATTCAAGATTTAAAATGAGTTGTCCAGTGTAAAATTTACCCAGGAAAATATTACAAAATTTCTTTCTTACAATTATTTTATTAGGTTTAAGACAAAGTCTGTAATAAATTTTATTTATTTTGTTGAGGGGCATCTTTTCCTAACAATTAAAACATGCCCTTTTTAATTTGGCAGACTGAATGGAAGACAAAATCAGCAAAGAAGAGGAAAGCAGTCATCCCTGGGGTTGAGAAGATTACAAATGACGAGGAAGTGAACGAGAACCATGTGGAAGAAGAAGACGAAGAAAAGACAATAACTAAGCCTGGAAAACCAGCTCGAAGTGGAAGAAGAGGAGGTATTGACATGGAATTTAATATGGCCCATAACCGTTTCTAGAAATGCTAACATAAGAATGTCATGAAAAGCAACCCTTTCTAGAAGAGAGAGAATTAGACTGTCATTTAAAGACAAACCCTTGCTAGAAACGTTAAAGGCATTGATTGAGTCATGATAAATGGAGAGGGTAGGTCCATCCAATCATACCAAAATCCACTGACTCATGATTTTGTGCTGCAATGCTATTGGTTGACCTGGAGTTGATCACATGAACTCGCCTCATACTGATTGACAAAACACTTTCCATCAATAGCAAGAAACTGCTTTGATCATGCCAATACCAAAATAGAACGGCTATTATCCACTACCTTTTTACTCTTTTTTTTTCCATTTTCTAATGCCTTTATAATAAGAATTTCATAAAAAACAACCCTTTCAGTTTTTCAAAATTTTAACATAAAAATTTGCTAGAAAATTATCAAGTTGGATAAAATTTTGGCATTTTCAGAATTTTCAAAACACATTATTATCCCTGAAAGCAACAAAGATATAAATATTTTTAATTGTCTGGTAATTGGATTAGCTTGACAAAAGAGTTTAGATTTTTGTTGTTTTTAGCTTGTTAAAAGATAAGATAAGGAAGAAGGTAAATGTTATGTTGATATAAAGGGGTGGAAAATTCTGGTAAAATGGTGACCCTCCGGTAAGAGACCAGCAGTTCTTTGGTCACCCAAATCAAATTTCTGACGAGAGGGGTAGAGATTTCTAGGAAAGATTGGTCACTTGGTGGTTACCCTGTGTAATGATGAACTGTCTCCCACATATGAAAACCAGTTATCATGGGTAGGGGGAGACTGAATTGTCCACCCCTGATGTGCAACATTGAATACAGGAAATGTTTCTGTTTAGTAAGTCCCATCATTCCTATTTCCCCATAATATATGATAGTAATACTTTCCTCCCATATGACCAAACTGTCTAGTGTTCCAAGAGTGATTGAGATAGTAGGAAAAAGTAAAATCGTGAAATGATTAGGAGAAAATTCCTAATTTTTTTAACTAATTTTTAACTTCGATATAAAGAAATAATTTTATGACACCGATAACAGCCATAGCCTATTATTTTGTTTACTAAAAATTGGTAATTCTTCCAATTTTGGATTGTGATAGGCCCTGCTTGAACTAGTTTTTGTCTTTTCCTAAAAGGTCGGGCAAAGCGGTCAGAAGAAAAAGCAGAAGAAAAACCAGCTGAGTCGAATCATTTGAAAGAAAGAGATGGAAGACACCTGGATGGCAGCGACCGAGCCAAATCATTTGAAAGAGGAAAGGGGAGGCCAAGGGGTAGAGGAAGAGGGGGTGCTCAAAGGGGAGGTGAGTGTGCATATCTTTCATTTCTAAGTGTTTTAGGCGAGTCAGCAGACACACGAACCCTCTAGCTTTAGAAAATTACAAATACCAATTCTTGATTATGCCTTCCAAATCTCTAAACAAAGGTTTTTAATTGCATAAAAAGGTGTAAAAAAGAAGAAACTAGGGAAAACATTTAATATTACTCTGTCTATGTTTTAGTATATTTAATGGCTTTTTTGCTTATTATGTGATGAAATAACTGCTCTTTTATAGAAAGCAGCAGACGAGGTGGATTTGGAGGCAGAGGTTCATTTGGTCCTGGCCGAGGGTATGTGGAATTTTATCAAAAATGGAGGTCTCATACTTGTTCGAGGCAGTTTTTTTTCTGAACAGTCGGAAGCCTTACAAAGTTTTATCTCATTTCTCAATCTTCTCTTTGCATGCATTCCCCCCTCTTTCTACCCACCCTGTCCCAATTGTAATTTTTCTCTTGCATGATTTTATAAACATTGGTATATGGCTTTGAAAAAAGCAAACATTTAGTAAACTAAAGCTTTTCGTCTGACACTCTTCAGAGTTTAAAACGTCAGAACATAGATCGAAAACTCTACGCTAAGAAATATATATACCCAGTTGTGGATCGAAATAGGCCAATCAGAAACACGAGCACATGACTGTAAAGGTTGACAAATCAGTGCCGCTTGCCTATTAGAATGTAAGCAATGGAGTCCTAAGGTGAAAACGAACTCCTTTTGTCTACACAGTAGCGGTTTTTTCGTGCTTATGTAGATAGATTCTAAAACTGCTAGGTGGAACGACGATCGGGCTTTACCAATAATCCGAAACATGTCGCCATTATAGTTTTTTGCACAATCTGGGTTTTCTAGCAAAAACATTGATATCCGTACATAAATAATACTATCACTGCTTCGGATAGGTTGTCAGTTGAATTAGTTAGTAACTTCAGTTAAAATGCGGAGAGAACGTGCACAGAACGGATAAACCAGTCATTTGGCCAAGTATCCAACTAGAAAACTGTTTTCCGTGTCCTTAGGCCTTGCTTTGTTAGAGTTGATTGCAAGATTGATAAAAACCTTCATGATCTATGTTAGAATGTGGAGAATGCAAGATATAAAGAGACGACAAGATCTAACTTTATGACTCCTCTTTACCAAAACATAACGAAAAAATCCTATTTACACGAGTAACTCCGAACTACCACAACCCAAGCTAAATAACATAAAAATGATCGAATGAAAAAATCTCGCGTAGGAAGCAGTCTGGGTCTAGCCCATCCAACAATCTATATACATACATCAGCATAGCAAACACCACGAATTTGAGTACACGGAACTATAAAAGAATTGGTAACCACAAAAACATCTCGTGACATTTAATTGTTTTGCAATTGATCTCAACTTGATGTGTGTGTTTGTGTATGTATATAAATTATCAAGATTTTCATCAATCTTGCAATCGATGTATAATAGATAGAGAGATTATGGACTTTCCTTCGAGTTTGAAGTTAAGCTCTCAGTTATTAATTTTTTCTTATTAATATTCTGTGACAACTGACAAGGCACAATCTGGTTTATTGTTTTCGTAAGAAGAGCTCTACAGTGCAATTGGGAAACCTTTATTTTGTGGGATTGATTTTTGCCTAAATGTATAGAAAGTCGAAAGTATAAAAAATAATGATAAATCAATTTGAATTCACACCTGGTGCCTACTGCCCGAAATACATCGAAAATTCCATACTGTCAGATAATGCAGAAGTTTCTCAAGCACAAACATATTCAGGCTTCTCACGACTGCTTTCGATTCTTTCTACCCCTCTCTGATCCTAGTTTAAAAAGCATCATAACAGAAACAATATAGAAATATAGAGTAAGTTTGCTAATTCTTTGCAATATTTTCTGGCATTGAAGTAACTTAAAGAAGTTCAAACCAACACACTCAATAATAATTTCCTTATGTTTTCCTTCAAGAGCCCCGAGAGGACGTGCCAGAGGCTTTGGACGTAGGCCAAGACAAGATCGAGAATGGAAAGGAGCGACATCGAATGAAGTTACCAACGAGAATGCTGTGGATAACCTAAATGGTATTGTAAGCGTTTATCTATTGAGTTCATCTATAGGTTTTAGTCAATTTTGCTATTTTGGTTTTGTAATACTGAAGACAAATGAATGTGAAATTATTCCTTTGAATAATCCTTTTCGTCAAATTATCTTTGGATAATTTAGATGTTTAGTCAGTTGGACTTTGGTCGATTACATACTTGTTTTGCGATAGCAATAAGTCAACGAAGACATTACAAAATTGAATGTCGTAGAATTTCACAAAATATTTCTTCTTCCTTTATCGTCAACAAGTTTGGAAGGTTAGGGCCTCGTCACCAAAGAGAGATGAATTCTTGTCCAGGCACAAATATTATTGAATTACGATTACATTCTATCTGGTATTGGTCAATTGTCTATACAGGCCAACTGGCACCCTGCTGGAATGCTATGCTCTGGGATAAATGGTCAATATCACGTACTCCGAAGGGCAAATCACTTGATGAAAATCTTGTACACCTTTGATTGAAATCCAATGGTTTTATCTAAAAATCCCTTGAAATCCTTTTGTTTTTGGGGAAATTTCGTACGCTATTTGCAACAGTGAGCTGCCCCTCGATGTAATCTCTGCTTGTGACAACGCAACTGTAAATTTAGAGGGGGGCACAATTGGTGGAGACTTATAACCTTGCCAAGCAATGCCAGATACAGAAGGCTCTTTATATACACATTGGATGTTGCTGTGAAAGTTATCATTGTAAGCAGGCATTGACTGTAAATGGTGCTTAGATGAGTTTTATCGACCTGTGTGCAGTACAAATGCATCTGTAACCAACTGAGTGGCCTTAAAGGCAATCGACAGATTCTAAAAGGGCTTAAGCAATCTTTTAATAAAAAATTGACCAATCAGTGAGTGTGATTTGATTCAGACGCTCATTGATTGGCTAATATTGATTGGCAGATGCCTTAAGCCACTTGTATGTCAATCGGTTGCCTGGTCACTGACATTTTCTCCACTTAAACTTGATTGCCTGCTTTTTTCATCTTTAGAAAAGGAATCCTGGGATTTGGATGATAACAACGGTTTGGAAAGAGAGAATATCGGTTGGTTTATGCTTCAAAAGTTATTTATCATTCTGACGAATAAACGAATGCAAGAAATGTTTTACCTGTATCTTGTTGACAACCGATCCTTTAATTACCTAAAACACTACGTACAAACTACTAAACTACATAACAAGGACGGAAACCAGGAGGAGCAATATATCATGACTGCCCCCTTAGGATATGACATGTATCTAAATATAACTAATAATACAATGATAACACTACATATACATATACTAGATTATAATTATACATACATAATACAATACAACATATACATATACGGTAAATCATCAAGCCCGCTTCACATTGGACGCCATGGGGAAAAACGTTATAATGGTCAAGGTTTATACTCAATACATAGTTGATTATATTGTATTGTAATATTGTATTGTAATATATAATATATTGTAAATATCTTGATACTACTGAAGGTTCAAAGGAGTCAGCCTCAAGATAGCTTTGCTGTTCTCTAAGTCAGAATATCTGTTTGATGTCAACTTTTTCATCGACAAATTGATTATTCTCATCAAAACAGAAAATTACTGCAAAGGCGAATTGACCGTGTATTCATCATTCGTACATGCAAGGATCGGCCTAGTTTAGTTTATTTCTTAGGATTTTTTCTCCAATGAATACATTCGGTTATCACTGTCATGTTCACATCCCAGCCTTTTTCCTGTTTTTTTATCTTCGATCAAGTGTTCCCTTCGTTACGATCACCCAGTCACATTTATTTTTACAACCTTTTCTTCTTCTGCTTTCCGTAAGGTCTAACAACAGCAAAATCCTTTTCCGCACTACATGCTTACATTATCCGTATGGCAATGAGAAGAGTCAGTCATTTCAATAACAAACGTTCATTTTTATCGCAGAATGGGGACTGGCAGCAGAAGCTGCTGACGCAGAGTGGTCACATGATGCCGAGGAAGATGGCTTGGAAGGAGGAACATGTGACAACGATAGGGTAGCACCGGTAGGGTACCCTTGTTTCACAATTTTCAAACCTTTCCACATAAGTTTAAGAGGCGTCTTTTCTTTGGCCAATAATCCATCATTAACTGCCTAAATCTTGATCGCTTGACAATGCCAGTCTTTGACATATTGGCTTCTTTGAAGGCAACCGACAGATACGAAAGTTATTTAGGCCAACTGTCCATCAACATTTGGCCAATCAGTAAGCGTGGTACGGCTCACGCGCTTTTGACTGGCTAATTTTGATTGGCAAAAAGCTTAAGCCACATGACACTCAAAAAGAATTATTGTTGTATCTGTCGAATGTCTTGAAAAACAACAGGTTTCATTTAGGGTCCTAGTATGGGATTTCTTAATTTCAACCCGAAAAAGTTCAGTCCAAATTATTTCAAAGTAAAAAATAATACATGTTTCTAAACCTATATTTGTCTTTTACTACATGCTACTAACAAGCTTTCAAAGATAGTTTCTAGCACACGGAGAAGCTATGCTTATCGAGCAGTTTCCTGTCTCTCGATACGACGTGCCTCGTTATGCCTACGAAGTACAGAGAGCTGGCGAATCTCTTCATTCAAAGTGAAAGTTAGGTAGTGTCAGTTATTCGAACCACAGATACTTGGATCGATAGTCCCTAATCACCGAGCCTTCTTCCTACCTAAGCGTTATTACCTAAAGCATTATTGGGATTGCAATGTTGATATTCCATTTCGCAGGTATCTGAAGACAACACGGCTAGCCTGTTTGCAATGTCAATGTTGCCGTCTACATCCAAAGAAGACACTTGGTCGCACACCAATGGGCCTGAGTCTAGCTGGAGACGGCCATCGCCTGAACGCCAGCAGGAAGAATCGCTTTATCGCCCTGAACAGTAAGATACCTCGTTGTATTTGGGGAGTTATCACCCTTTCTTTTATGGTCATTAAGTTTGAAGGCTTAAGATGTCATTTGAGGCTGGTACATGGATGGTTTTTCTCTTGAATAGCAGACATATTTATCATCCTTCTCTAAGCTACAACTTTTTTCCCAACAGTTTTTCAGGATTTTTAATGAGTTTCAAACAGGCAGATTGTGAATTTTTAAATGCCTGATATTTCGAGCTTTTTCTAATTCCAACAGAAAATTTTCTCTTTCCAGTTACCAAATTTGACGATTTAATCTTTTGATTGATCGAAGAAACTGTTTTTTATATATATTTATACACTTTTTCCATAAGAATACAGTTTATAAAATTATCAAGGCTCGATGTGCCCAAATTATAAGAACAACGTAAGAAAGTACCAAGCCTCAGATGAGAAATTAGAAGAAAAAACAACAAAGCAAGTGTTTTTGAAAACGTTCTTTGATGTCAGCAAAACAGAGTAGATTTTGTCAGCTTATCAACCGTGCTACTAAAAATTTCATGCAATGCTGGTATAAAAATTTGATATTGAAATAAGAACAACATTGAGAATATTCCAGCCTCGAATCATCTGCAAAATAAGAACATCGTGCCTCGGCAAAGTTATCTTGTTAATACGAAAAGAGAACGTTGAAAACGGACGTAAAAAAGGACCGTGTATTTCAGCCTTAAGTTGTTGAATGTATTAAGATCAATATGGTTTTGATTTCCAGCGTTGACACAGCGGTAATCAAGTCGCAACGAGCCCAGCCATCGTCCAAGCCAGATTCTTATTCAGCGAATGAGCACTCTAGGCCAATATACACGTCATCGCACCATAACAGTCGTTTCCCGTCGACGCACCAAAGCACGAGTTTGACGTCATCGTTTCTAGGTCGCAACTACAACCTTGAAAGCTTAGCGAAGGCCTCAATGCAAAATAATGGCGAGACAGTTGAAGGGAGCATGCCTGCCCCAATGATCAGCGGTATCCATGATAGCCACACGCTTGAACAAGAGCAGATACAGCCTCCAAAGGCCCAGAGACAGGCGAAACAAAAACGGACCACAAAACAGCAGGTTATTCGCATTTTCTGAAGTAAAATCTCAAACCTGTATGTTATTGGCGCCGAAAATAAAATTAATTTCATCCCAAGCTGTATCAGGGAGGGCGCAACCGTGGCCTGATGGGTGCTTAGCCCCCCTCCCTTATAATTTCCATGATATACTTAAAACCATACAAAAGTCAGCTTTCTTTTGGTTTTTAACATGCAATGCCTGCAAAAAGTCTTGGAAACTAACGCCTGTGTTTCATCACCCGTCCCCTTTCCCCTTTGAGAAATTTTGGTTTACTACCTAACGACGGAAAAAGCTAGGAAGCATGCTCTTTCTGTGGCTTGTGTGATATTTGTCTAAGCTTTAAACGTTGGTCTAGGGGGGGGGAGGGGGTGGAAGTAGAAGTATTCGGGGGAAAATAGAAAAGTATAAATGATAACGTTTTAGCCCCTTCAATCCGTAATATGTTCCGGGGGTCCTTGGGCTGTATTGATAAAATTTGCACGTTTACTACAACTGCGCTCAAGCTTGGTGTTTTCAAATGTAATTTCTTCTTACATTCCGTACATTTTGCGCCAGAGTTAGAGCTCTGTTTCGACTGTAGAATTCTACCACTTCTACCACTAAGCTTTCTCATCAACATGTCTTTTCCAGCCAATAACTTTCTGTTTCTCATACGTAATTTCGCTTCTGAACGTTTCAGAATATCCTTGATTTTTTAGATCCCTGCCCAACCAGTAGAAATGCCAAAGTCATTCATGGAGGAGATCGAGCAACAGGTACAATCTTCTGCACAGTTTCTCTTAAAAATTTGTCATCCAAATAAACTCTAGGACCATCATGAAGGACTGACGGACATCGACAAAAAGCCCTTATCATTTATCACGACCTTTATAAAACAGGTTAAATGAATTGCCTGAGCTTGGAGATATCCATTTTAAACTCAGACCATTCTCTTTAAGATATTGAATTTGTTAACTACAAGAAAAGGAAACCATATCCTTTTAATCGAATACTTATTAGAACAGAGAAGCAATTTGTTTAGTTACTAAATATATGGAAACACCTACTTAGTTATTTAAAAAAACCTTTCTATTGTGGTAAGTGTTCAGCCCAGTAGAGACAACGTCCATGCATACAGTGTATAATTGTGACGTCAAAAAGAGAGCTTTCTCCGAGATAAATTGTCAGTTATAACTATTTGACTTTTTTAATAAAGGCACATCTGATGATTATGGTTATTGTTATTCGAATACACATCCCAACTCATTCGGGCTCTTCCTCTTTAAGATTCGTCCATAAGCTTTTGTTATGTTTTTTAAGTGATTTTTTGTTTCAGCTTTCTATTTTTATTTTCTTAATTTAGCTTGGAGGTCTTGAGTTTGGCAGTGGGCCTTCAGTGAGTCCCAAATTTGGATCTGTAAGTTATTTTATATTTTATGACTTATTTTATCATATAATGGGAGACTAGCTGTTGCTCTTCTCTTTAATACTTTTTGTACCTACAATCAATATTGTAATTCCTTTCTTAAGTGTGTCCCCAATCACTGTTTTGCGAACATTGAAAATAATGTCTCTATCTGAAAACTATCCAACCCGTAGATAATGGCACTTTTTTCAACAGCTACAAAACCAGGGTTGCCAACTTGGCTCTATTTAAGCCAAATATGTCAATTTTGGCTTTTTTAAATGCTGTTTGGATTTGGAAAAATAGTTTGGCATTTTGGCTTAATTTTGGCTTTTTTTTATGTCCAAGAAAACAATTTATATTCTCAATTTTCCTATTTCCATAACTTGGAGAAACGGCTTTCAAGAGGTAGGAAACCTGCACCCCTCCACCAGAAATATTTTTAATAGCAACAAGACATCATTTAAAAAGCGTCGTTCAATCAACTTTCTTTGTAACAATAATATTTTTAAAACAATACAATGCAGTCTGCGCCCTGAATTCACACGATACGGCCCTCGAGGCAATCCACCAAATTAAATGAATTTGGCTTCTTAGATATTTAATTGGCTTTTTTGGCTTTTTATTGGCTTTTTCGGAGCAGAACAAATTTGGCAAAGAATCATGATTCGTCTTGTTTACGTTTTTCACACTTTGTTTTTTAAATGATAGGCAACTGTAAGTTAAGACTGATTATTTCTCCTAAAAAGTGATCTGATTATTGTTCAATTATACATTTGAACAAAAGTTTGAGCCTTAATCGCCAAATATTCACCACCTTTGTTTAAATAACCTTTTTCATTTGTTGCTAAAGTAATTATTGTTTCCTTTTTATCAGCTTACATCAGCTACCGTAAAACCTGTTAAAGAAACGACTCTTGCAAACAAGTAGAAACTCATTTTTAGGGCCTGTAAAAAGTACTTGGAATACCCAACAATTTGCGCCGTATTTTCCTGTTTTTCATTTGTTTTTCCGATAACTTCTATTTCTGCCCCTGCCCCCAAGAAATATGGATGTTTTAGACAATCATCAGACAAGTCAGAGGAAAAACCTTACTCCATAATCTCCTACGTCGTTTTGTAATAAACCCACATTATTCAAATGTGGAAAGGGGTGGCTGAATTTGCCCTTGATAACTGACATTAGTGTATCAAGACTTTTTGCAAGCCATTGTATGCTTGAAATCTCTTTTCGTTTCAGGAGTCAAATGCCCCATCGTTTGGGACTTCTTCCACAATTGTATCGACAGTATTCCAGCAAAGGTTTGTTACGTGTTAATTGTTGTTTTTCAAATACATAACAAATTTCAAATCGTTGGGAAAACATTGAAACATTTCTCAAGCTTTACTTTGCATCAAAAAATTTTTCTATGTTTCGAAAATGTTTTTTTTAAAAATACCTAAGGAATGATACACATTTTCCTAGCACCCCTTGTTGTGACGTACATCTTGTTTTTCATTCTTCAATATTGTGTAAAATCATCATCCATTATCCCTCTCTAGTGCCCCTGTGAGCATTACAAGCACCATTCAACAAGAGGCTGTACGTCACAGCGTTGCTGTTCCGGAGTCAGCAAGAAGCCTACCGGGCGTGTCCACGATCCAGACATCGATTTCGACGAAAAGTGACCGGCCTAAAACACCACCCGGACTCAAGTCACTGCAAGATCACTCGTCGCCAGGGAGACACTTCGCATCTCAGTCGCCGCGAGATCTCAACAGAATGGTCCAGGTGAGTTTTAGGATAACTTTAAAGGTAATGTGTCCAGCTAAAGCAAGCGACTTTATATGGACATATTACCTTTAATAGATCCGTTAAAGCAAGAAACAGGAATTGACTCGTTGAGCTCGAGTTTTTTATAGCATTCATATCATCTTATTTATACTTGAACTTTAGGACGATACGGTGTATGGTTGTTTGTCAACACAGCATATTTAAAGGCCTGCTAATTTGCTCAAACAGAGACCATGTTAAGGCCATTCCCTGCACTCTAATAATAGCCCATATCAGTAACCTATCTACTAGTGCAGCCACTAGTCAACATCGTTACTTAAAAATCTTCCTTTCCCAAACTCTGCTGCACTATGTTGTCTTTATGATTTTTTTTATCTGAATGAAATGTCTAAAATCAGAAGGCACCTTTTTTGTATCAAAACTTTCTTTAAAGATCGGTAATTCAGTCAGTTTTGTTTCATTTTCTATTCAAGCAAGGTCCCTCTTCTTGTTATATACCTAAAAGGTTATCAGGGTTTTAATTGCGATTAATTTCTGAATGTAGGGAACCACTAATGGATTGTTTGAATTTTCATAAGGTTCGAAAGTATATGATAAGCTAAATGTAATTAAATGGCAATCGCAATCTAGTTGCCTCTGCTTAAGAAAAACTTAGATTCTCATCTCAATCTTTACACGATCATATTGCCAAAGAAAGATATTTTCCCAGTCATACAGGTAATGTTCTATGAACCACTTTTGGAAATTACTCGAAAAATATATTTTGAAGTACAAGCTTTGTGGTTCCGTATTTTACTGAACGATTCTGACTAAAAGTGATATATATATTTTCTGCCTTCTTTCAAAATAGATTACGGATACCATTGGTTTCCCTGCAAATTCACGGCCTACGGTGCCAACTCTTCCTGTTTCAACATCGCTAAGTGAAGATGATACGATGGAATCATCACTAAGCAATTCGTTCCCCGGAGCGAGAGGCGCAATGAATCATGGGATTGAATCGGATCAGGATACCAGCGCCACTAAGATGGGAAGTGACCAGCGGTCGATTTCAAGTCAAGGGATTATGGGCCTCGGGGTGTCGACGATCAACAGCCATCTTCAGCAAAAGGTAAAGCTTTAGTATAGTGTTATGGAATGCCTGCATTTAAACTTGGCATTTGTATTAGAAAGAACCAAGCAGTGTGTGCCTTAATCGCTTTTTATCTATCGAAGCTAGTCTAGTATATATGTTTGCTTCAAAATGTTGCTGTAGCCTTTTTCTCAGTGTTTTGAAATTGGCTCCTACAATATTATCCATTTATATAAATATCATATTTTCCACACAAAAACCCTAGCAGCCACTTAATTAAACTAAAAGACAAAAGAGATTTGAGGTTTTTTCAAACTTTAGCTGACCGTTAGAGAAAAGAGATAAGTACAGTGGCGGACACCTGGGGGCGAGGGGGTGCTTGCCCCCAATACTTTGGAGGACATTGGTCTTTTCTTCTAAAATAATGGGAAAATGTGACGCCATCGTATCAAAACAATAGGCTTGCCCCTCCCCCCAATATTTGACAAAGTTTCCGCCCCTAGAAAAGTGGTTAAGTGATAGGAGATTTTGTTAGGAAGTGTCTTAACGTGAGGTTTAGAAGAAATTTATTGTCGACATATGAAAATTTGTACCGCTTACACAATGCTGTATTCGCGGTTTTTTCAAGATGGGAAATTTTACCCGTCTTTCACTCAACGACACCGAAGGTAACCTTGAAAAAATCTAATGGTTGAACCTTTATCGGGGCAAGTTAAGTTAGTAAGGAGAAGCTTGCTTAATTCAGTAAAAGGGTAAGTCTTTCTTCCTTCCCTCCTTCTTATCCTTATATGCTACAGATTTGAGAGTCTGTTGTCTTTGCAGCCTGGCAGTGCATTCTCGAGTGTTGCTGATGCATTCGTTGCCCCCAATACATCGAACAAAACAGCCACAAGCTTGCAGACGCCATCAAGCACAGCCTTCACGAAGCAGAATATCGTCCCTGGAGTCCTGGGTTCGAATTCACACGTCACTTACACATCCAGTGCACTAGCATCACAAGTGCTCAACTCCCAGCTGGCAACTAGTACAGCTACGACTCAAACTGGAGCCAGGACCCAAGCCAGTACGAGTAAGTCGTTTGCGGGTTTAAAGCCAACATATTTGGGATATTCCTACCTGGTTGTACCTCTTTTTTACCTAAGATCTTCCATACGGCAATATTATCTTATCGTTTAATAGTTTCTAAGAAACTGCGGCTTAGCAATACAGGTGGGTGATTTGAAGATAAAAAAACTCAGATTTAATCTCAAATCTTGGAACATTGTTGGAGACTCCATGTAGCAGTAAGCTGGGTAATTTCGGGGGGGACATCTTTAAGAACCATGATAGAATCCTTTGCACTAAGTAATGACATATTTTACATTTTCCTCCGGAACCCTTTATATAATGAAAAGGAAGTTGCAAATTTTTAGGCCCTTAGCAATAAGTTCTTGATTGAAGAAATTTTTTCAAGAGACAATTTGAAAAATTTTCACCTTTTTTATTTGAAATTAGATTATAAGGAAAGGGGCCTTTGAGGAAATATTTTCGAGATCAAACTGCAAGTATTTAGTAGTCGAAAAGCCTATAACTCCTTCTCTTTTGATATTTGTGATTTGCAGATGTTTTGCTCATTTTATGATATCAATATCGCTAAGTTTGTTACAAGCTTCTCGTGAAGCATCGACAAAAACACGAGCTTTTTTCGATACTGACGTATTGGAATTTGCCAATCCTTTGCCAAACAGATTGAGATAATATCAGTTGTAAATGCTGTGCCTTAATCTGCGATTATCATGACCTTGGGTTTTCAAATGAATGTCTTCAGTGGAGTGCTCTGTTTGGGTTTGGCTGCAAAATGATTTTGTATTGTTTAATCTTAGGCAAAGCCTCTGCATCTGGACATCATGGCATGTGGCCTATGAATATTTTACCTGGAATGATGCCATCGCCTTATACGGTGAGTGTGCTACAGCAGGAGTCTCTTAACAGAATTTATAGGAGTGAATGGTGGCAGAGGTGGAGGAAGGAAGGGATTGTGCAACGGTTGGGTAGAGGAAGGGTTGGCTAGAGGGAGAGATAAAGAAAGGGAGAGATGAAGAAGGGATGGATAGAGGAAGGGATTGATAAAGAAAGGGAGAGATACAAGAAGGGATGGATAGAGGAAGGGGGTGGGTTAGATGAAAGCAGGGGTAGAGAAGGAATAGTGTCGAGGAAAAAGGGAAAGAGGACGGGAGGAACGGAGAAAGTGTGGGATTGAGGAATGAAGGGTTAGAGGAAGGGTGGGATAGAGAAAGGGTGGGATAGAGGGAGGGATGGATATAGGAAGAGAATGGGTTAAAGGAAGGGTGGGATGGAGAATTGGTAGGGGGTAGAGGAAAAAGCGAAAGAAGAAAGGAGGAACGGAGAAAGTGTGGGATTGACGAATGAAGGTTTAGAGGAAGGGTGGGATAAAGAAGGGGTATGATAGAGGAGGGAGAAAATGGGCTTTGGAGCAAAAGAGACTTAAGTTAAAGTTTGCTGTTAGGTACTTAACTGTCTGAAAAACTCAAATAGAATTCATAATTTCTTGGTCAACATTATACAACTTATATGCGATTTTTATCTCGAAGCTGAGAGACATAATGCTGTTATCTCAACCATTTAAGGCCACCTACCAATTAATGTAATTACATAAACACAAGCAGCTTTCCAAACCACTCGCTATTTTGAGAGTAAGTCTTCTGTTACGTGTATAAAAAAATAAAGCTTTTTATATTACACGAAAGATAACTAGAGCGAATGGTTTAACAGTGTTTGTTAATTTTTATCGTTTGTTTTTAGACCTATTCATATGTTGATATGCCTGTTATGCCAAGAATGCCCATGGTAAGTCGATATTAACCTTTTTAAAGCCAGGATTTCCAATGCTACTAAGACATTGTTTATCTAACTCGCAAGATCAGAATAACCCTCGGTCTGACCCTTTGACAAGATTGGCTTCACCTTTTTCTGTAAAGTCGTCTAATCGAATAAAGTTGTTTTTGTGTCATTTTTTTATCTTAATTTAATTAAAGAAGAAATGCGTGTCTGTTAATTAAGAGTTAAGCTGAATCGCAGTGACACCATATCCTTTAACTCTTGTGAAGTAAACAGAAAACCAGATTCTGACAGAATTCATTTAGGAAACAAGCCCTTAATTACTGTTCTGCTATAGAATGTTTTCTGGTGGTATATTTAAGGCAGCCTTTGCACTAGCCTGGATTAAAACAAAAAAGGGTTAAAATGCATCCGTTTTTAAAGCGAGAATAAAAACGCCAGTTTGCCTTAAGCTCGTTCTAATCCGTTTTTGATCGTTTCCATTAAGCTGGGTTAAAATGTACCCAGGCATTAAACATGTATCCTTAGCCTCAGTTAAATCAGATTTAGATTATTATAAGCAGAATCCAAAGCACGCAGAGCTGCCAGAGGAATCAGTATTTCACTAGCAGTCCTTGAATTTATTATATTACGCTGTTGTTGTAAGTGGATCAAAAGTTATCCGGGTTTGGCGTTCCCACTAGCCAACAGGTGGGTTGAAAGATACCCGCGTTACAAATGATCCACTCGGAGACCCGTTTTTAAACATATCCGTTTTTTCAAGTTGGTTAGTGGGAACGCAACGCAAAAACGGATAACTTTCAACCCTTTTTTTAAGATACGTTAGTGAAAAGGCTGCCTAAGAGTGCCTGGCAAGTCTAGCAAAGAATTGAAATCGTCTGTTTGAATTCGATTGGCACGTCTGCTATTCCCATGAAGCTTTCGTTCTCTTTTTATGCTTACATATCTTGTTCTACTGGTTTATTTTCGTTGGAAAATCAGTATTTGTAGACCGAACGGTGAACTTAGGTATAGAATATCGTATGATGCCCGGAAATAAAGACTAGAAAAATCATATGTAAATATTAACTAATTTTGCCGAAAATAATTGGAGGTAAACTCTACTTTGATGGTGCGATGAACGTTGGTATCATGAGACTGCATTAGGTGATGGCTTTTTAAAAATTTCTGTGCACAAAGACATTTCAAAGCTATAGAAAGACCGTATACCCTGAGTATCAGAACCTCAAAAAACCAACGACTGAACTTGTTTTAAATTTTGTTTCTTAGTCTAAATTATAGAGATTCTGCTTGCTATGGGTAGTATAACCATCTTTTAATAACTGCCAAATTTTCCTACAGCCTTCCTTCTATGATATGGGATACCCAGGAGCCACAAGGGAGAGTCTAGGCTCGAGTTTTCAAGGTAAGTCCAATTTCCTTGCCTTCATTTGAATAAAACCAACTCGCTAGCTATGTATTGCAACCCCGAGTTCCGTCCTCATTGCATCGTCCGTCATAAAATCACTGCTCTATCGCTGCTTTTAGTAAGAGATTTTAAGAATACCTCTCAAATTTCAATTGTTTTTCAAGTATGCTATAATCCTAGCATATATATTCTTGCCAAGTAAAGTATAATTCATCTTTTCCAAAAAGCAGTCAACAAAGGGTGACTTGATGACTTTAAGGTCAGTTTTATTGGTTTTAAGTGAAATACGAGCTCATCATAACGAGCTCATCCCATCCACACCCTAGAATTTACCGCTGCTCGTATCGGGTTTCCCTAACCATGGCCTTTGGAAGCTTTACAGCTTACATCAAAGCCATGTTTAGGGAGGAAATGAATAGAATAGTCTCCAGGCTCACCTAATCACGCTTGAGTTACATGCTAATGGATCACCGACTATTGGTTTACAAGGGTACTTAAGACAATCTTCCTGGCGGTAAACCAAAAAAATGTTTTTAGTAACAGATCTTAATACCCATAGATGTAGTAAAGGTGTATCGTTTATTTAAGTATTTAAGGCAACAAAGCTCTTCCTACGTATCATCTTGAAGAGAAGGAAGTTTTTGGGGCATTTTTTACAAGGAATGTAACGCTACATTGAATTGGCAGTATTAGGGAATGGCTGTTGAGATATCCAAGGGGATTAGAATGCCATGACGTGTCTGGTATTTCCTTTGAAGCTGTTAGACAAATCGACCCAGGGTTATTGCCTTCAAAAACAAGTTTTTTTGTTATGTCTTCATTACATTAGAAATCGGAGTAAACTTCAGTGAAGGTATAGGAGACAGAAACGAAAGCTTATCTTGCTCTAACGACCATATTCATCATCACCACATGTAGTAGTCTTCATGTAAAAATACATGAATAATAGTACTTCATGTTATACCATCACAGCTGGCACGTATTTCAATTAATATGACACTAGTTCTAGCAATATCTAGCGCATATTTAGTCATTCATTCGGTTGCTTGACTTGGTCATTGCCTCATACCTTAATGTACTTACCTTTTGGTATCTTAGTTACACATCGAATAATTTTGCATATTTGGGTAGAATGGAGTTTCAACTACTGGGCAATATGCAATACTTTAGAGTGTTGGTGGGTTAATAGAATTAAACACAATCAGATATGGATAAGCTCTTTTACATTTCTTCTGTTACTTTCTTTATGTTGGCTCTGTTTGGCACTTTACACTGATCAGTCAAGTTGTGCTTGGCTTGTCTCTCACAGACATGGCTAAACATTGCTAGTGCGAAAACAAGCTATTACTTTCTCCAAGAAGCTAAACAATTCAATGCTGGGCACAGTGTATGGATATAAGTGTCCTGACACGTGTGTAGTAGCATGCATGTGTGTTGAAGCAGCTAACCTCTTGACAATTCAGAGTTGGGGCGTATTAAACAGATATTTCAATGTTAAAGTGGGTGGAGGGGGCTCATGCCTTTCCGGAGCTGTGGTCTCGTCGTTTTTTTTTTAAGTTACATACAGTTTAAAATATGAAATTCCTTTGCTCTAACTTCAGAAAATCTGATCTGTTTAGATATTTAGATTATCATCTCGCCTACGTGTATATGATTAAGTCTAGACTAAAAATTTCCTTGCTTTGGAATTTTTCTTCTCAAATAACCAGGATTATATTATCTGGTCACTAATATTTCCCAATCTTATCCCTAATTTATCATCGAAGATTATATAATTCTAAGTGTTCAGCAGCTGGCCCTAAGAATATACAATTTGTATGAACCGGAGCTGGTTGCCACATTTGAAAGTTGAGTGTTAATTCACACTGCTTTTGATTTGTGAAATATCACGAGAAACCCCAGTCTTCTCTCTCAACTTTGACTTATTGTGGTAAAAGAGATTAATAGTGATAAAAACCTTTTGATATTCCTGGAATCTCTGGTCTATCGGGTCATAAATAAAGATAGACTGTCCGTGTCAACATGTTCGAAAAGGTGTGTAAAGAGCAACCTGCCCTTTATGGAAAGTGAGTGTAAGAAGCACCTTTAAACACCACAAGTCAACTCCTTAGGCGAAATTCTTTTAGTTACTACAGTTTGCCTCAAGCCTTCAGCATAGTATTTGGGGGGAAAGTCTACGTTCTGATTGAAGAGATAATCTGAGTGATTCAGAGAGCCTCAATGAGATTTCTGCATTAGTTTAAAAATTTTATAGGCCTTGTGTATGCAGTGTTAAGTGAAGTATTTGGGAAAGGATGTTTAGCTGTAGGGTATCGACATTATTGCTCCCTCGCTGAGCTTTCACAAAATATTGTGTTTGCATTTTGGTGTATATGTCAGGACAGTTCTAAGTTGCAACTCCGACTGTCACCACCAGGCAAAAGTGTAATTATATACAGAAAGGCTTAATGCTGGCTTTGGTACGTTGTCGTTTTCTTTTTTGACAAAACTGTGTCCACACGATTCTGCATGATCATTCTCCATTTAACCTCCCAATAATAAGTAAGTGACAAGTCCCCTCATCAACTTGTTCTTCTGCTTTCAGCTGGAGATTCGAAATTTGGTCGAGATGCGTCGTCTCCGGTCGCATCGACAATCAACACAGGCATGTCATAATTTCCATTGATATTCTGAACTTTCGTTGCTACAAATTCTTTTTTTACATTTAAGGTTTTAATGTGCTAGATCATTTACAGGCTGGATGAAGAACATTACTGTGGACAGGAAGGCCATTTTTATAAGCGTCTGACAACTTATGTAATAAAAGCATTTTTCAGTAAACCAAACATTTTTTCGTTCCTAAAAACAAACGATTTGTGTTGTTTCCAATACTTCAAGTGAATATTCTTTAATCGCCAAAGTAACTTCATTCGGCTAACGACCAATTAGGTACCAAAGTATATCACACCCCTATTATGATCACTCAAATCCCACCCCTGCCACCAAATACTCAGCTTTCTTGTGCAAGCTCTGGTGTGTGCTAGTCTCCATACTTCCTTTGGTTAATTTTCGATGGCATTCGTTTCTAGGCAACATTCATGCTGCTCATGCACACCAACAAGCGGCATTTCTAGGGGCAGCTGCAGCCCCCACCCCATATGGATATGCCTACTACCCTCCGAATGTCATCCCTGCGATGTTCACAGCTCCTCCTACACAGGTGAGAGATTAATACTCAAACTTTTTTTACGAAGATCACAGATCGTATTGAACTTGAAAGCATGCGAAAATCAGTTGGCCACGCATTGAGATTCCAGCTTTAAATGCAAATTCAACCCTTATACAGAAGTTCCCTGTTAAGTAGAAATTGAAACTTTGCCGAACCTTAAGTCCTTGTTAAATCTTTGTTAAATCGTAATGTCACGCATATGATTTGATGCCTGTTATAAAACTTCAGAAATCACATTGTATTCCAAGTCTTTTAATTGGTGGCAAGCAGTTAATGTACCTCTTCTGCTAGTAGCGACTAATGAGATCTTACAGCTTCTCAAATGATGTGAAGAAGTACCTGAAATGCCATCAATTGCAGCAAAGCATCCAATTATAGTTTCCCTCCACAAAATTCGTGATTTCTTGCCTTGGTATCTTTTCAAAAACAAATAGGTTATCATGAACTTTCCGCTTTAGCAGCTGTTAAATTCTGAGACAATTCGACTGTGTGTTTGATTTTATGCATGCAAATGCAAAAATGTTTTGAAGAGAATTGGATCCTGAGAACGTTGAAGGGAGCAGATACCAAAATTTTACGTCTCCTGTTGTTTTCGTTCATGTTAGTAGAGTTCAAAATGTGTTTTACTTCCCCTTTTAAATATCTGTAATGACTGAAAGGAATAATTTATGCTACAGGCTTGTTTATCGTAAAGTTGCCAAGGAAAACCGCAAACCTAATGAGTTTCTGTTTGCAATTTTTTGTACCTAAACTGATTGTCTCTTTTTGTTGATTTTAGATGCAAGCTGGAAAAGCACACATGGTCGGGGCACATTATCAGTCAGGTTACACAAGCCAACATAGCTCGCCTGCGTATAATTCAGGTTCGTAACTGGCTTTTTGTTTGAAACACCCTCCTTAAATGGATGAGACTTTTTCCAAGAGGGTAGAGGTGAAAAATTGATGACGTCATGCAAGCTATTTACCGAATCATATTTTCTGATTGTGTACTCATGAGAACATGATCAGGTCAACCCAAAAGCTGGCTGAGATTTGTGGCTTTAAGGCTCCTTTCCTATTATAACGAATACCACGTCTTCGTTCTTAATTTTTTGTATCAAGCTAAACCAGTATTCCTTTTGCTATGCAAACCTAGATTTCTTTTGATAACCATTTCTCAGCGAAATTTTAACCTAAGTTGCTGACTTGGCATGATATTTAGAGGTATTTTTATAGTGCTTGTTCAGATATTCTGGTACAAATTCAAAACCTTTTCAAATATAATTGAATGATGTCACCACTTTAATACTGTTTGTTTCACTTTACCAGTCTATCCCTTTCCATTATATTCTTACCTTTTTATTCTATCCGTTTCTGTTCTATTCTATTCTGCTCTTTTCTATTCCGCCAATATTGTAAATGTTTTTTTAAAAAAGCTTAGTATCAGTTAACTTTAGAGTCCATGTTAACTTTCTGAAGAATCTTGAAGATTTGCAAATGCCTGAAATATGTTAATAACCGTTTTTCGATAGCTTTGAACGATTTGCTAATTTCAAATTCAAGAAACCTAAAGGTGAAATCTTTCAGATCTTAAAAACCCAGGGTTAAAATATTCAATTTGTGGTATTTAGAGATTTTGAACCAAATTGTTCAGAAGAGCTTGAGGTAAACGTTCTTAAAATCACAGGGACTCCAGCCTAGCCAGACATTAATTAGAAACTCTGTTGATCATTTGAAAGACTTTATCTATAGGTATATACTTGGCACGATCAGATCTGAGCGGATGTCTGGCAGCCGAGACCATACACTTAGGCCAAGCTATAATATTTCATAAATTCTGAAAAAATCCTTATTGTCTTAAGTTATTTAACAACGTTGCATGTTTCCATCAGAATGTAGTATGTATATTTCTAGACGCTATATTCGTATGCTTGAAATAGTTTCCTTTGCCACGATTTTAATGGCATGCTAGGCGACAAGAGACTATATTAGATCCTGTTTCAAAGCCTTAAATCCAAGATTTTTCGTGTTTGACCTCATCAAATGTTGACCCCATAAGAGACAAACTATGCGTAACTAGGAAACCAAGCACAGATTATATGTATCCAGATCCGCCAACAGGCTTAAAGCTTAGGTTCTACTTTCCGATCAGCCCAATTGGAGTTGTTTTTTATCTGTTATGAATGTTTCAAATTCCTGCAGAGTCAACTTATATCATAATCTCAAACAATGGCGGCGCCAGCAACTACGCTCTGAACGGGGGTGGGGGATAGGACAAAACAAAAGATTTTAGACCACTCCCCTTTTAGCACCAGAAAACGCCCTTTTACTAACAAGGAACGCCATTTTTACATGAAGGGAACGCCCATAACTAACTTTTGGCTATGTAAAGGCAGTTTGAAAATCATAGGATTCATCATCACAAATCATCACAAAAAGTACGGTGTCAAAATATTACCCCTCCCCCAAAATTTTCTCATCGAATTTAGACGAAATACAAAATCGATTCTGCTGAGAACTGGGGGGTGGGGGACGTGTCGCCGCTACTGATCTCAAAATTACCATTTCCCCTCTGTAGTACTGTTAACTTCGATCCATTTTGAACTCTACAATCGATTGCAAAGTTCTTTTAGATCCTTGTGAGATGTTCAGTTTGAAAAGTCGCCCCGTGTTTTGAAGATATTTTGAATGACGTATGCAAATGCTATGCTTGCCAACAAAATGACAGGGGTCGTAGGGCTCATACCTTGACAGAGGGGTTCAGCATCATTTCCAAATAATACTGTCTGGGATACCAGTTGTGACCTTGAAGTCTGGATTTGATGATGAGGAATCAAATTTCATTAAAGTTATAACTTGGTGTAAAAGGCGTAAAAGTCTAAATAGTTTCATCCTGCCCTTTTCGCTCTGTAAATAGGTTGCACCTCACAGACATGTCAACTTGCTTTAGTGGTTACTTTTAGTACTTTATTACTGATTGAAAATCTTATTTTATCACCGATAGTTAACAGTGTGATTCTGTCGGTGGGCAGGTTTTGAATATGTTTCTTTTCAAAAGTATTTGTTGCGAAGTCCTGTCTCAAATATATATCCGAATATGGTTAAAACTGATATTTTGTGGATTTTCTATTGGGTGCGATTTGATATGGGTTGCCTAGTTTAGAATTCAAGCTGTAAAACAGATAATCTGTTCATACTGAAAGAGTTATATTTATCAGCATTTATCTGCTGTCATAGCGATCAAGATCTTTGATGCGAGCCAAGACGAGATAAAAGACTGAAATCGTAGTAGGGAAATCTGACTTCAAATTTCATTTCCTATTAAGTTTTCAGTTGTTATAGGTCTAAGTTTTTCAGCTATGGAATTAGACTTAAATTAAAGGTTAGTCCCTTAGTCGATACTGAACTTTGGGGAATGCGCTGTTCGGGACGCATCGTCCTGAGTATTGTGTGGTAGAGTGGCCAGTTCCTTTCCACAGAATTTAATGTTTAAGCAGCTATTTAAAGACTTATTGCTAACAATGAGCCTTTGCGAGGGTGGCAAATTATCCAGGCAATAATCCAAGCAATGGCAGTAAACTCCTACGGATTAACCATAATTGATTTCAGACTGTCTGAGAATGCATTATGGGATGCTTGCGTAGCGCAATGGCTCATTGTTAGCAATGAGTCTTTAATACAAAGCAAACACCTTATTTAAAAAGGCATGGTTTGTGTATTCACGGTTTATTTGTTGTCAAACTTGAAGTACCATCAGGTTGTTTATTCATAAAGCATAAAAGCTCATTCTATCAATAGAAAATCATTAATTACCCAAAGCTGATGAAGAGCTTACGGGAAACTGGAGTTTTGATTCCAAAATAACACAATGTACGTAGATATCAGTTAAACATCTAGCCATATCCGACCTGTCTGAAAGTGTTATCTATCCTGTGACTGTTAGGTCATTAGCGGTAATATTCTGTTGATAAGGAAACAAGTTCTTTTTATGAAAGCCTGTTTCAGCTCTAAGCTTTCTTTTTGTAGAACATTTAAAGTCATTTAGTTGCCCAGACATGGAAACAGTTATGTTTAGAGTACAAGGCTGCGTGGAAAGTCACACATCCGCTCTACTTTTTATGTTTCTTTTGACTGAGCTCTTTTCCAACTGATGCTTTGCACGCCATTGTATGGGGTAGTATTTCAAATATCAAGTTAAGAACTGCTTGTGTACTCAAGCACGCCAGAGCCGGGGTAGGAGGGAGGGCAAGGATAATGGTGGAAAAACTAGCGTAAAAATTTGCAAATTTGTCTAGAGCCCCCTCACCCCAAGATGTGTTCCGTTGTCCTTCGTTCTTACTTCAATGAAATTGCTGTGAAGCTGTATTTTGAATTAATCATGGTGTAATAAGAATTGCCTGTTAGTGCTTTTGAAATATACTGTCACGTTGCCGCTTTGTTACTAAATTTCAAAGTACACAATCTCTTGATTTCTCTTTCTTAGACATTGTCCTTAATGAAAAGCATAACCTCTATGTTTCATGCGAACTTTCGCTTGCCAAATTTAACCGGATTGACAATAAACTTTTGCCCGTTGACTGTACTTTCACTTCAGCATTTATTTGCAACAGGAATTACCTTATTTTAAGCAAGCTCATTCACTTAAAAACACCAAGTAACCTTTCGAAACGCCACATTAGCAAGGTCTTTCAATTGTTTTTTCCAGCTGGAGGCAGCCAAGAGTTTGGCAAAGGGGCATACCACCAAACTGCTTCGCAGACATTGCAGCAAACCAAATCTAATCAAGGCTCAGGTATGTCTTTCCTACACTCATTTTCATATATAATTTTCATGTTCCCTTTTCTTGTATACCGTCTAGGCATTCAAACAGTTGTATATATTTCAATACGTTCCTTGCTGATCATGTTAGTCATATTCATCAGAAGGTGACAATGGTGGTTTTTATTCCGTATGGGAGCTATTTGAAACTTACCGTGTAAACAAAGTTTCCATAAAGGTGTTTTTGAACTTGGCACTTTATCAGAGCTGTTTGGTTTCATTTGCCGTATGACGTAATGACCTTTTCTCGTTACCAGGCTCGCTCGGTACTACTTCATTGACATCTGAAAACTCTCACCATACTGGATTCAAAGGACCAGTGAGTATAGTGACTGTGTGTTATGCAGGCTAAGTTGAATCAATGACTCAATTGTTAACAAATAAAAAACCTAAGCAAGACATTTTTGTTGCCTAGGAAATGTGCCATCTACTTATGCCTTCCAAGTAAAAGAGTTCAATTTATCAAAAATGAGATGATTCAAGAATTGAATTTCATTGACAGCGCCTTGTACACACTGTTTTTTCAAGGGTGGCTTAAATGTTTCCACGGAGGATATGATATGTTGTACAATGCTCGGAGACTGATTTTCTTAGCGCGGAAAGTCGTGTCGAAGTCTTCTCAAAGTCTTCACAAGTGATGGAATGTCATGTACTCTATCAATCTACAATACTGGACAAAACTGTAAAAACAAAATGCAACTTTTGCAGTTTGTTACTTTACGTTCCCCTTTGAATCCCCCTAAAATTTTAATCCCTCCTTTTTTCCCCGAATCAATGTTGGATTAGTATTTCTATAGCTTTTGCTTCGAAAACATGCATCCAACATTGATTCGGGGGGAGTGGGGGTGGATTTACTGTATTTTTCCAAAGAAAGAAAAAGCATAAACTTTTCTTTAACTACTTTTGACCGTGACCGCAGTATCAAGACTACTCTAGGGAACATACATATTTATTACTGTTTTTGTACTTTATGCTAGCTGGAGATACAAGAAATTGTTAATTGTGATATTACTCATGTTTCAGTTCAATCAAGATTCAAAGGGTTACCAGCTGACCGCCACCCCACCTTCGATTGGGATGCAAATGCCCCCGGCACAAAACCACATGACTACCTACACTCCGTACATGATGCAACACCACACCACGCTGATGCAGCAGGGGGGTCACGTCAGCCTGGATGGTTCCAGTCAAGGCAGTCTGGTGGGGCAATCAGGCCAACACCATGGCATTACGAGCACGCAACAAGTAAAACGAGACACCAAAGGTCAACCATACCGCTCTTCAATCTGGTCCGCGACTAACTAAAGAACTTAAACCTTTGTCGTCCGGATAGCTATGTAAGAAACCGAGGTCGGGCCTAGCTTTCACTGGACACTTCTTTCGATTTGCAGGCTTACTGACCTTGTTCGAGTAGTTGCCTTATCTTTCCGGATCAATAGAACACACAAAAGTGACCCGCACCTGGTCACTTTAGCTATAGCGTTGTATTAAGTGATTGTCGTGTTTATTTTTGAAATTTTCATAACCTCGATCTGTATTAAAGTGGCGAAATTTATAAAATTATATCTGTCAATGTTGTTGTATTTAAAACAACCAGTCAATGCCAAAGTTACGTTGTTTCCCTGTGGTTTTCAAACTTTAAAAACTTCAGTATTCTTTCCTTCAACCAGTTACGGCAGAGTTTTTCAACCACTTTACCGTGGCACACTAGTAAGCCGTGATATATCGGAAAGAATACTTAGATGCTAAAGATATTTGGCACAGTAGTGTGCCGCGGAAGACTCTCCAATTTCACCTAATTGGTCTGAAAAAAACAAGCCCGGGTTTCACCCTGAGTGAATAAAAATATTGTTTTTCATTGTCAAGTACTTTTTATGTTTATTTGATTCTTATTTAAGACGCTTCGATTAGAACGACTTCAAATTGTTAATAAAGGCCACCGAGTTACACTTTTTCACATTTTCTGTTGGTGGCTTGCCTCGTAATTTTACAATAAAAAATGTGCCGTGGATCAAAAAACGTTGACAAATACTGACTTACCTAATCAAACGGGAAATATTTCTTATTTCGTTCTTGTAAAGATGGTATTACTTAAAACCAAAATATTTTTAAGCCACCATATCGAAATAGTTTAACAATTGTACATTAATTACAATAGAAAAAAGGCCTAACCCTCAATAGATTTTTTCAAACAATTTAAAAGGGGTCATCTTAGACTGGGCGAAAAGATCTTTCCACTAGGCGTTCGTCAGGGATTTTGTAAGTAGATTTCGCTGAATAGGTTTTCATAAAAGTTTATCGGTACTAGAGAATTTGCTTATTTTTGTAAAATTGAAATTGCGAACATGCTTTCGTTCTTTTCATTGATCATGCCAGTGCACCTATCAATTCTTTTGGTTAAGCATTCTTGTAATTTTGCGTGCGAGCGTGTCTCGACACAGAATTCTCGACACATAACTCCCCCAAACGATCAAAGGTGGAAGTCAAAAGGTGATTGTCGTTGAACAGGTGGAACTTCAAGCTGTAAAGTCAGTTTGGTAGCAACTTAATAACTTCGGCTCAGCCGTAGGTGCCTCGAATTGAACGCAATAAAATTTGCCTTAAGTTGTATGAAGATGTTTTAAGTATGGTGATGGGTTCAAGTTATGGTGAAACATCTTTTCAATTGAAATCACATCAAAATCTGGAGATAATTTGAGATGACTAGCAATTTGGCGATCTTTGCAGCGCTTTGTTATTGAAAGCTGGTTGAGTGGAAGTTCTACCATGCTTTGATGTGTGCACCAGTTCAGGAAAGTAACAATTTTTTGTTAATATAGGGGGCGATGAGTTGTGGAACAAGCTAAAGGACAACATGAAGTTAAGAGCAGTTGGAATTCGGACAGGTTTTCTGTTTTTAAGTGGCATAGCAATCGGGTTTTTCGCCCCCTCGGTGTTTCGACAATGGCTGATATATTTGCATGCAGACCAGAGCAACACAGGAATACCTCAAACAGGACATGAGAACAGGCCTACGAAAATCACGCCCGGTCGAAAGCGGTCGATCTTTGTTGGCGTTATGACTGCAGAGAAGTTTCTCGAGAACAGAGCCAAAGCAGTTTTTGAAACATGGGGAAGCTCGTTGCATGGTTCGCTGGCGTTCTTCTCCAGCAGCAGCTCAAGGCGAACAGATTTGCCAGTTGTGAGTTTAGATGGGGTTGACGATTCGTATCCACCGCAGAGGAAGTCTATGATGATGTTGAAATATATGCACGATCACTTTATAGACGATTATGAGTGGTTTATGCGTTGCGATGACGATGTGTATGTGCGCACAGACAAACTAAAAGAATTCATTATTAACTTGGACAGTAGTGAGGATGTTTATCTAGGATGTGCGGGGGTGGCGCAAACAGAGGCGAAGGCCTATTTGAAACTGGAGCAAAGCGAAAATTATTGTATGGGTGGACCTGGTGTTGTAATCAGTAGCTCAACTTTGCGTAAATTTGTTCCACACATTAAACGATGCATGAATGCAACAGTGACACATCACGAGGATGTCGAAGTTGGGAGATGCTTGCATTACTTTGCTGGTATATCTTGCACTTGGGCATTGGAGGTATGGTATTTTTAATTTAATAATGCATTTTATCGTTGTTAATACATTTTATATATCGTGCAAGCCCTTTTTGGAGCCAAATAAGGGGTTTATACGAGTTCGAGGCTGGACATAAGAAATGGCGCGAAGAAATCTTTGATGTCAGCAAAATTTCGTAAGCAATGCTAATCAGCAGCTGGTAGAGTATTTTAAAATGGAGCTTAATCACGTTGTTTTGATTTTATTTTCTACGAAGTTTCAAAGAAATACCCCAATGCAAGCTAATATTTCTTTTTAAAATCCTATTTTTATTTGTGAACCCGGCGTATAGGCTAGGAAATGAATTCTGCTTTATAACCTATCATTAATGACGGAATGTCTCGCACATGGCTTCATTAATTCATTTTGAAAGGGGCATACTCAATGTTAATAACATCTATACGCTAGCTAAATCTGCAAATATAAAGCTGAACACACAAGTACGAGTTTCTTAACAACCCACCTTCCTTGTGACCACCTTCCTTGTGACCACCTTTCTTGTGACTTCAAAGTGCAGATCACCTTTCAAGTTCATTTAGCTTTAGGCCCAAACTCTTTATTAGCTATTATGCATAACCTACCACGTAGTTACAACGTAGAAAGTGAAAGCAAAACAAGGACATATGGGATTCTTGAATGAGATTTCCGATAATTCAGTGCAAGTATAAAACGCTCAATCGCTGCGAGATCATTGCAGTAAATTTCAGAAATTATCATGCTCTAACATAATTTTCAGGAAGATATCAGCCCAGCTCCCTGAAAATAATTCAACCCTTGCTGCACCCCTTGCCTTGCCTTATTCTGCACTGAAGGCACCTCATTTTCTTCGTTTTTCTGACCACAAACAGGTAGCTATTCTCTAGTAGCTGATGCAACTGCTTTCTCTACGTTGGGTGACTGAAAGTTCAGACGGCGCTGTATGTGATATTGAAGGAAAAGATTTCCAACAATTACTAAGACGTCAATTTCGGGAAAAATTAAAAAAACAACAAAAACAGCAAGTAGATTATCAGTTTATTTCGTAACATTTTAAGAAATTCGAATTAAATGGTTGTTTTTATCTGCAGACGCCAAAGGTTGTCAAATAATAAAGGTTTTTATAACAGTTTGTTTGGAAATTTCAAAATGGACCAGTGATGGTCACTCGAATTACCGAAGGCTAGAATCACCCGAGTTCAAATTAGACAGAGCCGACTGTACTTCAAAACGGCACCCAAAAAACTACAGAAATTTTTACTTGTACTCACAATCAGTGGCAAGTGCCCCAGATTTTGCTAAATTGTCGGTTAAGACACGCTTTTGTCGGTAAATTTTGTCATATATCGGCAAATTTGCTTGTTCGTGGACATGGCCCTCCCACCTAAAAATGGATTTCCGCCCTGGCTCACAATTTACACTCAATCGAGAGCTCTATCTATGCCTACCTGTGCATGTTTCAAACCACCCAGAACAACACATTGAGAACCGGTTTCCAGATACTGGTGGTACCGTACCAGGATAATACAACACCGGTATTTCACAACGTCAATAGGGATAGCGGCATGGAAATGTGTTAATGTGAACTAAAGGCATATCTATAACATACCGGTACGGGCTCAAGGCGGTATTGTAGTTACGTCATTTTCTAAGCAAGACGGTTTCTCATAGCTATATTCAAAAGTACTGCCAATACTTCTAGTATCGACTTCCTCCAACTTCCTCCTTCAGAAGCAGGGGGCTGAAGCCCCAGCCCCCAAGAAAATTTGCCACACTGTACTATGTTTCCTTTATAACAGGGTACTGAATCGGAAGCAATGCAATGGGCAGCTCCCCCCCCCCCCCAACACGAATTCGTTCCGACGGCACTGTCTTCCACAAGTTAACAGAAGGAACTACGAAGATCTGTAAGATAACAAACCTAAATGCTTCGGGCGAGACCAGCTAAACAACCCTAAGTTTAGTTTATTATCATTCAAGCTGTTCATTACTACATCGATCATGCAAAAATTAAACCCGGCGTGTCCACCCTCATTCAGAGGTGTACCCAAGCTCAACTGGGAAACTTCTGAAAAAGGGACGGTTTTTTACTCTAACCTGGTATAGTGAAAATTAGAAAAAGAGATACATTTAGGAATTTGAACAAAACACTGAAATAGGGTTTTTTTTAAAAACCAATCTAGTTCAAGACTCCTCTTTGCTGACATTATCACTGCATCATAAAACCAAAAACAAATGATGCATAAAACGAATTGTTTGCATGTAATTTGCCCATTAATATAATTATGAGACCCAAAGATTCTTTAGAAAGAGCACCACCTCAGTTTTATTCAATACAACATTTGGAAGAAAAGACTTTTGTATGTATAAGGTCATTTGCAACTTGTGATAGAAATGCTGGCAGTTTTGTTTCACAATGTGTTCCTTTTACACTTGTCATTATTCTAGGTAAACCTATAAACCCTTTAAAAACAAGGATCATATTAGAAGAACTTCAGCATTCCCCAATAAATACAGGTTTGACTGTTTTTGACAAAATGGTGTGACAGCAGAGCAGGAACTCCTGTTCACTGTGTCTATTTGTGTAAAGCAAAGTTTATCATTTTTTTGGTGTTATATCTTATCTCACTCATTTTTTTATAAGAAACTGGCTGTAAGAAACGAGTACTGGACAGTCAGAAAAAATTAAGAAACTTCAGTACTCGAAGCAAAAAAATTAAGAAACTATTAAATCGTGATAAAACTAAGAACAACGAAATTTTGTAAAATCGAAGAAGAAGATTGCCCTGTTGGCCTAGAACTTAAGACACAAGGGATAAAAATATACTTCCCACATCTAAATACAGCATCGGAACGGAAGCGAATCTCTTGACGTGAGAAAAAAGGCCACAAGCATTTCATAACATCATTCATGACATCATAATTAAGAAACTCTTAGAAATTTCCAGAACATTAAGAAACTTGAGTACTCAACATCGACCTTTGTTTCTTTTAAAACATGAGTGTGTAAGTCAGAGGAAAGGGGTCTTTTTAGGTCTCTCGGATGAGCTCGGGTACGCCACTGAATGAGAGTAGACCCACTGGGAAATTAATCTCATATTACCAGACTGCAAATTACTGTTGAGTTTTTTGTCGTATTTTCCGATGTCTTATACTTTGAGGAGGCGGGAGTGTCTGACGAATACTTCAATCCCTTCCTATTTTGAATGTTTCAATTAACAAAAGGCATTCTATGCTTCCAAAATTCTGATCATTCAAGCCCCCTAGTATCCGGACACGATAGAGCAGACATTTTTCACATCTCTTATTGCAATCAAAACCTTCTTTCTAGGACTCTCGCACATTTAATTTTCAGATTTGATCTGCTTCTTGTTTCAACTTTGTCGTTTCAACTATATATGTCTCCAGTTAAATGAAAACGAACTGAAAAACGCATATTTTAAGTATTGCAAAGAAAATTATCTCCGTTTTTTGTCCATATTTAGTTATTTCCGCAAAAAATTTGTCATGGAATAACAACTTGGATTGTAACCAAAGGTGACTAGGTTTATACCCAAAGGCGGTTCTGAATTAACCAACATGGAGAATGTGCGTTAAACTGGTTGTGCAACTTGTGCGTTTAACATACGGAGCCATTCAAGACCCCTCAGACGAATTAACTTTGCTAGACGAAAAGAAAATGTTAAAAAACCAAAGGAAATGAGGTAAAAATAACACTTAAAGGTCTCGAGTCTACGCTAACACAATTGCAAAACCTTTACAAAATGTCTTGATTGGTTTGTTAGCTGTCAAGAAGTTTTGCATTGGTGATATACACGCTTTAAAGCCCTGTTATACAGTCAGATTTCCTTATCAGATATTCATCAGATATTAATTATGCAAAAAGAAGAAAAAGATTCTTTTGCGCTATTATTATAAGCTGTCCTTTAGTTATGCACGAATATAAAGAATATTTTATATTCAGGTAATTATTCTATGGAATATTCAAAGGTATCAACTCCTGTGAAGTATTTGAGGGAAAATATCTGACAGTTTAACAGTGCCTTTAGAAGCCAAATGTTCTTTCGCAAAACGGAAGCATCTCTCGCTAGAGGCTATAAAAGTTTGTCATAAAGATATGCAATCTTATTGTCTTTGACTCGCATCTCTACTTAAAGGTTTTTCTTTTTCAAAGGTTTTTCTTTTCTAGGCTAAATACAATCACTGCCAAAGTTCTTGTAACACTAACGTCAGTTTTCAGAGGCAAATTTAGCCTCCCCCCTTTATCCCCCCACTCCCCTTTGGAAGAATGTTGATTTACTGTAGAAAGAAGAAAGGGGTTCTTGAGTATGCTTTTTCTTGTGGCGTGTATTATACTTTTCTGTACTTCTAACGTTGTTCTGGGGGGAAAGAAAATAGAGGTGATCGGAAAAATAAATGAATAGTAGAAAAGCACAGCGTTGGATGTCCCAAGTTATTTTTGCAATGATTGCATATGTTTTAGATTCAAAAAGCCCGTTGGCAAGATTTTAGTTTATATTGTTTCCAAAAGTATAAATATTGGAATCTGAAAAGAGTCGATTTTTAACAAAAACGTAAAATTCGGCGCAACTTAGTAGCATCTTTCTTCGGAGCTATACCTAAAGCTGTACATGTTGGGTTTGAAAATGTAAAATGTGGGTCAAGCAGCCAAGAAATATTCCTGAAATCGTGATTACAAGGCCATGAGGCATATCAGCTGGTATTAGGGGTAAACAAGCAGGGAAATAATTGCAGCTTTTGTGTTGCTTGTTCATTTTGTGTTAATGAAGTGTTGGAAGCTTCGCGGTACCTGTTTCAGCCGTGACTCTGCTTTGCTAATACCCGTTGCGACCAGGTACTTGACTAACGAGGCCAAGATCAAGGAACTGTGAGCAAATAATGGCTTTATTGAAAACAGCTGAGACAACTGAAATTAAGCATCAAACCGATTTGACTTTAAACAGTTTTTGTTCGATAGTTTGAACTTTTCAACCTGAATCAATGACACGCCGGTCATTTGCAGATATTTTTTTTCTTATCACGCTGTATTCGGGTTCTTAAGAGTGGCCTAAAACGTCAGATGACGAGAATGAAGTCCAGGACGTTCACATTACGCGGTATTTTCCTATTATTAAGCGGCCTAACAATCGGATTTCTGATTCCTTTGATACTACGACGAACTCTACTCGCTTTCCCAACGAGGCGATGCCACTTACCGTTCCCTCAGACTATACAAGAAAACAGGCCTACGAAAATCACGCCCGGTAGAAAGCAGCTGATCTTTGTTGGCGTTATGACTGCAGAGAAGTTTCTCGACAACAGGGCCAAAGCAGTTTTTGAAACATGGGGAAGCTCGTTGCATGGTTCGCTGGCGTTCTTCTCCAGCAGCAGCTCAAGGCGAACAGATTTGCCAGTTGTGAGTTTAGATGGGGTTGACGATTCGTATCCACCGCAGAGGAAGTCTATGATGATGTTGAAATATATGCACGACCACTTTATAGACGATTATGAGTGGTTTATGCGTTGCGATGACGATGTGTATGTGCGCACAGACAAACTGGAAACCTTCTTAAGAACTTTAAACAGTACTGAAGACTACTATATAGGCCAAGCGGGCACAGGGCGTCAAGACGAGAAAGGAATGTTGGGTTTGGGATGGGGTGACAACTTCTGCATGGGTGGCCCTGGAGTCATACTTAGCAGAAGCACTTTAAGAAAAGTGGTGCCCTACGTGGAATACTGCTTGCAACACTTGGTTACAACGCACGAAGATGTGGAGGTGGGCCGATGCATCAAGATGTTTGTTGGGGTCTCCTGCACTTGGGCTTTCGAGGTTAGTTTCGGATTGCTAAAAGTTCACTTTTCTGATATTTTGAACGGGATATCAGCCTTATTGTAGTGCATTCCATCTGAATCATGTTTTATTATGTTTTATATGGCTCAGAAAGACGCATTTTGGCTTAGAGTGAGTGCTAGGCCCTTCTACATATTCCTGTTCAATATGGCTACCCGCTTCTCTTTAATGTTAGAATCTTTCTTTCAGTGAAAATCAATCGATTTAAAAACAGGGTAATACTTAACACAAAACACGGCATCTCCTTCCAACGCAACACACCATCTCCTTTCATAAAGCAAAGCTCTTTACAACTGCTTACACTTTACTCCTAACACCCAAACTGCCATTAAAAAGGGGGCCATCAAAAGAAGCATCTGCTCAATATATATGTTTTCTTGATCAAGGCCCACGCCACCCGGGGAAGGGGGGCGGGGTGGCCATGGCCTCACCATTTTTTCCGAAGCAAATGATTTCGAAGCTGCAATAGAAGGCGAAAGACGCCTTGACCCCCACCCACTTTTGCAAGGCTTGGCCCCCCCACAATAGACTGCGTGGCGTGGGCCCTGATGATTACCAAATGGTGAGGTCAATTATCGTGTTTGAGCATCAATGTTTCTCTTCATTCCTTTTTCTTCGTGATCTCCATTGAAAGCAAGCTCGAACTGATGTCGATTTTTACCAATCGTGTAAATTAGTCATTGAAAAATTCTGACCAATAGTCAGGGAACAAAATTCAGGTCTTAGGCATTTCATCACTTAGGACTATGAACTGGAAACGATTTTTTTCTAAACTTAGAAAAACATAAAAAAGAATGCTACAAGAACTGACAAAGAAACAGAATAACCTATTTAAAAAACGGATTTGAATAAAAACAGCTGAAAATAAATAAAGCCCATCTGGAAAAAACTGGTTTTATATCAAACTGTCTTCTTTTAGAACGTCTTTCCCTGGCAATGCCATAAATAAAGATTTTTTTGATACAATTTTTGCATGTTCCTGTTTTTAGTGCCAGCTTGCTTTTTAATCCAAACTAAGTGGTTTTACAAGGAAATCTACCCGTTAAAAGGATCATAGCTTTGTGGTTACAAATGTGTTCAGGAATAGACTTACTATATTTAAACAAACCAGAACAGAATTTATAACAGCTAAGCCTTTAGCAACATCCTATTTTCATTGCCAAAATTATTTTACAGTGTCTCTGCTTAAGCGAATTAAGGCCCGTCTGGGTTTTTTACACAGAATATTTCTTTGACAAAGTTATTATATTGATAATTGTTTTATACGATGAATCATTTCCTTAAAGGATAGATTAAAAGACTTATCTGAGGAGCATTGGTTAATGTATGCTAACTTTGGATGAAATGGTTTCGTTGATGTGTTTAGTTGGCCATTGTGTGCAAGAATGTATTTTAGCTTGTCTTAGAGCTATGGAGCGATGTTGTTTTTCTACATTCAGAAAATTCTATATGATTTGTAAACGGCCTCAGAAAAGCTTCAATTGTTCACCATGCCGGTGTAATAGTTTCTGATCGATATACTTTTACCAAAAACATTCTAAAATATGAAAAATCGGTCTTTTAGCCAGAACTGTCGAGGTGATTTTATTGGCATTCTGTTTTGAAACAAGATCCGCGAGACCAGGAATGCCGAAACCATCAGGTGAACGTGCATCCAAGTCTTGGAAAAGGCCCCTTTTTCTTACACGTGACCTATCTAGAACTTCTGGAAAAGTGCCATTTATGTTAGAACTTACTGGTGCCCTTCTAACTTTGAAATGCTTATGATGTCCCTGCACAAAACACGTTTGTCCTAAGATTATTACAAAATTTTCATTGCTAATATTCTAGTTACAATGATATGTTTTAAGCTATAAACATGGATCATTTACTGTATACTAGATTTGTCTCCCCTTTTGGGTTCCCTGTTGATCTGACAGATGGTCTGAGGCTTTTCTCAAAACCCCTTTATGTGAAGACAGCTGTCTCCAATTTGGAAGCTGTACCAGTCAAGGCCTGTTATGATTTTCGAGTCGAAAAAATTCTTGTTATTCTGTGTTCTGCCTTAATATTAAGACACTATCCCCTTTCATAACGTACATTTTTCATACTTTGTGATTCGTATCCAATTAAAAGAATTACATTTTTTGACAGATTATAAATGGTTTTGTGCAATAATCCATTTCTTCTTCCTGATCAGTGTCTGACAAATGTCTTAAATCAGAGTAAGACAGTGTTTAAATATTGAAAGCATGAATTTTAATGCAAAGCGTTGATGATAAAACAGAGATTGTTGGGGATATGCTTGTCAATGCAAAAGATACACCCTTTATATCTATAACTATCTACCTATATAGATAAACATTTTTTTAAAATGACCATTGACCAGTGTTAGATAATAATTAAATTTTGGTGCCACACCCTTCAAGTAGTGACGCCCATTACGGAAAAATGTGGAAACCCCCTTTTTTCACAATTTGGTTCTTGACTTTAAGGTAAAGAAGATAATAAGATAAGTAAAGTAACATCTTGGCGTTATTTTGCTACTACTGAAAACCAAAAAACGATTTATCCGAATGGAAGCAAAATTTACCGAAGGACACAGAAATGTTGGGGGGTGTCGCATTCTCTGCATCCCCCTAAACCCGTCCCTGAACTCAGCTCAGGCTATATGTAGATTGCGCGAGTCGATCGAAGACAAGAAAACTTCGTGCAAATATAATTTCAATATAAATTTCATAATATTGCTTTAAAACATCATATAAGAATTCTAAAACTCAGTTTCATAGTAACGTTTTAAAATGAAATGAAACTCAGTAATGTGCAAAATCATTTCAAATGCATTCGTAAATACGTTTCTGGCTGTATATCGAAGCTTGTGTGCCTCGTGGGCGTATGGAAGACTATTCGAGATTGTACAGCGTAACTAGCCTCTCTGCATTACGGAGTAGACTTATGATACAGGAATTGTCTAGTTTCCATATTGCTCGACCTGATAGTCATAAATAAGCATGATTAATAGTCATAAATTAGTATGATTAATTATTTCAAGTAAAGGGTTAAGGTTGGGGTTAGGGGTAGGGTTAGGGTGAGGGTTAGGGTTAGGGTTAGGGTAAGGGTTTGGTTTAGGGTTAGGTTTAGGTTTAGGGTAAGGGTTAGTGTAAACCAATTACGTCATTAGGTCGAGCAGTATGGAAACTAGACAGCTCCTATGATACATGTATACATTTCAGAAAAGCCTTGCTACAGCATTGAATAGCCTGGAAAAATCTCGAAATAGCATCGCAAAATATCTGTCTTAATCTCACGCTCACCCTAGCCTGATACACCACCTGCTAAAAGTCTTCCTTCCCTTGCAGATGCAGTCACTGTTCTATCACAACCACTCGGAGGAGCATGCTTTCACCAACAACCTGAACACGAAATCTGTCCGCAACGCTATCACGCTGCACCCGGTCAAGAAAGCCCCTTACATGTATCGTCTTCACGTACATTTTATCAAGTTAAAAATCCAGGATTTGCTTCATGAAACTGTGCTGGAACAACGCCGTTTACGAGTTCTTGACAAGCTGCTGGCGAAAAACGCTTCAAGCTTCGCTGTGGATGAACTTGCAATGCTTAATGATATAAGGGATTTCGGACATAAGATGCCAAAGGACCAATCGCCGGACTGGGACATGTTTACAGCCCGGAAAATATATTCTTACAGTCATGACTCACCCGAGATTGGAATGATAAACCCTACAAGAGATGGCCTAAATCAGGTTCTTGGCCAAACAATGATGATCGTTAATAAAGAAGCGAGAAAAGTTCTTCATCGGACCCTTGAGTTTAAACGGTTAAATCATGGTTATAAGAGACACCATCCGGTACACGGCTCACAATATATGCTTGACTTGCTTATGAAATACCATCGGCATATAGGTTATAACCGCAGACGGATGACAGTACATGTTCGACACCACGCTTACTTACAGCATCCATTCGGAAACCTTGTTTATATGGTAGAGCCTGCTAAATCTTCGGTTCCAGTAATACACTTCTTGCTACCTCTCGCTGGACGGCTAGGCCCGTTTACAAGGTTCATGAAAACGTTTGAAGAAATCTGCTTAAGGGCGAAGCAGCCTGTCAAACTGCTTATTTTGTACTTTAAAGATGTCTCTCCTGGCACGGAACAGTACGCGATTGTCAAATCATATTTGAAAAGATATCCAGGTGCTGATATAAGGTGGATAAATATGAAAGGGGCATTCTCTCGCTCTCTTGCACTTTCCATGGGGGCCAGCCAGTTTTCCAAAACCTCTTTGCTATTCTTCTGTGATGTCGATCTTGACTTCAACTCAGTGTTTCTCGATCGCTGCCGAAATAATGCCATTGAGGGACAGCAAGTCTACTATCCTATAGTTTTCAGTCAATACAACCAAGAACTGGCTTTTAGGAATACCACAATGCCAAAAACCTCGTTTTTCTATGGTAGAAACGCGGGTTTCTGGAGACTTTACGCGTTTGGAATCGCGTGTATGTACCGTTTTGACCTGATGGCAATAGGTGGATTTGATACAACGATACAAGGTTGGGGTCTTGAGGATGTCGAGCTATACGAACGGTTCGTGTCAAGTAATGCATATGACGTTTTCCGTGCAATCGAGCCTGGCCTCGTTCACGTATATCATGACATCACATGTGCAAAAGACCTTCCCGAGAAACAGTTGAAAATGTGTTTTAATTCAAAGGCAGGGACATACGGTTCCCAGAAGAAACTCTATGAAATTATTCTCGACAAAGGGTACTTAACATAGGATACTTAACATAGGGTACTTGACATAGGTTGCCAAATAAATGTCTACATGATAGATTTAAGGGCGGAATTCATTCAGAGCACACCTTGGTACAACCCACTTCTCGACAAACCGACTGTAAAGCAAAACCCATATTCCTGAGTGATGAAATGTGGTTTATTTGACAAGCAAAAAGTGGTTGGCCAACTATTTGGTCCTACTGATACTAACATCCTTTAAAAAATATTTTTTCTTATGAAGGTGATGTCATAAAGTGTCATTTACCATTGATGAAGTCAACCCCCTTAAGCAAGCTTATGTTTTCGCTTTGAGCGCTACGAAAATTTTAGTCACAGGAGGCTTTAAAAGCTCTTTGCTAAAAAGTCATCAAGATGAAATGTAGACAGTGATAAATAGTCAATGATAAGCAATGTCGGAGGAATGATAATGAGAAATTGCACCAGACGTGTTAAAAGCTCTTTGCTTAAAAAGTCATCTAGATAAAATGTAAACAAGATTTGATAGAAAATCTTTGAATGGTAATGAGAAATGGTACCCCGACCCTCTCTGCTATTGAAATGTATACGCTTCAACTTTGTTTGTTTGCTGACTATCATGTGTTCAAGCTTCAACCCACCCACCCCTACCAGTTTTCCAAAAATGTTAAGAAAGGATAACATTTATGCAAAGTATTATTTGTTTTATCATGTTAAAGTCATTCTATGAAACTGCCTTTGCGTAACCAAATGTTCCCTTGGGCCTTTCCTATTGGTAAATTTGTCGTTCCCTGCTGGTAAAAGGGCGTTTTCTAGCCGTAAAATGGACGCAAAAGTTTTTATTTTTGAGTTAGGATTAAGAATAAAGTTTCTTTGAAACTGGGCATATCTCTGGAAGATTTTTCCCTCATTTTTCTCCAAGTACAACAGCTTTCAAGGCTCTCTCATATGGAGTCCTATTTGATAGTTATTGAGTTCAAGGGCAACTGTTGTTGTTTTGCAAGAATGAAACCAGGCTATTTTATGATTAAACCGAGTGCATAGGTTGAGCTTGAGATCTAGTCGCACCGCACTATCCGTTTTTTGCACAAAACGTTCATTGATTTATATTCATATTCATATTCAAAATGTTCATATTCGTGAGCAAAAATAACAAGATGATTTCTCAAGGCCTTATAATGGGGCAAAGCTATTCATCAAATTGAATGCCTTCAAGTAGAAAACTCCACATTAACTTTTCTTTTCCACTTCTTTTACAATAAGACATATCCTTTATGAAAATTTTTCTCTAATATGAATATTTAGTTAACAAATAGAATTTTAAATACCTGTCCAGAAATACGCCACGTTGGTAAAACTTAGCTTTGTTTTGGCAAGATTAACCCTAGCTCGGCTTACTTATAGCTGTGTCATATTTTCCATTTGAGATAGAAAATAATTTATATTCTGAGAGTTAAATGCAAAAAGATTTACAGAAGCGATAGAAAGTTGTTTGGGATTTTCTGTTGCTTTCTGATCTGTCAGAACTTTTGCACTTATTTTGATAAGTAACCAGTTACTAAGCAACTCGGGGATCAGATAAATGCTTCATCAACACCCCCAAAAACATTTCAAACATTTTGCTTCCTAAAGAAAGTGAATCTCTTATTCTTCTCTAACAATGTCGAAACTACCCTCTGGTTATTTACAATTTTACGGTAAGAAAAATTTTATAAAAACACGAGATTCAAAATTTGTCAAAAATTAAGAACAAATTAATAACAAGTTGGGGATGGGCTACTGTAAAATGAGACTATGAAAAATGTTGTGAATCCCACTTGTCACAAAAACTAGGAGAGCTTTTGCATTCAAAGAATATTTAAATTGCCCTTTCTTATTCGTGTGTGTGCGTCCCTGACATTTTGCACCTCCCTTAGGTCGGTAGATTAGAACAAAACCAAAATAAAGTAACTACCTGAAGCGGCACCATAGTTGCCGCCGAAGAAAAAAGTTTTTTATAATCTTAATACGTCAAGTTCGCCGGTAATTGAACTCTTTGTAGCAAATTTTAATAATAAAATATTATTTTTAAAATGAATATTCGCTGATGGAAAGAGAAGGTATTGATCGATTTCTTCCTTGTTTTACCTTATGCAACATAGCTGCATAAATTTTCAAATCTGGGACAAAATTTTCAATCCTGGTGATAGTCTCAAAATTGGCCCTGTTTCGGTTTTCAATATCAAATAAAGATATAATTTATGACCAATAATGCAAATTTCCATAACCAAATTTGAACCTTGAAGATTCGGATTTTAACTGACAAAGTCCGTGCAGCGAATCACTCTATGGTAGAAATCGGTAATTCCTGAGCAATCATTTCGTTTTTGTGGAAATCTAGTGTTTTCTTTGCAAAAGTGAATTGCTCCTCGATAATACAGTAAATACTTTAGATCAAGTAATTCATGTCGCTAAAAGGATCGTTTCTCTTCACCTTTTTATCCACAGCTCGAGTTTGAGAATTTTCCGACATAACAATGATTTTTTCGAAAATCCATCAAAGTATGAAAACACGGTCCCCTAGCCTGAGTTCCATTTATGTGTAGGGGATATGTGGAACCGAGAACGAAATCGCGTACGAGCGTTTCCCTAGCCTGTACCCAATTCCACAAATGCTGCCACAATTATGGACTGTGCAGTATTGATAAATATTCTGTCCAGACAGAGGGCTGGGTCTAGTTTATGTAAATAATTTATGCAACGAAATCATTGAAATTTTACATGAAAAATCAACGAAGAAATATTCACTGAAACCAAACAGGAGGTAGAAAACATGATGCATGAAGAGGTTAAAGTTTTACAAGATTGGAACAGTTAACAATTTCAGCTAATTGCATAATTTTAAAGGAATGCAAAAATTACCACCAGATCCTGATGGCAGCAAAATTAATTATGCAAAAAGTTATGCGGCATTCACATTTATATGACAAAAGTGAGCAACAGCTTGCGTTTAAAAGCAGAGACCATTTTCTACGGCTTGAAGGCAAATCGTCTTGTTTACTTAACGATTACCATTTCTTATCACTTGTCCGAAAGTCATGCTTTTCGCCATCGTATCCACCAGATCTTGTCCCAAAAATCCTTCTTTACATTACATTCAAGCCAAATTAGTAAATAGCCATCTTCTACCATGCAATACGATGTTTACTCAAAGCAAAACGATTGGGTGCCAAGTCAATTTTACTTCAATTGCTGCGATAGATTCACACCCCATCAACCGCTGTAAAATGAGCAAGATTGGCCCACAGCCTCTTTAACACTCTGTTTTGGTCAGAACCAATGAAGTGTCACAACAAAGATCTTCAACATCAAATAGCTGAGAGCATATTGAAAACTTTTCTTCTGACAATTAAATCTATATCATACCTCGATCAAAATTATACTGCAGTCAAAAAGGTTAGCGATTCCTCTTGGATGACTTCATAGATCTGTGATAATTATGCAAAGAATTCACTTCAATCCTCGTACGCGATTTGGCTCTCGGTTACACAGACCCTCTTCTTTCAAGTTAGGGTCTGGAGCACAGGCTGCGGCCCCCCTGCCCCCACGGCCACGATGTTCCTGTCTCACTCACTTTGTTGGCAAGTAAGGCCTTTTCATTCATGTTCAAGTGATTCTAGTAATTGCACTGCTTACATCTTAAATTTGAAGCAAATAGAGAACAATGCAAACCCAAATTTTGAAAAAGTCAAAACAGCCAGCATGAAAGTCAATGCACTGGTTCTCATAAAAATGAATGTTTTTTCAATCAGTCGAGAATTCAGTCTTTTCTTCAAAACAAAACAGACTTTACACAGGAACACTTCCCTTAGATATCCTAGGGACACATATCAGCTTAATGTCCATAATTCCCAAAAAATATTGGTGATAATGACAAAAATTTTCAATTTTGGTTTTACCGCAAACCTGATAATTGTTAGGCCCTTTATTATTTCAGGTTTTTTAGACAGCTTTTATATTAAATTGACATTTTTTCATTTTTACCAGCTGTAACTTTTCAGTGAGACAAAGTCCTTTACTTTAGAATAATTTTTTAGCCACAATCTTTCTTTTTTAATATTTTTTTAGAATTATGACATTGGTCGAAGGGAAATATGAGGAATGTTATTAAAAATTGGAAGAATCTACTTTATTCTACCAAGGCTTTCATAAAATAAGGCAGTTCTTCCGTCACTCATGAAAATCTATCCCCTCGAAACTTTTTACCTTTGTTTGCTAAAAACGGTTTTGTGGAATAAAAAAGGAAGGACTTTGGTGACATTTCCTGAAAATGTCTGTCCAAATTTGAAATGAAAAAGAAAAGACGTAAATTATGTGGTTCCACCGAGATGAATGTTCTGTGAGGTTTTCCACAAGCTTCTTGGCGCTTCATTCTGCTTGCGCGAGTATGAGACAAAAATAGACCTCACCGTATGCTATTTTTAATATTTTTGATATTATCTACATTGAATAAGACAATGGCCTTCCTGCAATTCATAGTACATGTTCCTGTGATCTTAATTGATTAAAGATTAAATTGTGCTTGCAATTTTTTTTTCTCAAAATTCTAACATGGAGAGTAAATATGACATGAAGATATTCCCAATCAGTAAAAATTAATGTTTTTCATTAGCAAAATTCAAGGAGATCCGAACAGGGGGTGAACAGGGGGTGAACAGGGGGTGTCAAGGGCAGGTGCCCCCCAATGTTTGAAGAAATGCTTTTTTTTAACATTTACCTTCCTAAAGTGCCTACTCCTCTGCGATCTGGTGCCAGTTCTTACCTTTCAACATCTGGCAATCCATCACAGCCATCAGTAAGAACAAATCTTAAAGCAAAGTCCATAATAAATCAGAGAGTTAAACTCTGGAATATTATTCCTTCCGAAAAAGCGATCCAAAGCAGAAATAACTTGTGAAAGCCTTAAAAAATGGATTCAGGACTAATTTTGTCATCTTGAAACTAATTTCACAAGTGAATTCAGCGAGAAAAGTTCTCAATCTATGAGCATTTAGGTTTGATATTGGGTTTTGCCATCTTTCTTTTCTTTTACTTATTTTTGTTTACTATTTAGTTTAGTTTTTATTGTTTTCTTTTTATTATTTTATTTTTGTTAACCTTAATCTCTATCAAAAAAAATTCTCAAAGATTCTGTTAAAGGGTTAGAAATTCAAGAGTTTTTTATAGGGCGTGGCTTGCTCTTTATTTCGATATTTGTTTTGTTACTATTGCTTTTTAGAAACTTTAAGTGATTTTATTAGGGGGGGGGGGGGGCAGGAGTTAAAGCTTAAATTCTCTTACTATCCTGGATTAATTAGCAAATGTTTCGAAATTTCCAGATAAATTTAGTCCTTTTGGGGACTTCACCCCCAAGCCACTGCACCCTTGCCTCAAGTCATTGTGAACCTGCCCCTGTCAATAGCTCTCTTGCCCAGGCCACTGTAAAACTGCCTCCAACTACTGAAGCCCTTTTTTCTATATTGACAATCGACAAATTATAATTAAGGCGACTCATATGATACACGCTGGAGCTCTTCTTGTTAAATCATTCCACGATCAGTGATTTAATTATCAGAGTGTAAATCTACACCCGAGTACCCCCTCTGGTTTGCCTTATTGGCACTTTGCAAGATTTTATGTCCCCTATCCAATTCGCATGAACTTTAAAATAGGTTTTGCGTTATGAAACAACTTAGGTTTTTTCTTCTTGTTTGTGTGTTTGCTGGAAGCGCCAAGGGCAACGTGAATTGGACAAAACTCTTAACTCTAACCGAAATATATAAATCTCCCAAAATCGTTGCCACATGTAAATTCTCTTTCATTCAGTTGTGAATAAGCCCATTATTTTCAAACAGATCATCTGTGGTCCAAAAACCGAAGCAAACCTTAGCTATTTTTCTCCTCTTAAACCATAGATCGTATAGAAGGGCTGTTTACTTTCGAGATGCTATACACGTTATATAATAGGTGTTAATACAGACTATTATATTATCTGTGAGTCATTTCGTATTACATTAGTGGTATTTCTTAACCTTATTCGCTTCTCCCATTCATTCAAAGTCGTAGCTATGTCAGGACTTGCACCACTGATCCCAAACTGGGGGGGGGGGCAATGATGTAAAAAGTTTCCTCTTACCCCTCTACAGTGGCGTGCCGAAGGGCTTTTGAGTGGGGGGGGGGGGTTTAACATGAGAAATTTACCGACAGAGTTGATTAAAGATAGTTAATCATAGCGCACAAATTTTACACTCTAGTACCGTAGTGGTTCCTTTATGTCTAAACTGGATATAACAAAATTGCAAACTGAACTTATCTTATTGTTTTTAACTGGATTGAAATTTAGCAGAGTACTTGCGAAATTCCCATGTTATTTAGTCTAATGATCCTAAACGAAAGAGGCATTAAAAATAATTTGGACATCTGGAAGGTCAGGGTCAGGAAATATTCACACCATTAAATAATATCGATACATACAAAAACATATAGTGCTGCATGGTATAGATTTATATCTTTATTCTTCTAGTTTTAAGAATTGACCAGCTATCTGCAACCTCATCAAGATCCAAACGATCTTAAACGTCACTGGAACATGCAGCTACCATTAGATAGTCTAAACGTTCTTCTTTCATTGTCGAACGGAGGTAACCCCCCACACCCCCTTCTTCGGCACGCTCCTGCCCCTCTGGCCAAATTTCTGTGACAAAAAATTTGCCGACGCTGTTTTACTTATAAACTTTGGTTCAATTTATTCATTGTAATCATTGTCGAACGGAGGTAACCCCCCACACCCCCTTCTTCGGCACGCACTTCTTCGGTTTACCTGGATAAATGATTTCAGCTGATTTAATCTTTTGTTTAGCGAAATAGTGGGAAGGCAATTACCCCCTGGCCCCCTTGTGGCGTTGGTCCTGTATGGCGATATTTTGCCGATTATCGAGAAGAGCAGGATATTTGCTGAAAAAATGGTATTATAGGGCAAATGCACCAACCCACTTTTGTAGAACCTTTTCAAAAAAATATCTCCCTAGGTGCTTTTTTCTACAATAATTCTTACAAAATAGTAATTGTTGGTACGTCTTGCCCTTTTGAAATTTATAGTGCATAATTTAATTTATAATCTCTGAAACAGAGCAGGTTTTGTTAGTAAATCAACCGTTCTACTAAAAATGTGATTCAAAACTGACAGGGGCGTAGCTAGCGGGGGAGTGACATCTCCCCCCCCCCATTCTTCATGAGTTTTTCGGAAAATTTTTAGTTAACGCGAAATTTCCTTGTTTTGTCGGTAAAATCGTCTATCGGTAAATGAAATAGCACCTAAATTTCTCTTTATCTATGTCTTCGTCGGTAAACTCTACTACTCGTGACCCTCCACTACCCTCCCCCCTCCCCCTCCCATTCTTGAAGGTCAAGCTACGCCACTGAAAACTGACATTGAGTGGACTTAGAAGCAATCAACAGGGAGTCAACGTAGAAATAAGAACAATATTTAAAAGCACTTCAACCTCGAGCCTCGATAAAATTTGTCTGATTACTTTAAAAAAACCATGGTAAGTTGAAGATTGTTTCGGAGCTGTTAAAAGTTTCCACTAATAACAGTTATTTCCTATCATATCATCAAGATAAACTGCCAAAAGGTTAGTAAAGATTGAGGAAATGCCAGAAGGAAAGATAAACACACGGTTGGTTAAGCAAATATCTATATGATGTATGCACACAAATATAGCTGATTTAAACCTCTCTGTCTGCTAGCGTTATCTAAATGCCCATAGAAAGAGCTACAGTCTATAGAAAGAGTCACTTTGTGTGTCAGGCGGCAAAGAAAGCTTACAAACCAAAAGATACAATTATCTCAAGCTGCCTTTAACATTATTCAGTTAGAAAAACCATCGGAGACGAGCTTGTAAACAAGGTAAATTGATTACATTTGATATTCACCTCGACAGATATGACTCGAAGCCCACATCCAAGATGCCGAAAAACACAGCCCGCATTCATTATACTGTGCTTAGACGTTCCCCCTTTCCCAAACATATATGCAATAACGGCTTGGTTGAGCTATATCGCGTACATAGGGAGAAGTATAAGAAGCAGTATGACAAGGGGCGTAGCAAGCGGGGGTTGTAGGGGGTTGAATATCCCCTCCCCCCATTCTTTGTGAGTTTGTCGGTGAATTTTTGATTGGTGGAAAAATTCCCTGGTTTGTCAGTAAAATCGTCTATAGGTAGGTGGAATAGCACCTAAATTTATCTTTATCTATGTCTTCGTCGGTAAATTTTACCCCCCTCACCCCATTTTTGAAGCTCAAGCTACGACATTGAGTATGACCAATCAGTTGAAAAACATTCATTTGAATGTTGCAGTCTTCACTTGGTCTTTGGCCCAAGTTTTACGCATATATCATCAATTTGCTTTCTGTTTTTAAAGGAAATCGTTCAGGAGAGTTTCATCATAAGTAGTGGCACAGAAAGCTGTTCGGGGCCCCGTGCGAAACAAAGGGTGTGGCCCCTTTAATTCACCACAGAGTTTAAACTTGGTGGATTGTATAAGGGAGGGGCTAAATTATTGGATGAAAGTGAAAGCTGAAACTGAAATTAAAAAATATCCTGGTGAATTCACTGTGCGCTATTTTATCATTCATTTCTTTGAAGCAAATATGCTTAAGGTTTTTGGTAACGTAATTCTAGGTAGAGTGTCTGTCCGAACACTAACGGAAACTACTCTTACAGATAAAGTGAAACAAGATCGGATGTTTTATAGCCATAGGGCGTAATTTCCTAGAATCAAGCTCCAATGAGGTTAGAATATGAAGTTAGATTGGAGAGGTTAACATTACAATACTCCTTTGATTGTCTGATAATGCACGTTAGAAGGTTGCTAGTAAACCATAGCCTAACGTGCTGTTCACTGTGAAAATTTATCTTCATGTTTATGCTAGCCTTCTTGAAGAGTAAGTAAAGAAACCTTAAAGACACTCTGATTCTAAAGCAATCGGGCAAGTTGCTTTCTTCCCACTCAAAACTTAGCGTCTGTGATAGGATGTTCTTAAAGGTTTTGCAGGCTCTGCTATATCAAAATAACAAGGGTGCCCCTTGAGAAAAATGTAGCAAAAACCAAAAGTAAAAGTAGAAATTGATTGCTTTTTGGAATTAACAAGGGAGGCACAGCCCCCTGGGCACTACACCCCTGCTTCTAGCTTTAAGATGGGGAATAGATAACTTATACGGAAACTTATAGTAATGAATCTGGAATTGTGTTGAAAAACGAGTTGTAGCTTAGTGTGATTCAGCCATTTATTACGCGGACAACGGGAAAACCAACACCAAGAAAAAGACCACAAGGTCGCACGATTAGAAGAAAAGGCGACGACTTTGAAACCTCGGGCTCCGAAGGAGGATGAAAAGGCCCTTTAGGCATTGATCTCCCTCGACATCAGACGCCGCGCAGCCATTGGGCTAGCAGGGGCTATAGCCCCTCCACTTTTTTGCAATAATAGGTTAGGAAACTTTTTGGAAAGTTTACTCTAACTATGCTCTAATGCAACATTGAATCGTATACTCCTAAGGAGTAGCAGTTTTTCTTGACTGGGAACCCTTTTTGTTCATTTTCTAGGTGTTTTTCTCGCTGTTTTATTACCCCCAAGCTAATTTTATCTTTTTTTTATAGCTATTGATATCTTCTCTGAACCAAATTTTTTATAAAATACCAGTAGAAATAAACCAGTATTTTCAAAAAGGGGCGTTTTCTGGCGTTCTAGTGGGCGTGGCCTCAAACAATTTTCTGTCACGCCCTTTCAGTCCCACATTTAGACTGGTGCGCGGTCCCTGCTCAACATTACGTACTGCTTTAGAAATTATGATTTCAAAACAGGATACAAGCATAGTTACTGTCAGTATGGTTTGAATCATTATTGTTAATTGTTCTAATAATTCAGTGTTTCCTTTTTGGAACAGATGTCTTCCAGATCACTTCTCTTTGATTTTTACTGCTGAAAAACTGAGACCATTCGCGATTTTCACACCAATTCTCGTAAATTTTGGGCTACACTCAAAAGAGTTTAGTATTTTGCACTTTATATATATAAAAGCTGTGTCGCATCGGAAAACTCTAATTGCTTAAGTCCTTCTTTGCTTCAGCAGTTCTTCGAATCCCATTGATCAGTGTTTTTTCATTTCTTCCTGTGTTGTGCTATTTTTTAAGCTTTTTAAGATTTTCATTTGCCTCCAGCTTCATACCACTAGCTGTATATTTTGCTTAGTCCTCATTTAGCTTGCAGTTTATGACAAACAAAGGCCCACATTACTACAAATCGTGTACATTGGATAATATAGGGTGTGTTTTCAAGAGTATCAAAGGCAATTGTTTTATACAAAGCTCCAATGCACAATTCAGATATGTTACTCATATTTCTGCAAACTCAATCAAGGTATCTTGACATGAATGCATGAGTATCTGTTGATAAAGTGAAATTGATTCTCTGTTGCCTAATCGTGTCTTCCATTATAGATAGTGACTGTAAACCACAAGTTGCCACAGGGGTAGAACACTGACCAAGTCGCTTCAAAGCAAGCACCATATTTGGATTTCATTATTGATGCACGAAAATATGACTAATCATTGGGAATCTGCAGAGGCTTTAAAAGACCTAGAAAGATAGACAGAGATGTCCTTGTTGTTCAACTGCTCTCAGTCAAGGCCATCAACACCACTGGCTCAACGATTTTCAACAGCTCAACTGAAGATTGACTTGGCAAAGGAAGGCACCTGGTAATATAAGAAGGTGAACTTATATTTGTGCCATATAAGATGGGAAACAACTGTGTATGCTATATAGAGGTTTTCTAATATCAAATACATTTTGCAATTCACCTTAATTGGGGCAAGATTGTGTTCCTCTGTCTGGGTGTGGCATTCAATGTAACTTTAACAGGTGTATGAATCACATCACATGACCAGCTATTCTAATACTTAATTGCCAAATGCGATAACAATGTGGATTCAAGTTTTATCTTACGGCTGATCTTGGAATTTTTATTGTAATATTGGATACAGTGGATGTCTTAGATCAGGTACAAGCAATATTCGTTTTTCCTTGAAGTTTCTGTTATTGTCTAAACATAGTTATGATCATGCTAGAGGGCTACATATTTCTTTAATGGTTCCTAATAGATAAGTTCCTAAGGATTTTCTATATAAAAGCAGATGAAGATAATCGTTAATTTCTATAATATTATTCCTAGAAGCCTCACTTTTTAGTCACTATAAAAGTCATAGTATTTCTGTTTCAAGGCTTAATTGATAAGAAAACTATGTTTTGATTCACAACCCTAGACCACAAACCGCCAATAATAACGTTTTCCTGCTAGCAGTACCCTGAGGCTTTGAAGGCAAGATTTAAAGGTTATCTTCATCGTTGGTACTTTCTGATGTTTATTCAGTTCAAAGTTATTAACCGTTATCAAGACATTACAAACATTGGCCTAACGAGAAAGGAAGCCACAAATCTGGCAAAATTGTCTTAACACCCGTGTTTCAGTATTGCTACACCTAAAGCGGAAATTAGAGTTAGATCATGTCTATAAAAATCCTCTTGTATACCTTTTGCACATGACCAAGAGTATAATAAATTTGGTTATTAGACATCTAGAAGCTTTTAAAAAAGTTCTTAACATTCTTAAATGGTAGCTCTTAACAAATTCATTTATCTTTCCCCAATAATATTGTAGAGAATATCTGAGAGAGAAGAAGAGAAACTTTGAAAATTGAAAATCGAGAGATAAAGAGAGAGTGGAATCAACAGTGTGCTGGTAAGATGCCTTGCAGTTTTTAGTATTTTCTTTCTTTGTCTAACGCTTGCAATGAAAACTATCACGTTTAATGTGAGTTAATGCTTTTCTCTGTTTTAATGCCTTTCAATGTATGAAAAATAAGCAGTTTTTAATAGGAAGGTTTCTTCTGAATCTCAAAAGTATATAAAGACAATTCTGAGCTATGCAGCGTCTATGTTACGAGTTACTGGCACAAGGGGCCACAGTCGTAGTGGTGCATTAGACAAGAGGCAGTGTAAGCTTGCGGCCGCTTTTTTAAGATCTGAAAATTCCAGTTTCAATTAGACCAAATTTATGCTTTTCTCAGATACGTAAGAATTTTATCGGATTATTCGCGCTTTTTTCCCTTCCAAGCATCTTGTTTTACTGCTTATTGTAATCTGTCTGTAATCTGTAATCTGGGACTATCTTCTATGATAATCTTTAAAATCCAATAATTCTTTTTAATGTCTACAATCTACACTTCAAAGCTCTCGTAATGGAGTACCGAAGTGTGACGTCATCAAAAATCTTTTTTAGTATTTTCTCAAATTTGACTACATAATCTGAAAAACGCCATAAAATACCCCTTAATATGCAAAATCAGTTAGATATGTTCACAATTAAGCGAGATATGGCCAATGGAAGGTTTAAAGTTTGCCAACAGATCACTGTAATTCTGACCTGGTTCATAAAATTATGAACCATGACCAAATTACAGTGGTTAGATGGGGAAAGATCATGTGGTTATTTGGCAATATCTTAGCCAATTCGTAATACCTTTAACTGATTTCATATATTTTATGATGCATTCCATGTCATGGGGTTAAACAGAACTTCAAACATTTTACGTCATCCCATTGGTACTATACCTGAAGACATGAAAACAATCAAAGGTGATCTGATTCTAGAAAAGTGTTCGAAGGTGTTAGCCAGCGATCCTAATTGAATTTTAATGACTAGTTTAAGCGTCAGGTGTTAATAACATTGCTCATTTAATTGAGTTATCTACTATTACGAAAAACCAAGACACGCGTCAAGAATGACCCAGACGAGAACGAACATCATCGCCTGGCTACTTCATGTGCTCTATCTTTGAGTGATCTCCAGTTTCTTTTCATTTTTAAACACTTCAACTGCATAAGGGGTTAACTGGGAACTTATTTGTCAAACCAGGAGGGCGTTTAACGCGCCAATCTTCTTTTCAACTCAGTTTCTCTCTGCATGTAAAAATCCAAGAGCACCTTATTAAACATTCAGATATAGGCATCTGCGAGAAAGAATAAGAAACCAGGCAGGGACCGTGGAGCACATTACAGATTGTGGGTGCTAAAACGTATTTAGGGGGCTGAACATACTTTGAGTCAAGATCAAAGCTATTTTTGTATGGTTTTCATTCTCCGGAGTCAGGTCCCCTATCTTACAATGGCCTTTTGCTTGAAGCTTCTCCACAAGCTACAGTTATAAATTAGGTGGGGCTAGGCGGAACTGTTACATTTCTGATGTCATTGAAAATATTTGATTGCGATTTTAAAAAGATGCGTAACACGGCATAATTTTCTTAAAAGATACGCCTCAAGACCAACTTTCAAGGATCAGCGTATGCTTCCAATTATAATACTGTAATGTTTATATTATTAGTATCCCGTATGTACATTAAGTCCCGTATGTAACCCGCCCCTGTCATTTCGTACACAGGTGTTTTGTTAATCAGTTCTTAAGTATGGAGTTCATATACTGTTGCTTTTAAAGTTAGTAGCTATATAATCATGGAAATTTCTCAATGAACAGCTCCTAAAACATTATAAATACCCATCTTTAAGGAAAGTTATATAACAAGAGTTGAATCATGATTGGTCGTGTTTGGAATGGGAGCGTTGATCCAATAATTCTTAATCCTCAAAGCTTAATCATTTAGGAATCTCAAGATAATCCAACATACCAGGCTATTTGAAACAGAATCGCATGGACAGCTGAGCTGATCACAATCTTGAGTTTGGATTCTGTTGGCTGTCGGAGTCCAGTATTCGGTACAATTTATTCAGACTGAAATTGAAACAGGAATGGCTTGTCAGGCAATGGCGGCGCCAGCCACTAAGCTCTGGGGGGGGGGGAACCAAAAAAATTAAGCCACACCCTTTTAACCACCAGAAAACGCCCTTTTACCAACAGGGAACTCCAGTTTGTCCGAAGTTAACGCCTATGACTAACTTTTGTTTGAAAATTGGCAGTTTGAAAATCATAGGATTACATCACAAAAAGCACGGTGTCAAAATATTACCCCTCCCCCAACATTTTCTCATCGAATTTGGACGCACTACAAAATTAGTTCTGCTGAGAGCTGGGGGGACGTGTCCCCCCCCAGTCCCCCCCCGCGGCGCCGCTACTGATGTCAGGCTAAACTTTTAAATCATCGTTCTTATCGAAACGTTAATCAATCATAGATTGCAACAAGCTAGAGTAGCGTGATCAAATTTGAAATAGCTACTTCGTTTAAGTTTATTTTCTAGAGGGTAATTGTAACATTTCGGGGCTCTTCCTTAAACAGTTTGCAAACAGTATAATGTCAAAGTTCAAAACACTTTTGTAAGACCATTAACTTTTAATGACGAATCGCAAGTGCTATTCAACTTCCATTATCATCATACTTACTGCTTGCATATTTAAATACTTACAACCTTTACGTATCGACCCTTTGTTTGTTTTCACCTCACTGCTTGCAACTTCTCTGTTTTCATTTACATTTTCTAGACTTAAATGTTTTTTTGTGGCTCTTGTACAATGTTTTTTATAAGGACACAGTTTTTAAGGCAATGATTTGCCAAAAAATAAGAACAACGTAAGAACATAAGAAGACAAAAATAGTATGCTTGTAAATTTGCTCTAATATAAAGAAAGCAGAGAAGATTTTATCAGTTAATCAGCCTTGTTACTTGTCATGAAAGACTGTTATTTAGAAGTCTTAGAAACAATTGATTGAATGGAGTTGTAGGAAAATTAATCTTGAATTAAGAAAGATAATAAGAAAAAGCAACCTTGACGTTGAAATAACGACTGGAGACTCGGCTGAATTTATCTTATAAAAAGATTATATGAGCCAAGAAAAGTGTCCATTCATCCACTTGTCAATGTGATAAAACTTGCCTAAGAAAGCAAGGTGTGGTCCAGGTGTGGTGCTCTAATTTTATTCAGTTCCCATCGACATGTCCATTTGTCGCGGGTCACTTATCCTGGACCCTGTGGTACCCAGGGTTACGGTGGCCCACAGGTGCCACGGCAAAACTTACTTTTTCACGGCAAAATTTTCTTTTTTCACTGCAAAACTTTCTTTTTTCACGGCAAAACTTTCTTTTTTCACGGCAAAACTTTCTTTCTCACGGCAAAACTTTCTTTCTCACTGCAAAACTTTCTTTGAATTTAATTTACCAGTACAGTACCGCATGCAAGGTCTTTGATTCCTTTGTTTTGAAAGCAGTGAAAAAGATCAATTCGTTGAAAATTGGCGTGCACAGAAAATTCGTGCAAAAAAACCTCGTACGTGCACTTGGCACGCTCGATTGTGGCTTGTAAAAAACCTTTAATTTTGGTATTGTGTTTAATATCATATCATATCGTATTACTCACAGGGTGGGTTGATGGCTAGGTACTTAATTTTTCAATACGACGTACGCAATACGACGACGAGAATCCAATGTCACGAGATAAAATTTTCATAATAAATTAAATTTAAGTAATAAATTAAAATCAAAGAAAGTTTTGCCTTTAGAAGTAAAGTTTTGCCGTGAGAAATAAAGTTTTGCCGTGAAAAAAGAAAGTTTTGCCGTGAAAAAAGAAAGTTTTGCCGTGAGAAAGTAAGTTTTGCCGTGAGAAAGTAAGTTTTGCCGTGGCACCTGTGGGCCACCGTACAGGGCGGTTTGTAAGGTAGCATCAGATTTGACCAATAGCCTCTTCTTCTTCTAATGAACCTTTGCATAGCTTTTTTGAAAGGTTATTTACTGCGCGGGGGCAAACGTTTATTTGTATAAAGATATGGGCAATAGCTATTGTTCAAAATAATTTAAAGTCAATGGGCTGGTGGGGAAGATAGACCCTTAATTATTATTGAAAAGAGCTTTGTTATATCAACTCACTAGTTACTACACGTACTTACTTTACTTTGACGTTCTTCTCGAAGTCCTGTCGAACATTGAAACTTAAACTAATTATGAAATTTAAAAAATACTTCCATCGTTCGTTCAAGTTAGCCAGATTTCTTTGAATGCCACTCATGTGACAAACTTTTGATAATAACATTTTAATTTCTGATAAATAGTTCAACCAAATATCCTTATCTTGTTTGAGTAACGAAAATAAGTTCAAAGAAAAGTTTTCAATCATGGATTTAGAAATCAGCTTTGCGAAGAAAAATTTCTAAGACTTGCGTCATTTTCAGTTTCGATGAAAAATCTGTCATTAAGTTTCTCCAATTTCCGCTGCAAACGACATTTAGATCTATTCAATTAAAATGTTTTCGAGTTCATAAATCAATGTTGTGTTCTGGTCAGCAAACAAAGTGATAGCAAGCTTACTTCTAAAATGAATTGACAAGAAATTTTCTTATCCATTGAATGTGTGGCTCTTTCTTTTATTCATCCATTCATTGGCTAATTCATTCAATCAATCATATGTTTATCCATTTTATCATTAACAGCTGAATCTTTTTTTTGTCATTTATCCCTTTTGTAGTGATTCACTTGCTTTTACTTATGCAACACACAAGTAAAATTGTGGTTCAAATTTAACAGGGTCAGGGTTGTTAAAACAGATCTATGCTTTTAAAAAGGGAGGGAGAATAGAGAGAGAGTGAAGTCTGCTATTCATTCTTTTAGATTCTTTTATTAAAAAAGTTAAAGAACGTAGATGAAAAATTATTCTAGATGGTGAAGACTCCCAGTAGGTATTTCACAAAGGCGTAGTCTTTGCTTTATTGAAAAACTACTGCTGCCTCCTTTTCTTAAAGA